TTTACTGAAACACTAAACAGCTACCACAATATTCTACTGCTCTGGCTTTGATACAGGATTATTGCTGTTATTATCTACGGATGCTGCAGCTGCTACTGCTGCTACTGCTGCTGCTTCATACTGCTACTGCTGCTGCTTCATACGGCTACTGCTGTTACTACTGCTGCTGCTGCTTCATTTACTTTGCCATCTCTCTTCACTTGCATCTCTTTTACTGAAACACTGAACAGCTACAACAACATTCTACTGCTGTGGCTTAGAGACAGAATTATTACTGTTATTTTCTAAGGACGCTGCTGCTGCTGCTGCTACTGCTGCTGCCGCGGCTTGATACAGGACCATTGCTGCTATTACCTGAGGTTACTGCTGCTGCCGCTGCTGCTACTGCTACTGCTGCAACCCACTCTCTCAGAAGCTTATCCTGCTTCTAATGGATGCAGCCCGGCTGAGTATGCCGCGCTGCGCTGGACTCGCACCTATGCTCCCAGGGTCGCTTCGGCGGTCGTGCTTCATCTCTCTACTTAATCTTCTGATCTATCAGATGCAGCTGGCCGAGTGGCTGCGCTGAGCCGTCAATCGGACTCCTAATCAAAGGCATCCATACCTGTATTCTTCACTCTTTTGATCGCAGGCTCCCCATCATGCTGCCCATCCTGCAGCGGCGCTGAACTCCGGCTCATCTTCCAAGTACATGTCTGCCCTCCTCGCAGCATCTTCCTGCTCTCCTTCTATGGCTTCTCTGCGTAAGCGTTTCACCATTGCTCACTCAACCTTCATGCGGTCCGAGATGCGGCTTCCCGACCATCCTACTATCCTGATTATCTACTCTCCAACCCAAGATTCTAAGCGTAAGGGCGCCTGCAACATCAATGGCCCTCTCCGATATGTCTCTGCCCCTACAGGTCTCCGCTTCTACACGGACGCTGCCCCTTCCGTGGGTTTTGGGGGATTCTTCCAGGACCATTGGTTTGCCGAGCGTGGCCGCTACTTTCCACCGGAGCATCTCCTCTGCCTACACGAGATATTCCCAGTGGTCGTGGCCGCGCGCTGTGGAATCACACGTGGCAGAGAAAGAGGATCTCTGTCATGTGTGATAATCTCGACGTAGTGGAAGCATTACACAAAGGTCGCTCTTTTTCACCCAACACAATGTCCCCTGACCATTTCAACCTTCATCTCAAACATTCAAAAATCAAAGGAGCCTGCAACATAGTAACAGCTCGCTCGGACACATCTCTCTGCCCCTACAAATCCATGATGATGTTACACTCGCCTCCGCTGCAAAAAGGAAAGTTAAACGGACCTCTATTTCTCACTCCAGACATTCTTCCCATGACAGCAACCTGGTTCAGAGCTCGACTAAGATCCCTACTGCTCCTCTGTAAATTGTCTCCCCAGCTCTACACAGCCCACTCCTTCAGGATAGGCGCCGCCACGCGCGCGGCCTCGCTGGGGCTCCCCCACACCTCTCTGCAACAGCTGGGGCGCTGGTCCTCTTCGGCCTTCTCCGCCTACATCAGGCCAGACGCGTCCGCCATCCTGGCTGCACAACGTCTACTGGCTTCTTCGTAAGCTCCCAGCAAAGCAATACAAAGCAAAGTAAGTGATCCAATAAAGATTCTGGTGGCGGCACGCACTTTCTCAAAGACAACTCTGTTGCAGCGTCCGGTTGATCGTGATGCGAGCGCACACGTCCCGGCGCTCAAAGACAACTCTGCTACAGCGTCTGGTATCGATCGTGATGCGAGCGCTCACGTCCCAGGCAGCGTCCGGTTGATCGTGATGCGAGCGCACACGTCCCGGCGCTTAAAGACAACTCTGCTGCAACGTCTGGTATCGATCGTGATGCGAGCGCTCACGTCCCAGGCAGCGTCCGGTTGATCGTGAGCGAGCGCTCACGTCCCGGCGCTTAAAGACAACTCTGCTACAACGTCTGGTATCGATCGTGATGCGAGCGCTCACGTCCCAGGCAGCGTCCGGTTGATCGTGAGCGAGCGCTCACATCCCGGCGCTTAAAGTCAACTCTGGTTCAGCGTCTGGTATCGATCGTGATGCAAGCGCTCACGTCCCAGGCAGCGTCCGGTTGATCGTGATGCGAGCGCTCACGTCCCGGCGCTTAAAGACAACTCTGATGCAACGTCTGGTATCGATCGTGATACGAGCGCTCATGTCCCAGGCAGCGTCCGGTTGATCGTGATGCGAGCGCTCACGTCCCGGCGCTCAGAGATAACTCTGCTGCAACGTCTGGTATCGATCGTGATGCAAGCGCTCACGTCCCAGGCAGCGTCCGGTTGATTGTGATGCGTGCGCTCACATCCCGGCGCTTAAAGTCAACTCTGCTACAGCGTCTGGTATCGATCGTGATGCGAGCGCTCACGTCCCAGCGCTCAAAGATAACTCTGCTGCAGCGTCCGGTTGATCGTGAAGCAAGCGCTCACGTCCCGGCACGCAAAGATAACTCTGCCCGTTTTTGGGGATTATGCGCGCGAGCAAGCGCCGCACTCATCAGCATCTCTCCCGGGCCTAGGGCGCCAAACATACTCAATCAATAAACTTCTAACTGCATTTTCCTCTTGGGTCTCTCCAAAGTGAACTGGCATTGTCACATAAAACCTATAATTTATTCTTTTTCAGTAAAATTTCACATAATAAAATTTTGCATTTAGAAAACCCGGTGGAGGGACACAAGGGAACATATTCCTTTGTCATATTTTTTTTTGCCATGTACAACAGATAAATAACATAACGGAGGGTTATATTTACACATGAACAATATTACAGTACAAAGCCTTCATTGTGTCCTCTCTCACTCAGAAGAATCTACATTTTCTTTATCATGCGAACAGCTTTAAAATAACATTGCATCTAAAAACAAAAACAAAAAACTTTACATATGACAATGTTTCTCCAAGATGCACCTGTCATTCTCTCCCATACAGTGATAATTGAGCACTCACTCTTTTGGTCATGGCATAAAAACCTAGACAGCTTGCCACTAAATTGAACATATTACAATAAATAAGTTACAAAAGCTTTCATGATGAAGCACTGAACAAAAAGACCTCTGTACAGTTAAAACCTCACAGTCTTCGTAACGCCAGTGTGACGATGTTATTGGCAAACAAACTGAAATGGGAACTACTTTCTGCAGCTCAAGAATGACATCTTAATCATAACACTGTAAGTATCTCAATCTCCAACAGAAGAAAATGGCTCTAATTTGACTGGTCCGAGGATATAGCAGTGATCACAAAACAAAATCCTATATATTGCACATTCAGGCTTCATATCGTTTTGTAATGGTGCAAAGCAATAACGGACAAAAACATAGTATAACCACATATCGGAGAACCAGAACGCTTGGCACAACGTGGAGCCGTGATGAGGTCAGTGAACAGAAAACGAGGAACATTTCAGGTACATGTGAACCTACATTCTAAACCTGCAAATGACTGCAAATAAATAAAAACATGTCTGCGGTAATGAAGCATTTTGGTCACGTCATCAGCATGTGTTCAGTCCATGCAGGTTAGGAATTGTGGCAAAAGGGATACATTATTTGCATTGCGTTGTTGGTGGTATAAAACTGATCTATGGAAAAGGAGAGGAATTGTCGCTGTGCTCTGCAGAAGCTAATAGTGATCTCAACCAACACAAACATCGAAACGTTTAAAATAAAAAACCCCGGCTGGCAGGGTCAAACATTTACAATTGAAAAGTGGCTGGGCCTCTGAACAAGTGACAACACTGAAAGAAAGTATTCAGCTGCAGACAGATCAAATAGATAATCACAAATGCACAAACTCAGTGGCATATTCAGTCAAAAAGATACTATACAAACTAATTACAAGATTTTTGTTTTTGTTTTTTCTTCTTTTTGGCGAATCTGTGGCTGTGCACAATTTGTAGACAATTGACATGGCGTCTGTATATTTGTCCATTCCCACTCACTGCTGCCACCAAGCCGTCAGATAGACAGTAACAGCAGTCTCCCTATCGTGTGCTGTGAGAATATAGCACCTGTTGGATCATCTGTGAACTTTTGGTTCCATTAAACCTTTTCCCTTTACTAAGCATTTCAATTGGGCTTATCTGATGAATGTTTTCTGCTAGATTAAGGTTTTCTAGCAGAAAAATAAAATAAAAGTGACATTTCATTTGTTGCCGTTACATGCGCTGTAGATTTAGTATGATTGATATGGGAATTTGTGGATTAAAAGCAGTTATTGTGACAACTGAAGCTGTGGAAATTGTGGAGGCCATTTTGTGACTGTAATATGAGATCTTAGAAATATACTGTAATAAAATGTGAAAGTTCCTCTCAGAAGAACATTGGATGGGGCAAAGCTTTGGAACTCTTTAAGTCTGGGCTGGTTTGGGTTAAAAAAATAAAAAAAGGAGACGACCATGAGATCATCAATGACATGATGTTTTTTGCTGTTGTGAACGATTATTGTAACTGTACTTAACTTCCTTTTCTTTGTGTAATATCTGCTGAACCTTGTGCTTAGTTCAAAACATGCTGGACAATGTGAAATATATATTTAAAAAAATTATAATGTAGAATACGTCTTTATTTGTTGTAAAAATCCATCTCGAGACAAACATTGGAAGTTTAATGTGATTTAGTTTAATGTCATAGTTTGCATAAAATATAAAAAAAACATGAGAGTATAATTCCCATCTTTTCAAATCATCGTCACAGTCCTCCATCTTCTTTCCAGAGAGTGCTGTTAGATAATCAAACTACCAAAGATCATGTATAGACATGTACAAGGTCATCTGAAGTGGAAACAGTTGGATCAAACATTAACGTGCCACATTTCAGCAGCAAAATGTTCCATAAGTTACTTTATGGTGTATCTTCAGGAAATTCTTACATAGGCAAACTGACTGGACTATTTTTGATTTGTAATACAAAATTAAGAGATCTTTAATTTCACAATAAATGTAATATATAAGTTGCAATTTAAATGTACAGTGAACAGTATGAGACAGTTTCACACTGGCTGCTGACACTTATCTCTGCGTGTTGCACAGACAGAGGGATAGGTGAGTGAACATGGGTGATCATTCCATTCTTTGTTTGGTCCAGCGTTGATTTCTCCACAGTGTTCGTTTCCACCGCTATTGTTTGGCTCTCCTTTAAACCACATGTTAAAAGTTACTGGGTAACCGTCAGACCACATCCATGCTCCTTCCTTGTGGTTGTCACTGAGTCCAATCCAAGTCATCCCTTGTGTGTGATCAAAATTCTGAATCAAAGTCTTCACAAAATCATTTTCTTCATCATCCCGTATGGAGACCAGGTTGCTGTTCTGGGACTGACAGTAGACCTCTGCATCTCCCCAGGTCAGTCGAGTGGACACATACTTGTAACAGCGGTCCTTAAAGCTGAACCAGAAAGCAGGGCATCCCCCACGCTGCAGAGTCACATCACTGATCCCAGAAGGAGACGCTGATCCCAGGGACACACCCAGAAGGAGCAGCAAGGCAGAGGACAACAGCATGGTGAAGAAGAGATCTCAAAGGCTCAATGATCTCAAAGGCTGAATGACTGTTTTATATGCGATCTCTGTGGCAGACTTTGTCCTATAATTTGTGCCAACGCAATCATCAGGGGTGAAAAAACATGTCATAAAACAGTTCTGAATGTTCTACATAAAGTTCAAATGATTGGGCCGTGTGTTGCAGGTCAATGGTTATACCCATCGGCTGCAGGAATATGTGCAAAATGCGTCAAAATAACACATTTTTATTTTTTACGATTTTATCAAATCAACTTTAAATACGGTGATTTGTTCAATGTGATTAAAACTTAGCACAAAAGAAACAAAAACCAGCAGATTTCAGTACAATGTCATATGGAGCTGTGAAATTGGTGCAGCACTTGGTTATTTTTGTACTTCATGGTGGATCATTAGGACTATTGGTCCTTCCAATTGTCATTCTGGTGCTCTTCAAATAAGACCAGAGTTGGGTTTAAAAAGTGGAGAGGGCGGTTCTTTCCTAAAATTTGGGGAAATTGTTTTATATCAAGCCTTTCTCATCTTTATAACGGTGCGACTCATCTTTTGGTACTTAATAAGTATAACAAATATATATAATTCATGTTTCTCTTCAAGTATATATATACTTTGGAATGTTTTATTTAAGTTATCAGTCTTGTAGGTTGTCCTGAGATCAAGACCGAACAAATTTCCCTAGAGTAAAGTAATGTATATCTTAATTAAAATGAATGTGTTATAATCTGTGCCCCATCCAAGGTTGAAAATGAGCGTCCTTGTGAAAGATAATATTGTTCAGATAATGCTAAAACTGCCTGTGTTTCAAATGTTATCGTGTCTAGATAAAGGCTCCCACGAGATAAACAAAGAAAAACATGAACTTCCTTCTGGCATTGTCACATAAAACCTATAATTTATTCTTTTTCAGTAAAATTTCACATAGTAAAATTTTGCATTTAGAAAACTCGGTGGAGGGACACAAGGGAACATATTGCTTTGTCATATTTTTTTTGCCATGTACAACAGATAAATAACATAACGGAGGGTTATATTTACACATGAACAATATTACAGTACAAAGCCTTCATTGTGTCCTCTCTCACTCAGAAGAATCTACATTTTCTTTATCATGCGAACAGCTTTAAAATAACATTGCATCTAAAAACAAAAACAAAAAACTTTACATATGACAATGTTTCTCCAAGATGCACCTGTCATTCTCTCCCATACAGTGATAATTGAGCACTCACTCTTTTGGTCATGGCATAAAAACCTAGACAGCTTGCCACTAAATTGAACATATTACAATAAATAAGTTTCAAAAGCTTTCATGATGAAGCACTGAACAAAAAGACTTCTGTACAGTTAAAACCTCACAGTCTTCGTAACGCCAGTGTGACGGTGTTATTGGCAAACAAACTGAAATGGGAACTACTTTCTGCAGCTCAAGAATGACATCTTAATCATAACACTGTAAGTATCTCAATCTCCAACAGAAGAAAATGGCTCTAATTTGAATGGTCCGAGGATATAGCAGTGATCACAAAACAAAATCCTATATATTGCACATTCAGGCTTCATATCGTTTTGTAATGGTGCAAAGCAATAACGGACAAAAACATAGTATAACCACATATCGGAGAACCAGAACGCTTGGCACAACGTGGAGCCGTGATGAGGTCAGTGAACAGAAAACGAGGAACATTTCAGGTACATGTGAACCTACATTCTAAACTTGCAAATGACTGCAAATAAATAAAAACATGTCTGCGGTAATGAAGCATTTTGGTCACGTCATCAGCATGTGTTCAGTCCATGCAGGCTAGGAATTGTGGCAAAAGGGATACATTATTTGCATTGCATTGTTGGTGGTATAAAACTGATCTATGGAAAAGGAGAGGAATTGTCGCTGTGCTCTGCAGAAGCTAATAGTGATCTCAACTAACACAAACATCGAAACGTTTAAAATAAAAAACCCCGGCTGGCAGGGTCAAACATTTACAATTGAAAAGTGGCTGGGCCTCTGAACAAGTGACAACACTGAAAGAAAGTATTCAGCTGCAGACAGATCAAATAGATAATCACAAATGCACAAACTCAGTGGCATATTCAGTCAAAAAGATACTATACAAACTAATTACAAGATTTTTGTTTTTGTTTTTTCTTCTTTTTGGCGAATCTGTGGCTGTGCACAATTTGTAGACAATTGACATGGCGTCTGTATATTTGTCCATTCCCACTCACTGCTGCCACCAAGCCGTCAGATAGACAGTAACAGCAGTCTCCCTATCCTCTGCTTGGCGACTCTGCTGGTCGTGGTTCTGTTTCACATGAAGCGTCCTGCAGCCGCTACAGTATAATTCAGTGGCTTTGGCTTCTCAGGCACGAGGCTCCAGTTTGTGCGAGAGCTCAAAAAGCGTCTGTTGATTGTCAATGATGTGCAGATACTGAACGCTGGCCCTCACCTCCGGGCTGTCCATGCCGATGACCTCATTACCTGATGAGACACGGGACACAGGACAAGGTGTTCAAAGAGCTGCCTCACACATGACTGAAACTGAACACCAGATGGCGGTAGGGGGCTCCAAATGAACACAGTGGATGATAGTAAAGACAAACCTGGCTGGTCACTTTGGCAGTGGCGTATCATTCTCACCGTGTCTGCAATCATGTGCTGCAAGACAAATGGGGCATTGAAAAAGAGACTAATAGCTACAATAGTGAACAAGGAGAATGCAAATGAATCAACCAACCAGTTTCTCAAAGTTGACCAGGTTGTCATGAAATGTTTTGTTCCCTTCATGGATAAATGTGATGTCTAAGATTAGAAAGAACAGTAAAGTTGAAACACATAAGTAACTATAGTTAGTGAATGTAGGTTTCAAACCATACCTTTTAACAGAAGAGGCATGAAAGGGATCTTTGGAGGTTTCATCCTTTTGAATGAATCTCTGTACGCTTTGTGGTTGAGGGATGGGTCCTGTGTCCCATGAAATAATTAATGAATGAATATAGGAAATTAAAAAGCACAAATAATTTAACTATAGAGACCTACCGTAATAAGCTCCAGCTCAGAGAAAAGCTTCTTAAACTTCCCAGGACATTTCTGGAAATATACATAGTTCACATTATTGCAGTAGAATTGTCACCAAATGTAATGAGCAGAAATATAGTGCGATGTATCAAACAAACCAAGAACCAATTACCATGGAGTCCTACCATTGTTCTAAACCTTCCTCACAATAAAAATCAAAAGGAAAATGTACGTCTTGCAAAGCCTCTTTTCAAATTTTTAGTATGAAATATACAAGTTTGAAATAAATACTTACCATACCATCTTGGTAACAATTAGATCATTATTATCAAGATGTTTATTGATGTATTTCTTTGTGGGCCCTAGGCTTACCTCCCACGTTTGGTTGAGGCGACTAACAGCGGCTGTGTTCAGACCCATGATGATGGCAAATGCAGAGTTTAGGTTTCTTTGAGCTTTACAGCTGAAACAAAACACACAATGAGTCCATCTGTAAATATCAGCGTTTTCTAAATCATTCAAACAAGAGGGCTTACTGAGCAGCGATTTTGATGAACTTTTTGAGCAGCTGGACTCTCTTATTGAGAGAGACACACATCAGGACTTCAGACATGACCCACTGTTGAACTTCATTACAGCGCTGCAGAAGGACAGACAGCGCCGCCGTGTGGCCAGAAGCAGGACTGCGGCGAAGTGTGTAGTAGACCAACTCTTGCTAAAATACAGAACCCGATGATAAATGTTTGATCAAATTGAAAGGTAGGGAAATGTCATACACTAAATTCACGTAAATACAACCATAAAACTATATTATCTAGCCTTGAGCCGTTTTCTCGCTTAGATAACACACTTCCTTACAGCCACTTATCTATAGTACTCTCTGTACGCCCTGTAATCAAGGAAATCTTATGGAGCATTTTCCATATTTAATGCCTGTTCCAGCGACGTCTTGTATTTATGAATTTATTATGATGTTCTGTGTGTGCTGAAGTCCTAAGCAGTACCTCGTGAATAGATTTGAAGAGGGTCCAGTCGAGGTGGGTTAGTGCTGTTGCCACGTCCCATGTGTTAATGCCCAAGAGACGTACGGGCCTCCTGCTGAGCTCACTGCAGTCTGTGAGTGGAGGCTGCGCAGGAGACAGAACATTCCACGTATGAGCAACACTTAGCATCACAGTTTATCAAGAAGGGAGTCAAAACTGAAGCTTGATCTTGCTGCATAAATTACAGTAAGAAGCAGTTTGGCAAAAGGCAAACAAAAACTATACTACAAGATATGAGGAAGATCATACAAAAAGTTGACCAAATTTTTTTAATGGGTCATGCTTGTACTCCTCTCATTGAGTTGAAAGAAGAACCAGTATGAGTGTAGCACCAAACCCCATTCAAGTAAATGCATTAGAGCAACGTAATCAAGAATAAGACCTGAAAGCATAAAACATTGATTTTAAAACAATACAAACCAGTATTTCAATCAGGTTCCTGCGGCATGCCACCAGTTTCCCCTGTGGGGTTAAGGACTCAGAGTAGACGCAGTCGCTAGGCTGTAACACTCTCCGCTCTGCAGACGCACACAGACAAATGACATTTGTAATGGCATTCAAAAGTGGAGAGAATGAGTTTTCTCAGCAGGGTCTCTGGACGTTATTATTGAGAGTGTACCTCCACTGTGCGACACCACAGCCAGCACCATCTCCTCATCAGCACGATCCAGCTTCGAGGAGACAATCCTCAGCAGCTCATGGGCCTCCAGCAAAGGGTGAATTTGGACGCTAAAATACGAGTCGGAGCTCACATACACACAGCAAATCACTGCAACAGAATACACAAGCAATTAGTTTTTGCTTTCTATTGTGCTGCTCTAAGTGGACACAATGAGGCAAATTACAAAGAATTCTCCTTCACAAAGAGCAAATTATCTTGGAACCCCGTTTAGAGCTTTTAAGGCTTAGAAATGCACAAAAATTAGAAAATGTTAATTTGAGAATTCCTCTGCTCATGCAAAAGGCAAGTTCTGTCTTATCTAACTTGGTTTTAAGCACAGTTGGGATTATAAATTGTCATTTAATGTAATACAACTTAAAACATTATCCTAGCTTGATAACAGAAATTTTGCACAAATCCCTTTTCCTCAAGTGGTAACAGAGCAGATAATCACCTCTGCATAAGCACAATGTGATCAAACACACACTGTCGTCATCAGCTGGAGTCACAGTCTGAATGCTCATTACTCACCCTCTCTGTTATCGATCGGTGGACTCCGGTGATGCAAACTGTTTTCTTTCAAACTCAGCTGTTGGTACATTTGTTTACTCTGTACAAATGAGAGGAAACAAAATAACAATCATTATTTTACTTCCACTTTCCATCATTTGAGTAATAGTAGCCTGTAACCTGCGGCCTGCTGAAGTCTATTCCACTTGTTCTTGCTTAGAAGTATCTGAACATGGCACATGGCCTGCGTGTGTTCTTCATTTAAAAGAAGTGAAAGGATACTTCTGCTTATTGACATGTTACTGGTTACAGCTGTATGTATTGACTATTCTCCATGTATGTCAATTAAGTGCTGACCTAACCTAACCTAAACCTACATCTGCTGGACCATGACTGTCACCCCCTGCAGGACCCTCTCTCTGCTCTGGAGAGCAGTTTCAGTGACAGACTAATTCACCCTCGCTGTGTGAAGGAGAGGTTCCGTAGGTCTTTCCTTCCTGCTGCTGTCAGACTGTACAATAAGAACTGCTGAGCCTGTAAATTTCATTCATCTGTAACTAAGTACATTCTTAAATCATGTGCAATGTGCAATACTGCAACTTCAGGATGTCACAGAACAATGTCACTTTACCTCATGTCACTTTACTTATATACTTTTTATCCTGCACTATTTAACTGTACAGTATATAACTCTGCACTACTACATATATATATTTTGACTGGTATTGAAGCTTTTTCAGCATCTACAGCTAGTTATGTTAGTTAAGAAACATAGCTACTACTTATTTGTATATAGTGTATATATTGTGTGTAATCCCTGTGTGCTCTTACTACTGTCCTATATGTGCGATGCAACATCGAAATTTCCCCACTGTGGGACGAATAAAGGAATTCTTATCTTATCTTTTGTTACAGTACCTTTTGGTTCGGAGGGCAATCGTCAACCGTGCTGCGTTGGACAACAGATTGATAAGAGCATTAGTTTATCAGAACAGAGCAGACTATGAGGTCATTATAACTGATTGAAACGTACTGTCTTCGACGGAGAAGCTTCTGGAACTCTTTCAGATCCTTCTCCAGAGTGGGAAACTCGTACAAGTCTTCTAAAACACATCTGTACAGCGTCTGTTGTGGGGTGAAAGGATAAACATAATTACTATAATGCAATTAGTTTCCACAAAAGCTTTTGTGCTAGAAGTAAACATAAATGAGTAGGATAATAATGTCTACTCCGATATTCTTTAACATTTGTATAATTGGATTTATTTACTATGGTCAGTAAAAACATCAAGTTAAATGTGTTTGTGATTTACAATGTAGTAAACATCTTTTGAATAACTTTTGAATAATTATTATTTTATACTGATACAAATCTTTATTTCTTCGTAAAAATAAAACGTTAACAAAAAAGATTATTATTAGTTATAATTGTTATAATTACTTTTTTCGAACCTGCACAGAGTTCAGATAAATCACTTCATTCCCATCAGATGAAAGTGTTCATAGGACATTTGAGTAAGCCACAAATCACAAAATGAACCAATTGGAAAGGAAACTGTCATTGTCAGTAGTAGTGGCTAATATATAATAATAATATATAATAATAATAATAATAACAATAATTATAATAATATACAACAATAGACGTAGTAAAACGTAGAGGATTTTGTGTCATAGTTAAACTGCATCAATCTTCTATAGCAGCACTCGTCTCCGTCTCATTCTCCCCATCATTCTTCTTCTTGTTACTAGGCAACCATCACCTGGGTTACACACTCCATACTCAATAATCTCTATGCCAACCATCACATCCAGTTGCCATGGAAACTCAACTCATAAAACTGGAGCTGTCATTTTACAAAGAGACTCTGACGTCTTTGCTTTGTGCTTGTTCCCAGAGAGAACTGTGAGGTTTCATTTAATGTAATGTTGGCTGTAAATCTGCAGAGATTCTGGGTAAATGACCAGGGAAGCACCTTTCATTTTACGATTTACAACTAATATTTCCTTGATATAGGTTAAAACGGCGCATAGCAATTAAAGTACACACAATCAAAGCTGCTCATTCAAATAATTGTATTCAACAAACATTTAATGAAAGAGAAAACGATATTTGAAAATAGTGTTGAGAGCTGAATGACTGCATATAAATAGATCTGAAGTGGTCACCTTCAAGAAGCTGCGGACATGCTCCTCTTCTTTGAGGAAGTCCTTATAAAGCCTGCTCCAGTGAGAGACCAACTGCAGCACCTTTCTCTTCCTGAAGAGGGCGTCCTTGCCCTCCTCCTGCCCCCTGCAGCGGGCACTGCTGTAGGTGCAGGGGGTCAAGGACAAAACCAGGTAAAACAGAGCTGCCTAAAGACTTAATTTATGATTCTTAAAAGGATATTGTCCGAGTAGGGCTTGGCAGAGGTCCGGAGTGGACATGAACACAAGGTACGTCAAAAGGAAGTCATCCAGCAGCATCTCTGTGAGGAAGTAAATGTTTCATTATCAGATCAAGTATTCAGGGAATTCCACAATTATGAACATCTACTCACTGAAGTATATTGTTATGCACAAGAGCACCTCAGTCCATAACTCCAATTTTGTCAGTTAATAATTACATATAACTAAGCTATTATAGAATATACACGTTTAAAAAGTAATGCAATGCACTTTCCAGAGTTTTCCACCCCGAGTCACAATGCCATCCAACAAGCAGCAGTAGCATGTGCGACTCAGCAGGTGCTAGATGGTGAGACACAAGCATAAACAGCCCCAAAGGCACATGGGTAATGAGCCATTGTCATAGATGTGAAGGCTCTCTGATGTGAGTGGATGTGGGCGAAAGTCATTCCCTTGAAAATGTGTGACCCAAATATGGTTCTGTTGGGCACAGAGCAAAGAGATCTATTATAGAAGACTGAGCACAGGCCGGTGCATTAAACTTTGATCAAGTGTCTCCTCTGAATAAGCACTATTTACAGAGACGTGTCTTGGACAGGTTCGGATGTGTTGTTTCACTCCCTTCTTTTCACTGTCCTCTTGACGCAACACTATCCTTGTTCGTTTGTCTACAGGCAACCTCAGTAACTCATTTTCTCTTTCCGAGCGGTTCCAATCCCCTGCTAGGCCTGTCCCCTTCTCGGCGCAGCGTGATGATAAATATCCATTTTCATCTTCAACATATGCCCTCTGCATCTGCCCGCTGTGCTGTACACAGGCTCTGTCTGGCGCACACACATTCTCTGGTGAATAACTCATTGTGGTTTGACCTTCGGGACACAATCTCTTGAGAGGAGAGAGAAAATAAGGGAAATGGTGTATGTGCGTTGCTAATCGTAGTAATCTGCCGTTGTGTTTTATGTTGGCGTGTTTGTTATTGTGGGGAGGGGTGGCTGGGGTAATCGTCTTCTATCCAGGAGCATGTTGGTGCCTGTTAAACATGCAGTCGAGCTAAGCCCTGCTGAAACTGCATACTGATGTACTGCACAGTCCCAGCGGTTAGAAGCGAACATGAAGAAAAACGAACAATAAATAAACAACTCTGTGTTTTTCCAAATCGCCATTTGAGAAAAAGCTTTTTTTTTTCAAGCACATTTTCCTCACAAAGACCTCCTCAGTTCTTGCGCTCCGTATAATTCTACCTCTCTCTTCCTTCCTTTCCAACAATTCAGTGAAATGTCTCCCAGTGGAGATCTGGGAACTGGTGGCGCTGAGCAGTTGATGCATAAAGACTCCTTGTGTAAAAATACAGGCAACAAGAGCAGTGTTCATTGGACTGCATCCCGTCAGGAAACAATAACAAATAAATTGACTTGTAATGTTCAGAAACATTCATATGACACAGGAGACTCTGGGGCCCCACAAACACCAGCAGATTCCCTTTCATATGCTAATAACCCCCAATCCTAATTAAAGCTGCGGTACCCATCATTCTTTTGGGACACATATTATTTATTAAAAGAGTAAAAGTTGTGAACAAATCAGACCACAACATGCAATCTACATCTTATTATAAAACATTTTTGCATAATTGTCAGAAAGAGTTCTGTGAGTCACTATTTGGTGCAGAGACCTGAATGGATTTTTTACCTTTTTTGCCTGAAAAATAAAAACAAAATCTGAGAATTAATAATAATATGAATTGTTATTTTATATTGTCATAATTATCATTCTTCTTCATATGTGTCTGTGTAATTGTATGCATGCTTCATGTCATAGAAAATGTAATTGAAAAAATCAAAACAAGCAAAAAGATGTGACGGAGGCCAGACAGACAAGCATGTGAAAACCAGTTTTGAAAGCAAGCAACTAGAGAAATCGTTTTCCGTTTTTTGTGATTTGCAAAATATGTTTTAATATTTGAATAAGCCAATGATGCAAAAACGTCTCTATCACAAACCTTATATTCACTCATATTTTTAGGTTAACCTTGGGAAAGTGCGTTCTGATTACAGCTAACATTATATAAATCCCTTATAGATTGTAAAAGGTACCAATTAAAGGCCATAAACACCTGGAGGCAATCATTTCAACCTCCCATTAGAGCGTTTAACCTCTCCTCTTATTTACAGGCAGAGACTCGTGGAGGCTCGAGTGCATGCATCCATGGTTGACTCACAAAACTATTACCGATGGCTTTAATGCTGCACACTGCAAAAAAAAGTCCACTAAAAGCCATGATGGAACTTGTTTTGTGACATTTTTCATTCATGCCAAGACTGCAAACTAACCCACAGGCAAAGATATAGAAACCACCACGGACTTACCGCTGTCTCTGTTCTGCGGCGCTCCTCTCTGGTCGTCCAGTCGGAGGTCGCTGAGAAGATGCTCCAGGATTTTGAGTGGCGTTCCTGACACCACCACATACCTGTAGGACAGCAGGTCATTGTCAGAACAGTCTTCCTCAAAACACCAGCCACTTCCATCTCTCCAATCACTGCCCCACGCCCCACTTTTCTCCTCCTCCTCCTTCCCTTCATCGTCAATGTAGCGTAAATGCGGAACGTTAAAAGTCGGAAAGTCAAAACCGTCGTTGTCGCTGTCCTCTTCGTCCAAGTCCTCCTCGGCCTTAGCTAGCGTAGCGCGCTCAGCCATCTTCATTTTGACCGTGTGACATAGCAGCCCTTGTTTAAGAATTTGGAATCAATGGAAAAGAGGTGTAACAGCTAAGGGGTGAACGTCTTGCTGTGTTTCTTGTCAACAAAATAGAAAATAAATCCTCAGGGACTTCCTGCACTGGGCTGTGCAAACAGTGGCACTGCTGCAAGACTGAACTGATTCCAACTGGAGATAGTGAACACACGTCACACACCCACTTAACCTGCCCATCAGTGACACTCCCCACTAAATTGTGCCTTAGGTCTTGGCTGGTTCTACCTCATAAGCAGACTGAGCAGCTGCCTAGGGCCCCTACGTTTGCAAATGGTCCCAAATAACACCCCAATGCATGATGTTACATTGTTACAAGCAAACTGGATGACATTGAAAATTAAAATTGAACCTTTGTTTCTTTTTTTATTAGAAACAAAGTACAAATCTACATTCAACCCGAACCCCCAAAGAAATTAAAAATATAAACCATATTTGAAGAAAAGTATAGATGTCTCAGTCACCAGACCCTTTAATAACATCAGGGACTATAATTTGACATTTGATTTTTATCAAATATTTTTGAGAAAAAGTTATTTTATTGTAATACAACTTTTGAACATGTTATAGCAGTTTTGCTTTGTCATTTATACACTCAAAGATCAAAATTTGCAAGCACTAAACTGCTCTGACAAAAAGAGTATTTTTTTATCACTTGGCATCAGGCCCCCTGAAATCTAGAACCGGCACTGCATCTTGGAAATATATTGGCTGTTGTGAAAATGATGATAAATTATCAACACTTGAATTTAAACGCCTTAAATCTAAGTTACACTGACAGTATGTGCTCCAACAATGAGCGAGGAGGAGACTCTTGATGACACATGGCACAGGGTTGTTCCTAGAGCTGAGCACTGACCTCTTGTTGCTGTCGTCGTCCCGGGCTCCGCTTCCCGTGGAGGTGGGCGAGGGCCGGTCTGATGGGGAAGTCACAGCAGACGCCACACGCCGTAGAACCAGCACGTCGCGGCCCCTCTCCTTCAGACACACCCGGCTCACGTTGTCCTGAGAGAGAGAGAGAGAGAGACAAGGATGTGTGGTTAGAGAGGGATTCAACAAACAGACAGCCCAGCTACTGTAAGCATGAGCCTCCTCCCTCAAACTGAGCCCCACCAGTGTAGTGTGACGCTGCAGAACTTTGGGACAGATTTGCAAGATACGATCCATGCTTCAGTTACCTACAAAACATGATTAAAAAATAATGTGTGGATAGTCAACTACATTTATTTATATATAGCCCTAAATCACAAAAGCAGGTCAGAGAATCAAATGACTTTACATTTTCTGGATCATCACCGTCCTTTGTCCTTTGACCCTCCTGCATCAGCAAGGAACAACTCAAAAAACCTAGTGGTCTGGCCTTTACTAAAATTCTACAGCGATACAATAAACAAGTTTCATTAAAGTTCATTTAAGTAATCATGTAATTATGACTCTGTTGCTCATTAACATAGGCTCATTGTATTTGCTTTGGAGTGTGCTGACCATGTTCTAATCTATTTGATTGAAAATGTTTTTAGTAAAGTTAAGTGATGCATGTATTATGAGTTATCTGCAGAGGAAATTCATCCTTTGCATTTGAGTAGTCACCAAATCCTTCACTGTATAATGTTTATCTAGGCACAACAGGTGTGAATGTTTCCCATCACAATTGCATGCCTGTTTATTATATCATCAATAATGGGGGCAGAGTGAATACGCGTTGAAATGATATCCCGTTTCAGAAGAAGACAAAGGCAAGATGAGCGGCGTCTTTAGCACGATGGTACAATGAGAACGCGGCTCCAGACAAAACATCACAATGGAAACGGCCCGAGGAGAACGGAGCGGGCGATCAAAGTGAAAGAAAAGGCGAAAAGGGACAGGAGGAACAGTCTTCAGCAGATGTGTTCTACAAACTTTGTCCTATGAAGAATAACAATGCTTCCACAGGGCCCTCTGCACTTTCAGCACTTAATCTAACTTCTATCAACTAGAGGCAGGTCACATCTAAGTCTGTGATTGGCAGACAAAAACCTTTTTTTATCCCACAGGACTGATAAGGCTGAACATTCTTGACTAAACTAATAATTGTGGACGAAGGCTTTAAGATACAAGAACAATACAATACAATCGGGGGGCGGCAGTCAGAGATGATTCACATAATATTGAAATATTTTTGTTCACCCCTGCATGCGGTTTACATTATATTAAATGCATTCAATCCTCAACTGCCCTGTGCTTCAGGTCCTAAAGTGGTGGATATTTCTATAGTTCAGGACCTAGTGCTATTTCACATACAGCCCATCCCCACCCATTTCAAGTCTGTGACTTCCTGTTACTTACGTGGCAATAAAAAATATTCTGATTCTGATTCTGAGTCCCTGTAGTTGCGTCAAAGTAGAAGAACTATGGTTGCCTACTTTAAACATGAAAATTTACATTTTCTTCAGCCTACAATGAAATGAGAAGGTTGGGTTTTCCGATGTTTTGAACAGGAAGTCACTGAACTTGTCTCCATGATAAAGTTTACAGTTCCTGACTCTGTCAACAGGTTTGTTCTATCACTAAGTTTTCACTGCATGTATTTTTTGGCCTCTGTCACATCTTCATCTAAGCTTTTACAGACAGAAAAGTGAAATTTAGCCCAAAGCATCAAATAGTGACACACAAAGCTCTTTCTTACAAAGTACGTATAAAAGATGAAGACAGCATGTTGTGGCCTGATGTGTTCACAACATTTGACTTTTTTGGCTGCTTATGAATAATAAACTTATTATCTACATGTCCAGTTCAATATAAACTCTAAAATGTTTACATGTTTTCTAAATAATTCTACAAAAAATAACAGTCTGTTTATATGTTTTTATTATTAATATTTATGATTATTATATTGTTTTATTAATCTGGCAGCCTCTGTGATGATTCCAGCTGCACTTAACATTATAATAATACTAAAAAATAACATGCAGTATTAAATGAAAAGCCAGCAAGTACATTTTATCACTCGCTCTGTATCGCTTTCCTTCCTGTTTAATTATGTTATCAACAAACATATTTTGGGTGTTACGCAACCAGAAAATGCACAAAAAGAGCCATATTACACAAAACCATTAGTGCCCGAGATAAGAGGCTTTCTTTCAAGAGCTGCCAAGCCAAACAAGATGTGTATCCCATGCACACCGTTTGACTAAGTTTGTATAAGCAAGCCTAATGGCAAGTTACCCTGAGAAAGAATGCAAAAAAAGGACAATATCCACAAAAAAATGTTGACAAAGGGTCAGGCCGTTATGCAACATTTATGGCGCGGGAAAGGAATAAAAAAACAGAGTTGAGGGAGACAGGAACATGAAAACAAGATAATATAAGGAGCAGTGACCAGCAGTCTGCGGAAAGAATGTGTAAAAATAGCGTGTTTCGTAAGCAGAAACAGAAACAGAAGCAGGACAGACGTGACGCTTCACTTGTTTATATTTGGAAGATGTTCACCCGCTGTAAAGTGTGACTGAGGTCTATTGTGTGCACTGATTTCAATTTCCTAAGATTATTACATCGTTTTGCTTTTCTATTGGCCTTGGCACAACCTTCGGCATTAATCACATCTTATCCCAGTATCTGTAACAGGCATTTTGACATGACTGGAAAAATGAGTCATGTAATGTAATCAGTTTGTGATGATCTGCCAATCTGGAGTGATTACCCAGGGGTCCGTGCTCTAACAAAACACTCTGCCATTGCCCATGTGCTTCTAGTGATCATCCTCCTGCTCCGTACCCAGCAGATTACCAACTGAGTTTTGGTATATTTTTTTATTCAGAGCTGGTTTAAGTTTATGTGAACAGCAGAGAGAGCTGAGACAAGGAGATGCATGAAACACTTTTTTTTATATGATTAGGGCTATTGTCAGAGGTTTATGGACTTATTTTCTTGACTAAAACAGCTCTTCATGAGCTGACAGAGTGTTCGTTGTCACCCTGAACTTTTACTACATTTGCTTCCAAAAGTGCTTGAACTTTTTCACACAGACAACTGTGTGTGACAATAGGAAGGCAAAATGATACATGATTGAGGTATTTTTATACATAATAAAATAAGTGAAAATTGGAGCTTGCGCATATATTTTCTGTGTGCATTCCATTGTCTTTGAACATTAGCTAATGACTGCTGAATGCTTAAACCTTTCCCTAACGATTAAATGGAGCCTACATATGTGTAATCTACTCTCAGTATAATCAGTGAGGACTTGTATGGGTTGAGTATGGGTCACTAAACAGCATCATGAAGTCCTAGGGGCACACAGGTTAGGGATAAAGTTGTGGATGCATTTAAGCATTTCTGGTCTTTCAAAAGCTTTTACTGTAGTTGTATACAAGACGCAATGTGAAAGCCACTGTATTCCCGCTGTCACTTCTACTCCACAAGAGTAATGTCTATGGTGTGGTCTACCATTATGTAAGCGCCTCCTTGGACCCACTGTGTGGTCTCCATGGCCTTGCACTTGTTCCCACACAGCAATGACATATTGTACAGAGGAAAGGTGGGTCTCCAGCCCAGAGGAAGCACTTTCAACTTCCTTCCTGCTTCAGTGCGTTTGCCTGTTCCCTGTCTATCTCTGTTGTGATAGCACCAGACATCATGCCTGGAAAGTAAGGCAAGGCAAGGCAAGGCAAGTTTATTTGTATAGCACAATTCATACACAAGGCAACTCAAAGTGCTGAACAAGATAGCATTAAAATCATAAATAATCACAGAACATTAAAACGAAAGATAAAAATATAAAATCCCTCAGTTGTATGCAAAGCTAAACACTTTAACTTGGTTTTAAACATTGTCAGAGAGGAGGCCTGTCTCACATCTTCAGGAAGATTGTTCCAGATTTTAGCAGCATGAATCTGAAAAGCAGCCTCCCCATGTTTAGTTCTGACTCTGGGCACTAACATAAAGTACATAAAGTATCCGCAAAAGCCAACACCTGTAGGAGCATTGGATTAATTTCAGGCCTAATATGAAATTAAATGGGCCTCACATATGACCTTGTCTAATCCCCTGTCCTGGATGACCCCTGTGCCATCTGCAGCCAGCAATGACAGAAATACATGTATGAGGACAAGGACCACTCATCTCTAATGCATCACTATGGAAACAGAGAGGCATGTCAGTCAGAAGGAGACAAACCACCCTGATGACCCCATATCAAGACTCTGACAAAATATTGCAGTTTTCAAGGCTAGAAACAATGATTGTTATGTTTGGAGCAAAATGTGTGTATATTTATGGTTTATCATTTCAATTACCAAACAACTATAAATTGTGAACACGTATATAATTCTATACGTTTACATATTTGTATACTCCAATACCAAATGTGAAATGTATTATGTTAAATCCAGGACGGGTAACCCTAACCCTAAAGTTTTACAACAAAAAATATGTGGCCAATAGGGCAAGCTTTCTATAATTCAAACTGCAAATAATCTAGATACAGTACTCTTGTTACATTGTAGAGTTTAATGAACAATTATCAAATCAAATCGGCATGGTGGCTGAATGGATAGCACTCTCGCTTCTCAGCAAGAAGGTCCTGGGTTCGAATCCCGGTCGGAACAGGGCGTTTCTGAGTGGAGTTTGCATGTTCTCCCCGCGTAGGTTTCCTCCGGGTACTCAGGTTTCCCCGACCACTAAAAACATGTACAATAGGTCTGGCATGTGCCTCCTGTACTGGCGTCCCCGCTCCCATCTCTGTGTGGAGTGAGAGACAAATCCCCGCAATTGTAAACCGCTTTGTGACTTTGTGAAAGGCAGTATACAAATATAGATTACTTACTTAAATCCAAACAAAATTGTGAAAAAATGACACTGGGAAACAGATTCAACACCAGCAGCAGCAGTGTTTGGCTGATTCTCTGCCTTCAGGTGTAGTTTTCGCACTGGAATTCTCCACACGCGCCTCATTACTCGTGCTCAGTGACTCCAGACGACCATGGTGGACATCTACACACGAATGACTACAGCCGGAAAGCTTACAGAAACAACTCAAAGCAGCCTCCGTTCCTTCACTGACTTTAAAAGCATCATTGCTTTGCTCTAAACCATAATTAACACCCACATGAGAAGAGGAACTACAAGTAAGATTGTGTGTTATTCTGTGGCGATAAGTACAGGCAGCTACGAGTCTTCACAAGCTGATAATGTGCAAGGAGTGAGTGGGAAACTGGGGTTTGGATGCTGTTGAAAGATTAGTGACGCAAATTAACGAGATAGAGGGAGTTTATCTGGGTCCACACAGCAGGGAGGCGAAAACACTGATGAAAACATACGTATAGAAAAAGCCTCATTATAATTTAATATTTTCTTTCTTTCCCAACATTCCCCAAAGACAACAAAAGCAACTAGATCAGTGTATACTCTACCAGTGTGACACGATGACACATGACACCTGACCCAAAACTGTGAGTAAGCCGGCCCTGAGGTGTGAGAGTGCAAAGTGTGTACGTACAAATGGCCGTGGTAATTACATATTTAACCGTACGGTGACGTGCAACACCTGCTACTCACTCCAACCATACAACCGCAGCACATTACTGCATCTTAAGACTTGGCACTATGGTTTTCACTGGACGAATAGAGTACAAACTCACTGTTGGGGTTCGCTCTGGCAGCTTGTAGTTGTGGTTCTGCAGCAGCCTACACCCGTCCTTCGCCAAGCGCTGAACGGCCTCCAGCCCAAGGCGACTGGTCAGCTCCTCTCGTCCGCACATCGACCCCATGCTGCTGCCCCCTCCACTGCCCAGCTGCAACACAGGAGGCATGAACACAAATCTCAAGCCACAGTCCCAAGACATGGTGCAGATGTCAGAGCCGGGAAACAGGTTTTCTCAGTCGGAAATGTTAGGACTTTTATCTCCTGTTGGTTCAACGAGTGTATCCATTACACTAGCTCAATATCTGGACACCTCTCATTGTGGACTGCTGTGTCAGAGGAACTGCTGGGGACAGATTAGAGGTAGAAGTGGGCGGGAGTTTGTGTGGGATGGGTGCATGAAAGGGGGTGTGTAAGATCTGTGTCTCCTCCTCAAAACAATGTGTACAATAGATGGGGTATCCGCACTGATCTCTAAATTAAACCGATAGTGGAGTGAGCGAGACTGCACAACCATGACAGAGAAATAACGAATAGTGGCTTAATGGCTTTATCCTTGAGCAAAGCGGGCAACACAGACAGCAGAGGTGACTCTCCTGCGTGCTGCTACTCGGACGTTTATGGCCACTGGCAGCTAGCCGAGTCTGTTTATTTGCCTTTCAACACAGGAATTGCTTTTATTTACCTCAAAGAGAGGTAAGCTCTTCTTGCAAAATTCCCCAAATAGCATTACCATAGATACAACAATGGAGAAATGTATTAGAACATTTACTTTGACTCGCTTCAGGAGTCTGATCTGGTTCCATTCATTTTCCTTTTATGGAGTTTTGACAAATCCAAATGTTAAGGCTTTGAGGGAATGGGGATGCTACCTACTATCCACAGCAGTGTTTTCAGCTCAAAGCACAGATTTCATTATGACAATAGATACAGTCTTGAATACAAATAGGTCCTGAGGTCATAATTCACTATAATAGATTATTTCAGACAAGCTTTCAAACTTTTGGAATATTTAAGGGTGGAATATTAAAGGGATATTTAAGTCAGGAGCGAGCTGGGTCTGCATTTCACAGCCATTGAGATGGGATTTAGGCACATAAATTAAAAATACAAATGATTTAAAATCTATAGGTCAGCAAGTCACCTCTGGAGCTGGGTCTGAGCTACATAGAGCTATGAAGAACTGCAGATCACAGTTGGCTAGTGGATTTTATTATTCATTTTAGCTTTCTATGTGACGCTGGCAAACCAAAATTTTACAGATTAAGAACAAAAACAAAACAAATATTTTTGCTGATTTTGTCAATTTGGCATTTTTTTTAATTACATTTTTCCACTTTCCTCAACACTTACAATTAACCACATAATTGGATCCAGTGTATTCCTGTTCACAAGGTTAAATAATGTGTAAACATATTAGGAAACTTTGGTTTGGGAAATAATATGGCCCTTTTCCAAGCTGCGCTTTCAGTTGTCTGGTGTACACAGAGGATAAATAATTGATGTAGAAAAAGACATTTCTACGGCACAAAGAAGCAGCCGAAGAGAACATGCTGCCTCTGCTTTCTACATTTAGTCACACTCACCACATACTGTAGATGCACCGACTGACCTGACACCAGCCTCTGTAAGCCAGACTTTCATCTCATTATATAAACTTATTTTAAAAGTCTCTTTTTGGATCATATTAATAAGGTTAATGTATAATTTGTGAATGTGACAAACAATGGATCCATAACGACAAATAGTCCATCAATAAAGAAATGTAAATGATTATTAAAGAAACGTACAGGGCTGCTCTCTTCACTGGGCGTCCGCGCCTCCTGGTGGCTCGACTCGGTCGTCTCAGAGTCCTGCTCTGACACTGAACTCAAACAAACAAAAAGGCCATAAATATGATTTAAAGATGAAAAATAAAAGTAAAGAAATGTACGTACATGCTTTTCGAGTCTTTCGGGCAAGAGCTACGGCCAACTCATTTTGTACCTGTTATAAATAAGAAAATAAAAACATTATTAAGTCAAGACAGAAATAAACTCAAGATAAAAAAAAAGACTCAACCGTAGAAGTCAGTCTCTCCAGAGCTTTCATCTGAAGAATCTCCCCGCAGATATCTCTGTTGCCCTCAGAGTCTTCCTCTGACCTGATACAGAAATAACACACAAACACAAACATTACATATAGAACTAGAAAAACACTTACAATAAAGGATCACCTCCATAATCTAACCATTTGGTTCTTGTCTCAGATTTCATTTAAATTAAAAATACAGCCATAAAATGTCTTGTCTTGCTAACAGACAGACAAACCTGATGAAAACGTGAAATGTTCCACTGGTCAAACAGACACCTTCTCTTTACTGCCCCCTGGTAAAATGTAAAAACTGCAGTTACAGCTGTTTTGACAACTTTTAACTGTTCAGTTACTATTTTGCAGTTTGATATATGCTTGCATATTTCCTAGATCATTTTCACTGATACTTCATCATTATAGAGCTATAGTACTATGTAGTATTATAGTAACAACCAATATAGTAGCAGCTTTTACATCTCCTCCATCTTTCAAGTGCCCGTCTTTGAGCTCAGCATGGATCTCTGCGCTACCCCCAGCTCTTTTATGTGGCTTCATTTAAAATAGCTCGCAGACACACCCTCAACTGATGTTGGGTCGTGTGGCGTCTTTGTGTACATATGTTCTTCATGTAGAAACATGTGATAATCTAATGAATTTAATTTCTCTCTCAAGTATCATCTGTGGGTTGTATACCGTGTTTGTTGTATAAACTAGTGGTTGTTTGGGGGTAAACGTTGCAGTATTCCCACTCAACAACACAAGGTCTTCACTAGCAGCAGACTGCACCCCAGAGCCACTGATTTAATATGTTTCGCTTAGAAGTGCTTGGTTTTCTACATATTGCCTCACACACGTACAAAAAGGAGACGGTTTCCCTTCCTCTCTGGCGCACACAGACACACACACACACACCCACTTTGCATATAATTTGGATTTTATCAACAGCTCCCACTGGTGCAAGTAATAGTGAGGGAGGCGGATGAAAGAGCGCTTCGGCCCATGGTTGTGTGTCTCAGTACAGTGTAATGTGATAAAAGTAGATGTGTGATCGTGATAAGATGAGACCCTCTGTGAAACCAATCCACTGCGACGCAAAGGTACAATCAAGATCCCAACACATTCAAATGGGAACGAGAGGTGATAATAATATGTTCTGTGCTCAAGACCATGCATTATACTGTACATCTCCCATACACCGACATGCTATGCGCCCGTTTGCTAAAATAGGGACAGTGTGTGGGATTCATTATAAGACCTGTAGGGATTTCACTCTTTGGTCAAATCATTCATTAATTGCTCGATGGCATCAAAGTCTTCCAAAATATGTGCTTGTCTACTAATTATTATAGCTAAATGATGAGGATCTGTATTGAAAAAACACTCAAAATAAGAACGTATGGTGTATAAGGAGGAGTTGGGATGGAGGAGACTGTATTTCGGACTGGCTCAGGTTGGTCCAATCTCCTATGAACGATTGAGTATGAACTAGCCTTCTCCCAGTGGACAAACGCAGACATAACATGGTCATGGCGACTTCCTTTTGCATCCGTTATGACTAATAAAGTCTTTCTATGTGATGCCATGAGTGACGTAAGATTGTACTATTTAACGCATTTCCTGACTTTGTTCTGCAACAAATTTTGTAAGAACTGAAACCGCAATTAAAGGACCCACGGCCATGTGCTTCTGAACTTAGGGACTTTAGTCCTGATTTTTGACACTCCCCATGTTGTTTGCCCAGAACGAATGACAAGACAACTAGGCACAATCTACCACTTGTTTATGGACATGCATGATGGAAAGCATGAAAGAGAATAAGAAATAATATAAAATGTGCCAATGAGGAGCTCCTGACATGGCCAAACTGAAGACTGAAGTAAGCGAAGATGAGCAAAGTTGAGCACAGAGGAGAGTGATATCAATTGGCTGGAAGTTGTTACTGGAAAAATGACAAACTACAGCACGGCAAACAATAAACATGTTAAAACACACAATATACAATTTGAAAAGTGAAAGTTAGCTGAAGATTTGGTATGTTTTTTCAGGCAAGAAAATTATTCATTGACAAGTTTAATTCATTTTTGGATTATTGTTTTGTTTTCTTGTTGTGGTTAAGGAGTTTTGAGTTGAAATCTAGTTCAGTGATTCACATAAATATAAACGCATAACAGTTTTTGTCACATCACCAATCGATGAACCGGGCATGTCAAGAACAACTACAGCTTCAGTGTGAAACTTCTTCAGTGATTTCCAAAAGGATTTACATTAAGGCTATTCGAAGATTTTGAAGTGACAAGTGCTCTGGAATCGACTCCAATATTGCAGAGTACAGATACGTGAATTTCTCAACTTTGCTTTTGTTCAAGTCTGCCTTTTAAAGCAAAAATATGATATAATAGAATAGAGTGCCGTGTATATTTCAAGTTTCTGTTCCCACTATAATGAGGTCAAGTTTATGAGATGTGATTGAGAGACAGAACTGAGAGGAGATTAGTAATGTATATGTGACTTTTGCAAGACGAGAGTCAGATGAGCCTCCGTCTGAGTGCGAGAGGGGAAGAGCCCGCTGCCTTCAGGGGAACCATGGTGTGACACAAGCAGTAGCAGCAGCAGCAGCGGAAGTGACAGACGGGCTGCACATGATCTGATCCAGAACTGCATTCCTCTAATGAACACAGCCGGATGGAGTACAAGAAGTCGGAAATACAAGAAAAAGACAAATGTTTGTAAACAGAAAGAGAGCTGAATCTAAAAAACATAGGATTTTTCATTTTTTATGGGCATGGAAACATCTAAAATATGGATTTTGTCCCATAAAAAACAATGAAACATTTTATCAGTAGAAATGGCTGCAGAGAAATATTTCCCGATGTTGTCAACAGTGAGATTGCAATAAGGATTCAGAAGGGCCTCCTATTCAACACTTGGTTTACATTATTATAACGTATATTTTACAGCAGTCTGTCATTATTAGGAAGGTGCAAGCTTGGTTTTAACAAATATGATATACATGCATTTGTCAAATTGTCAAGTTGCTATATAAAAAAAGATTCACTATGAACATGCAATAAAATAATATCTCTGTCACAAAATAGTAAATCTATTACTGAAAAATATTCCGGAGGCCATGTTATCAATTTCCTATAACAGCATATAGTATCACTGTATACTCAGAGTCAGCCTCACCAGTGATCTCACATCAGAGTACTACCAGACCGTATACTGCTTTGTGTCCGAGCTCTCTGAAAAGCCACAATTATCATTTGATACGTAAACTATCTTTCTGTCTTGAAATGCAACAAAAATATGCCAGCAACAAAAATATTTGAAAAATGATAGAATTGTTTTGAGAAGATGAGCAAGCAACACAAATACTGATGAATTCAGTAGACGTATAAGCATTTTGGAGATGTTTATTAACGGGATGACAAATATGAATCTTAGAATGTGTGAAATAGATTGCGCAGCTGATTTGCATACGTCATGAGTCCTAATATTTAATCAGCGCGGGACCAGAACAGAATGCATAACATTTGTATTAGCATGCATGGCACACATGTACAAGGCAGGCTGTCATGCTCTCTTGCTGGTGTTGTTAAATAGAGCCTTTGAAGTTCACAGATGGTGGAGTCCCACACTTTACCCTGCTCTGAATGCTCTTTTATGCACCAGGTCTGGCACCTTCTCGGCGCCTGTGTTTGAGTGGCAGATTGAGTTCAGTGACGCCTCAGCTGGAGTCCCACACAGAGGAGCATTACGCCTGACACCTCTGTGTGTGCGCATCCGCCGTGTCTGCTCAGTTCACCACGGATGTGGAGGTGTCCGTGTGCAAGCTACTGCCTTTTACGTAAGAAGATTGAGGATTTAACAGACGAGAGATTAGTGCTTTTTCTAGGGATTTAGGCATCATCTAGAAGACAAAAAATAAGTCTATTTTACAATACTCGGAAAGTGCTTGGAAAGAGCCCAGGACTTCCAGTAAATCAGATTGAATTGTTTCATGTCACAATTCAAATGAGAAAATCAAACAGACAAATGACCCGAATACAAAACCTAAATGGGGAACTGTCAGATCAGCTTTAACACAGCATTTCTCCAGTGAAACGGGCTTCCTATTCCAGGTCAAAGAAAGCAAGGATCCATGAGAGCAACTAGGCCAAACTGACCAACTCATGACACTCAGATTCAGAAAGGGCCTTCAACTTCTGTACTGCAAAAGATATGAAGACATCTACTACAGACCAGTGTCCTTTATGGTATTATAAGAAGGTTAGGAAGGACGTGTTTCTCAGATTTATGAATCCCACTATTTGTTTCAAGTCAAAAATAATAATAATTGGCGACAGTAGCTCAGTTGGTAGAGCATTGGCCTTTGAGCCTGAGGGTTGTGGGTTCGAGCCCACCACAAGACCTACTTCATGACGCCCACTGATGACTGCTGTCATTGTGTCCTTGGGCAAGACACTTAATCCCACTTTGCCTGAAGCTCCCACTGAAAGATCTCAGCTCCTGTGGACTCACCACCTGCAGGACGATCAGTGAGGGGCTGGTGCTCTGTGTACTGGGTGCAGCTCTGACTGCCACCCCCCCGACCCAGAAATGGATTCAGGAGAAGAAAATGGATGGATGGATGGCTTCTATTATTCATTTCCTGGTCAATAATAATAACATTAATTCTAGCTTCCTGGTCATAAACAATTCAGAATTTCAAACAAGTCGCATTTCTTTGTTCAAAATCGGAATAATTCGGCCTCTCTGCGGACCCGGGGATTCATTATCAAATCATATTTTTTACATTTTTTAGTGTCTGATGCTTACAATGGCAATAAATAAATAGACAAAAAACTTAAGTGTCTTTGAGAATCTGTCTGTAAAGTTATAAAGTTGTAAACTCCCACTGGGTTTTAGAGTTTTTCCTTGCTGATGCAGGAGGGTCTGTTAGTGGTCTAACAAAGAGGCCTGAGGTGATGATCCAGGACACTAACCTTCTACAACATTCATGGCCATTTATCAACATTCATGGACAAGCTCCCCCTATGGACCAATACATAATGTGTTCTTTATTTTTTGTGATTTAACAGTTTGATTCTCTGATCCGTGTTGGTGATTTCAACGGTTTTGATAAGTCCTCTGAGATAACTACTGTCGTGATTTAGGGCTACACAAGAATGAATTGAATTGTATTATATTGAGCTTACATTATAACTGCAGGAAATCTCAATCTTGACTTGCACTGCCCTCATCTCATCGCCAAAAGCTGGATTCTCAATGTTACCAATGGCATAAAGTAAGTACTTACGGGCTGTTTGTCCCGCCTCCTGATCGGAACTGAACATAAGGAGCGAGTTGCAGCAGCAGCCGGACCGCCTCTGGCCACTCCGCCTCATTTGAGCGAAAATCACAAGACGCAGACTCACACTCCTCAAAACTGAACTGGTAGTAGGTGTTGGAGTCGGAGAAGATGACACGCTGGTCCACTGTGGAGAGACAAGAGAACCTATAACACATGGAACTCTACCGGGAAACTGCCATCTAGTCTTATGACACTCAAGTATCATAAGACGGCTGCAAGATTGTATTGTCACAGCAATTAAGAGCATCACAAAGACTTCCATTTTTGAGGTCCTATGTAAACCACAAGCTATCACATCTCTTTACTATTTTGTCTTACTCTAGTTCAGAACGCTACAAACACATTCTGTAATATATGGGATTCTTGTATTTTATCTCTAGAAGATTACACCAAGCACTCTGAACATAATCATACTTAAAGGCACACCGTGTAACTCTTGGCCACTAGGGGCGCTAGACCTGCAACTTTCACGTTTAGCGCCCCTAGTGGCCACAAGCAACTCAGCACTGTCGCAAAAGTCAACAAACAGTCAGCCGGTGTCTTTTGAGTGTGTATTCAGACAGCATGCACTGGTGTGTGTGTTCAAACTGTAGAGACATGCCTACAGATATTGAGAGACTCTGCTGTGGTCAGCCTCCAGACCGCTGCATTAGTAATCTACCACACATGGACTTCTATATCCTGGATGAGGGAGTTCTGCGTCTAGCTCGTGCTGCGTGGAATGACATCTTTGCAGTCGATGACATCCAGGAACCAGGTGAAGAGCAGCGCTCATACAGACATGCAGCTTACAGCACGATCCCTTTCGCGTTTCCTCTTTTTAGCCTCCTCCGAAGGTTTAAATTTTTTCCTTGCCTCAGCCATGACCAGGAGTCGAGCAGGTGAAAAATGAGTAGCAAAAGCCTTAGCTCCATGAGTATATCAGCGCCTGTAGCCGTAAAGCAAGTCTTTCTTCCAAGTCACGTGACCTGGTGGCAGACGGTCCGTCTGCTCGAAACTTACATGGGCGGTATTTCAAGAGGGCAGCCCCGCTCGGAGCATTGCAAGTGTCAAGCGCTGTATATTGGCCCAAGTATTCATATAAAATAACTCATATGTGTCAACTCTTTAGGTCACAAAGTCCGCGGTGTGCCTTTAACTTAAGGGCAGTATACAGGCTGCTCTCTCCCAAGTGCAATTATAGCTAAAACCCTATGGCTCTGCTAAGATTATTTAAGATGTTATGTTTAAGTTGAGGTTGGCACAGAGAGATAAAGACTAGAGTTTTTTATCTTAAATGATAAATATTTGTTTTCCTTGATGTTGGATTATGTTTGAGTGCTCTTATACTGTGCTGTAATGTTCAACAATGACACTGAAATTTCCCATACAGTGCGACGATAATAGGTTCCCTCATCTTAATCATAATAGGAATAATTTTCAGGGATAATGTAGATCATTTCACCAAGAGCTCTATTTGCAAATTTGTACATTTACACTATCCTGTCAAAAGCAGTCCATTATGTAGTTTATTTAGGGAGAAAAACAGCTCTTTGCAGGGTACTGATAAATGCGGTGGAAAGAGAGGGATGGTGTTGTTTTTTACCGGACAGCAGGACCCCCAACTCCAGCAGCACCTGCCAGACGCGCGCCGCGGTGGTCCGACAGCGCACATACACACACTGCTCACACAGCCACTGCACCAGCTCCACGCCCACATAGCTCCTCCTGCAGGAAACACAAGTGGACACATTTCAGCCCTCGTCCACGTGTACGTGCTCGCTTGGCAAGAGCTCAGCTTCTTTATTTAATTGTATCGACTGCAAGTCTTTTTTTATATGGAAGCCCTTTTTGTCAAGACTTAATGTAATTACAGAGATCCACTGCAATGTTTATAAACCTGCATGCACCATTACAACTAGGCTAACAATGCATTGGTGCTAGCCTTACCTGGACCTGTTCACCGTCCAGGTAATAATAGTTGATTAATCTGGTGATGCTTTCTTATTGACAAAAAATTGCATTGGTCTAAATTACAAGGATGTCTATGAGAAAAGAGCACAAATGAGAAGCCAGGGAGACAAATGTTCTGATTTTGCTAGATCCTTTAATACTTGTGAGTACACTCTAGGTCAGATTCATAATACATAGTTTTTTACTTTTTTGACATCAAAGACGCTTCACATGGCATTATTCATCACTCCATACACAATGATAAACTACGACTGTAGCCACAGCTGCCCTGGGGCAGACTAATAGAAGCGAGGCAAGCAGTATGAGCCCTTAGTACCTCCGACCACCACTTGGTGTATGACCACAATCACACACCAGACTCAATTTTAGGAATTGTTGCCTAAGGACACAACAACAGTTTGGAAGTTCACAGATGCAGCCGCCCCACTGTGACACCTGGTATTACTAAAAGTCTCCCATCTCTATACTAATCAGGCCATGCCCTGCTTAGCTTATGAGGTCTGCCGGGATTCAATGGTTTCATGTTTTATGCCCAATATACGTTAAGACAAGGGACAGTTGCTTAAATCCTGCATCTGAGATTTCTATTCATAATCATGGACATTTTATCATAAAGCTTCATACTTTATGATAAAACTTTAACATAAACATCTTGAATGTTACCGGATGATTCTGGCCAGGTGGATCTTGTCTTTGGCTGGGTACGGCCCGTGAGAGAGGAAAGCATTTCTTACAGCTCGTCCAGCGCAAGGGAAACTCTGGGAGCAAGACTGACACAGACAGAACACAAGTGAGATTCAGGACATGTCTCGTGACAATGTTTTTATTCATGGATTCCTATTGTTGAATCATTTCATGGTTTTTTTATGCTTTAGTTTTTGCCTTTAGAAATCCATTGGTTAAAAACACATAATTCAAAAACATAACAGGGCCACAATTATAATGCAAATGAAAAGATTACAGTAAAAACAGAATACAAAAAATAAACAAATAAAGATGAATCATTTAAAAGGTGATTGTTACAGTTCATAATAAGAGTTTTAAGTAGGGTTGGGCATCGTTTGCAATTTTCCGATTCCGATTCCGGTTCCGATTCTCACTATCAATTCCTGTTCTAAACGATTCTCGATTCCGATTCTTTGAGGTGCAGGAGAAAAAAAAAAAAGATAATTTTTTTTTTTTGTATCAAATTTTATTTCATAAGTACTTTTCCTGCCATAAGGCAACAGAAAGTGCTTTACATAAAAACAAATTAAATTAAAAAACAAGGAACACGAACACACACACACACACACACACACACACGCGGTGTTTATGTGGCACCGCCCACCAACATCTCAGAGCGGCTGAAATGTAAACACGTCTCGGTTTGCCCCCCTCCGGGGTGGAAAGCTAAGCACAATCAGAATGTAACCTGAAGTAACTAGCTTCCCGAGACACACACGGTACAGTAGGTGGCGGTATGCACCTAAGCTGCTGGTTGCCACCCGCCAATAATCGACAGAAGAAGAAGAAGTAAACACGTCTCTGTAAACCGCTGAAAAACGGCTAAAGTGAGAATACTGGAGGATTATCGTTGGACGGACTGACAGATTTGACCAAAGCACAAGGACTCGTGCTCGTGCATCGTGTTTTCGGAGTTTTTTACGGATTATTACATGGAGGAGCAGGACTTTTTGCGGTCCTCGGCAGGTGGACAGCGTGTTTCCCTTCTTCATCATTACAAAGGGCCTGACCAGTAACTTTAAGGTAAGGAACATCAGTTTTGGATGTGTTTGTAAAGCGAGTGATGAAACTGATGTAGCGTGAGTTTGGGGAAACTGCAGCGGGCTAGCACGAGTGTTCAACCGGTCAATACGCCCGTTAAACCTCGCTGTCTGGACTCTAACTTAACCAAATAATATCTGAATTAGTCATTTGACGAATAAATGTTTGCTTCCTTTACCCCTTGACTCAGTTTTATCTGCGTTTGTGGAAAATGTGAAGATACAAGCGTTGAGAGGTTTCTTTGCGATGGCAGGAGTGTGTGGCTGAAGCTAAATGTGGCAAATACTGAGCAAACACGAGCGCGCCGTCTCATAAGAGCTTAATTCACTGAGTTTTTCACAAAGCTGGGTGGACAGCTGCTAAGCATTTTTGAAACGTGTCCCCCCCCCCACCTTCCAAACGCTTCCGACGCCGCTGTGCGGGCCGCATCCGGCATTTAGGAATCGAAAAAAGAATCAAAATACAAACGTCTTCTTAACGGTTCCGGAACCGCACTTTAGGAACCGGTTCCAAATAGGAACCGGTTCTCGGTGCCCAACCCTAGTTTTAAGAACATTTTAATTTTAGTTACAGGTTAGATAATTACATTTTTGAATCACATTTAAATACAATGGCTAAAGTCTTCCCTGGTCTTTGTGTATTGTAACAGCATAGGTAAGTGCTGTATTACAGAACTGTCTAAATATTAACTGTACTACACGTTTATATATATGTCAGTAAGTTGTAACCTTATTCACATCACAGTCTTGACCTTTTCAGTTCATTTTTATGCTGTAATGTTATGTGGGTACAGGGGTCAAAAACCTCCTAAGAACTGTGTCTTAATGATGTCATGTGTGTTTGCTAAATAAACATGACTTCATATGTGTGCTTACCTTGTGCACAGTTGGTCCACTGCTGGGCCCTGGGATGGTGTCAGGTGATTGCTGTTGAAACATAAACAAAGTGTGTCAAACAAAGTAACAAGGATCAGCTGATTTTATCAAGATTAAATGTTTGTTTTTCTTATCGACTCTTTAGGCACCAGAGTTCTTTATAAGTGATAGTGGACTGGCAAAATCAATAACACAAATAGATCAACTAAAGAAGATTCAAATGTAAATGTAGGGAAACGTTTGGGAAGTCGGGTCGCTGTTGCCTGACTGGACTGACCCTTCTTCACACTAGTTTCTTCTAACAATAGTGATCAGATCATGTAAAAGTGTGTAGTTCTGGCAGGCCATGCTAGCCTAAAGAGAAGAAGAAGAATTTTCAGTTTGATGCATACACAAACACATGATATACAGTACACATACAACATTTGATATAAAAGGGTATTAAGTCAATTGACCTCGAATAAAAAAAAATGTGCCTATTTAATTTCAAACCAATGATTGACTCACTCCTACGCACCTGTCATAGAAGAGATGTGCGAAGTCTACCTCTTTTAACAAACCAATGATTGCGAAAGGTAAATAAACAGCAATAAAAGACACGTGCCTGTCCCCGAATAATTTCCTGTGTAACTCCTCTTGAAAGGGAAGCTATTCATGATTGTTATGCGTTGGAAGGAGGGCTGCGCAATTTTGACCTAATATCAAATCACCATATTTCTCGTTACTGACACATTATTGGGGTCTCGATTATAATCTATGTCGATAATTGAGACTTTTGGTTGGGCCCACGACCATGAATAGAATTGTATAAATAGTGAGTGCATAGAGGATGGTAAAGTCGACATATACAGTGTTTACTCTACACTTAACATACTGAGTACACAGAAAACAAGAACCAGATTTTACTGTTAAAAATAACACCCAGGTGAATGAAGATGGTAATATCAGATATTGGAAAGGGAACCATTTAGAAACAGGCTCATTAGAAACTATGGGCATGGTGAAAATGAAACACTGATTTCTTGTTGTTTTCGCTCACGGTGGCAGTTTGCAGGTTTTGCTCTGAGCAGGTCTGCCCCACCTCCCATTCACCCGACAGAAAAAAAGAGCACGCTCCTAATCTTTATGGATTAGCCAGAGGAGTTGGATGACTAAGCGTTGACATTGGTGACACACTGCTCAGAAAATAGATTGAAAAATGAAAGTAAGTAGCCTGACCGTATGAAGACAGAAAGTCACTATTCTCTGCTGTAATAAAACTATAATCTATGGACTATAGAAAGTTATTCTGAGGGTTTTATCTCACCAGACCGCAAAACATGTTATTTTATTGTTTTTACAACCCTGAAGCACTGCTCTCAAAACGGCTCCACTGACACAAAGGGACAGAAGTCTTTGATGTAGAATAGAGTCATCAATAAAATATGCCACATTAATAACGGTGTCCAACAGACTCTAATGCAATTCAAAGTGTATAATAGATTGCACCTTTCCAGGACTAAGCTAGCAGAGCTGTCCACACATCTAAGGGCATTGGAGAAGTGTCTATAGATAATTATATAGTACATTTGTATGTTGTTTGTATGTTGTTTGTCTTTACTTTACTTTAATCTATTATACACTTTATCAAAGTGTATAATAGATTGCACCTTTCCAGGACTAAGCTAGCAGAGCTGTCCACACATCTAAGGGCATTGGAGAAATGTCTATAGATAATTAGTACATTAGTACATTTGTATGTTGTTTGTCTTTACTTTACTTATTGTCTGTTTATGTTTTGTATGGACCTTTTTGTGTCTGAATTAAAGATGAATTGAATACAGATCTCTTTGGCTCATGTTCTTTTCCTGTCCAAATGTACATGCACGGCCTCATATATTTACACTGTCCCTTATAATTATGTGTATCCCACAGAAACCTTTGAGGTAGAAGATGGATCAGTAATAGTATTTCATGGATTATCATACGGACGTATTTGATGGAAATTCTTCAGATGAATAGACAAACTTGTAAGGACTTCATTTCAAATCCATTGTTCCTACAGGGTGTCAATACTGGGTTCATATTTTGTAAAGCCGTTTCATTTACTATTCCATTGTCACAAAGTGCAAGGGTTATTTTCTTTATTGAAACAAAAAGCATTTTGAAATACGAGGAGAGAAGTCTTGATGTCTGATGAAGAATGAAAAAAACCTCTCATTGATAATGTAAGCACTAAGCAATGATGTCTCAGTTGTGTCACATTGTAGATTACATAATTACATTATGGCGTCGAACAGATCTGCCAAATGAATGTTTTCTCCAGCGTTTTCACCCATCAACATTCAGAGTGTTTATTGGCATGAGAATCACGTCAAGTCAATAAAACTACAGCAGATCAGAGAGGCATAATTCAATCTATCAAAATCGTTGTGCAAGTGCCGTCCGGGGACCTTCTTCCTGAATGAAAGGTTTGCTTCACAATGTACATTTAATAATGGAATCATAGCTGATAGTGAAAAGGAAGATAGAGGTCTGGAGAAAAATCAAATTAGAAGTACAATTCATGAAAGCAGAGTAATAAAGAGTTTGAGCGTAGCTCAGCGGGTGATCCAGATGGAGAACGAGATGAGGCGTGAGGCAGAGAAAGATGATTTTAATTGTGAGGATAGGATAGAGCAGCAGAGAGATGGAAATGGAATAAGAGAAATAATTAGAGGAGAGGAGTGTGGGATCCTTATTAGAGCCAGACTTTCTAGGATCAGAGCAAGGAGACACTGAGCTCATGATTAAGACAATATATACGGCAGATACTTAACCCCAGTCATGCCATTTAATTACAATTACAAGCTTTTCTGACTTTTGTCTGTGTATCAGCTGGCCTTGTCTCACACATAACCGGGATCCAGTGATGCCAAACTAAAATCAAATTGGTCTAGACGACGAGAGATGCGCTTTCACTATAGCACTTTGTAAACGCACACAAACATGCGAGTCATGGGGTAAAGGTGACCAGCATGAAAACGCGAATGACTCAGAGCGGTAAAGAATAACAGTAGATATGTCTTTTGTTCTTCCAGAGACGTGTTTATCTGTCCATCTCAGTGTGTGTCTGGCGAGCGCAGATCTTTGCCAGAGCCTTTTGTTTTTCTTCACAGAGGAGCTACAGGTGTTGCATTGTACTATCACAAATCTGTCTTCTTTTTTTGGAGCTAGGCGGCTGTTGCACTAAAGGCAATTTCAGACTGACAAAAGAGGGCGAGGGAGATGTATAGCCGTCTACCATAGAAACAGGCCTGCATGCTGACGCGCTTATCTTCTACGTAAGGATTTCAAAGTGTAGAGAGAATGACTGGGTCATTATCTACAAGAAATGGATTACTCTCAGATTAGATTGGGGAGAACAGTCAAGAGCAGAGGCGCGAAAGGCATGCTCTTGGCAAGCCCCACGTCACACTCACAAATCCATGCTATAATCCCCAGTCGGGCCCTGTGTCAAATACAAGGAAGTTAAAATGTGAAAAACCTGCAACGGAACGATAATAGTGAGTCATGGAGAAGCTGCACTCATCTTTTTTTAATAAACATGAACCTGGTGCCCCCGTCACACTGCTTTTTAAGTGAATTGTGAACCAAACGCTGGAGATAAAAATGTCATGACTTGTTTTAGGGCTGCTCCATTTGCCTTAATTTTTTTTGTTATGGCACTTGCGAGATTGTTTTGTATGTATTATAGAATTGCAATCCATGCAATCCCATGATAATTCATTAGTTTGTTTGTATGAATTTGTTTATCTAAATGGGACAATGCACATTTATCAACATGTTGCCATTTAGCCAAAAAAGAAAAAAAATTTAGCCAAAGAGGAGGCGAGGAAGTCCACTGCTCCACAACTGGGGTGGCTGTAGGACTTGTTAGCCAAACTGTGCTCTTGTAAAAAGTGAAAAAACTCAACATGGTGGATAATTAGAACAGGGGTACATGGACCTATGTACGGTGAAGTGAGACAGGCTGCCTACAAATGGGTCTTAAGTTGGGTCGTGAAATTGTCCACAGACTCTAACATGAGCAGATCGTATATTAGGAGTGGACTGACCCATAGTGTTTGCCGAATGCAGAAGAAGCCGATTTGAACATAAGGGACATGGAGCCAATTTTCTTATATGGGCATTTGTTACGACGAGGTTAGCTTTGTGCCGTAACAGATACTATACATAACATTGCCAAGCTGATTACAAAGGCAAGCTGGAGTTTCCCCCAAGAACGCATCCAATTCGCCAATCCTTATGACTCATATCAGGATTTACAAACACAATATTAAAATAAAAAACGCTAAACTACGGATTATTTAAAGTCCAAAATGGTGGGTGTAACACAAAGGGTTATTGAGCTGGAGGAGTTTACTTTTCAAGTTAATAGAAGCCCGAGCGAGTTGGAGCTTTGTCCTTGAGCACCCTCCAATTGGGTTAGCATTTCCATGTATGTGTCTCTACAGAATATAAGCATGGCTTTTCTTGTACTCGTAAATGCATCTGTTGACCTTGTTACAGAAGTTTCTGTTTTTTAAAGATCAAATTCTGTATTATATATTCCTTTAATTGATATGACGGACTGCAACTAATGATGATTTTGTATAATAAAATAAAACTAGCGAGTATTAGGACATGGATTTGTGAGTTGTATTTAAAATGTGAGGCAGAGAAAGTCAGTGAAGCCACTGGAGAATATTCTAATAGATAGGTTTTACAAACAAGTATGCCTTTCTTGGTTTGTTTGTTTTGAATCACTGGTCCTCGTCCTAAAGTCACACCTCACAGTCACAGCACTTATGAGTAAATGTGTCCGACTGAATGGATTTATACTATTACTACAATATTTGTTAATTATTGAAATAACCCGATTAGTTGAGATGAATTGACAGCCCTTCTCCATATTGATAGATTGTGTATCCCATGGGGTAAAGGCTAATGCAGCCATTTTGTGTGCTGTGGAGGTTATACTTAAAGCAAACCAAAATGTTGCTGCTGATTTTGAAGTGTTGACTTCTCGTTAGCATGCATGGCAGCCTCAGCCTAAAACACATCACAGCCTCTCCGCCCTTCACTTTCATCCCACTTCTTTCAATATATAATGTCGTTATGGAGGCAAAATGTTGCCGGCAGACATAAAACACATTACTAGCTGCACATTATGTTGCACTTAGGATGCAGACATTAGATCATCTCTCTGGGAATACCGTCAGCTTTGCTCTGAGATATTAAGCCACTTCATAATCATGATTTTAGAGTTGCATGGCACATTCTTGTAAACTAGCAGTGGGTTAAATTCTACAGCAATGTAATGGAAATCGATCACATTCAAGCTCTAATCAATCATCAACCAGAGAAGTAGTTTTCCTGTCATACATTGGCAAGTCTTTAAATACCAATGCAAGTCACAGCAGTCAATAATGTGATCTTTCAGGTGAGGCCGCTCCAGGCAGGAACTAAAGACAGCAGATGCAACAGCTTTACACCGCTCCTCCAAACTTATAACGAGGCCAATATATACAACGTCACTGAAAAACCTTGTTACACGCTAATGTTTTACATGGCAGCGAGACTGGACATATGCATCATGTCTGAACATTGATTTAGCAAGTATGTCTGCCAGGTGGAGCAGCGCCAGTATTTAGAAAGAAGCAAGAAAAGGCTCGTCGGAAGAGAACTTTGTACTTTCTCACAGCTTACCGCCGCCTTGTCGCACTCACCCACACTCAAAATCACTTTGAAGAAGCAGAAATGAAAAGGATATGCTCATAAGGGAGTTGAACAGGGAACAAGAGTGGCCCAATATCAAATGTATTTGTGTATAACATCCACAACTTGTGTGGCTCATACGCTGAATACACTGCATAAGACTGCGTAAACAAAAATAATATTGGTGGTTTTCAGAGAAAATATGGCACCTGTGATGTATCTTGTGACATATAAGCAGCACGCATGTTTTCCTAGATATAGTATTATCCACAAATGAGCATTTCAAAAGTAAATAGAGACAAAAACTCATAATAATATACATTTAAACCATCTGAAATAAGCATGAAGTATTATTGACTTGTAGTCTGTAACAATGAGAGGACAAACAGGAAAAAATAACAAGGAATTTCACTCAGCACTGCTTATGATAAGTCATTACCAGAGGAATTTTGTAATGACAGATCTGGGCCATGCCACTGACAAGGCCAGGTACACTCTGGCTCTGCTACCTAAGAATCAAGGAAGCTCCTCTAAGGATCAATCAGCTCAGAAGAAATGTCATTGATATTGAATTCTGTCATAAACTGGAAGCCGGCCACACCAGGAATAGTGCATTGTTGCCTTGTTGAAATAAAAAAATACTTGATGAGTTTTAAATAGAACCTGTTGAACTAAGCCATTAGTCATTTGTTGTTACAGAAACAACATGCAAATCACAGAACCAAAAGGGAAGATAATTTGTTGGATCCATTCCAGGCAAAAAAAATGCACTTTTGATGTTTCCACAGTGAATTAGTCTAGTTTTGTGTTGAATGAAAGTGCATGTTTTCAAACACATCACTGTGAGATGTAAATGTCAATTACCACAACAACAGGTATCAGGTACACGAAGGCAGTGTTGGCCGTACAAATTGACATTACACCAACACTACAGACGCTGCACATTTTCGTCCCCATGGGCCAAGCTGTGCTCACAGACAAGTCTAGTGCTGCTTTTGTACAAGCGCTCAGTGTGGTGAAGATGAGCAGAGATGACAGTGAGCATCATCAGGTGTGCCTCTTCCACACCAGCGCACAGCACGTCATTCACATACAGCAAGGTAGCAGAGAGGAGACCAGACAAAACACCGGACAGCTTCACCTGGGTGTGGGCTGTCCATGAGTGTATTCTGGAGGTAATGCAAGGACACATGCCCAAGAGTGCTGCATTGTTTTAAGCCCAAGTGATAAAGAGCTGCACATTACATTACTGTGTTGACATGTGTCATCGCACTGGAAAGGATTGTACTACTGTAACCAGGGCTGTGAGAACACAAACCCACGTGGCCTTTGAAACAGACAACAAATAATGAACGAATTTGAGGAATAATGGAAATATGCATTAAAAACTAATTCCGTTGTATTTATTTCCCTCATGCGCACACGTATACTATAGCCCCATATAATAGAGACATAGCAATGTAAATACTCGTATTATGTGTTGAAGTAGTAACTTCCATGAGTGATGTGGATACTTCTGTTTTGTGCAGCCCTGCGTGCGCGTGCAGACGGACGCATGAGCGTGGGGGCCGTGTTGCCTTGACGACGTAAGTGAAGGTATGATGGTGGCCAAGAGAAACTGCTGTGACCGTGGATGTTACATCCCACACGGACACGTCCAAAAATACAGCGGGGACTGCGACAGCGCTGCGTAAAGCAAAACGAACACACCGGAGTCGTGACGATGAAACAAAGCCCGGTGTGTCACGAGTGAAATATATATATGACCTGCTAGTGTCATCAAACATTGAACAACACGACAGACAGAGGAGGAAGAGGCACTCACGCTTTTCTTCCGCAGGTGCAGTCCGTGCTTGAGTAACCCCGGCAAATCCCGTATTTTGTGTTTGAGTTGAGCCTGGTCCCTCGTGCTCCTGTTCCAGCGTAACCCCGCGAGCATACCGTCCTCTGCGGGCTCAGAGTCCTCCATGCCTCCTGCGTCTCCTACCACCAACACCCGTCCTCAACTTGTCCTGGCCCCTTCTCTTGCACGAAATGAACTACTACTCCCACCACTGCCGCTGCTGATGAAGGCTCCACACGACTCGCCATTACCCCCCCGCCGCGCTCTCACTCTCGGCGACCTGCATCTGCACCAACCGCCAGTGAAAAGTGCTGTTCCCCGCAGCAGAGCGCCACGCAGCTCTGTGCTCCTCTGCTCCTCTGCTCCTCTGCTCCACCCAGAGATCCTCTGTGCCCGCGGGTGCGTGTGCGCGTGTGCAGCTCACAGGTGCACAGGTTGCGTCACATCCACTGAGCGCCTCTCACACTGGGAAACTGCTACACTTCACTTTCTCCAGGAATCTAGGCTTTGAGATATGCATAAAGACCAGAGCAAGGGCAGTCTCTCAATTTTGCCTACGTCACGTCATCACCTGGCTCTTATTTCCATAGGTAAACAAAGAGCGTGAGGGGGAGGTGGGAGAGGAGAGAACTGCAACCTGAGTCAACTAAAGATTCTTTTTTGTGTGTGTCCTTATTAAGTCCCACTTGTTTTGACCCGTTTGAGGTGGTCAATGTGATAGTCTACCTTTAGGGATATGCATTTTCAGTATATATTTCTTTTGTTGTGGTCATTGAGGTTTTTTCCCCCATTTTCTGTTATTTTCAACAACAGAAAAACACAGGACATATAGAACTTAAAATGAAACCCAATCTGTACAACTCAAACACACACAATTTATCCACAGTACAGTTCCAGCATGTCAGTGAGATAGTGAGTGAGGGTCCACCTTGTGTCAACCACGTTTTTGGAGACATAAGGTTGTTTAGATGAGGTGTGTTTCAAGTAAAAAGAAAAAAAAAACATACATAATCATAGCACAAGAAAAACATATTACTGCTCAATACAGGGGCAGTTATGAGCGATCGGTGGCCCATGCTATAGGAATAAGGATAAATACAAAATCCTCTCATGGAGCGTAACAGATATTCACTACAATTTGCCAATTTGTTTTCATCAAAATGAGAAAAAGAGTTATTCTCTGAGTCATTGTTGCCCTATAATAATTTGCTAAGTAGACACTGCTGCTCCTTTTCAACAATAATTGGAGAAACTCATAACCGCCTCAATCATGTGTGATGAAAAAAAGGAAGTTAAGTAGGTAAGTGCTTAACTTCCTGAAATGATTTACTTTATTTTCCAGGAGAAGTGAGAATTCAGCTGGGGGCCCATCTCCTGATGATGATGCTCAACTCAGTCAGTACAATCAGAGCTGGAAGATTTGGCCTATTTTATATGGGTTTAGTGATAGGGTTAACCAGAGCACCTGGAGTTTGTTGTCATTTGTATATTATAGTATTTCAATGTAGTCTTTTGCAAGGAAAAGGAAAAAAATGTGGGAAGAAATTTGCCCAATTTGCAACATCATCTGTTCAGAGCCAGTCTCTGACCGTAACCCCCCAGAACCCCCAATCTTTGGGGTTAGGGTTTAAATCGGATGGACACAGAGGGGGACGCTTTGGTGGCAATTCTCCTACAGACTCAGAATGATAAACAAAATAAACCATTGATTTTCAGTCGTGTCATGTTCAGATTTTTCATGTGAAATTGTCCTTCAGAGCTTGACTGTGACTTACTCGCTGCGGAATATCAGTCACATGAACAAATCAAATACCACATTTGACAAGCAAATTCATCAGACTTGTTTGAGATCCGTGGTCAGGTTTTTGAATGCCTTGTTCAAGTGGAGTGTGGGGAGAGAAGTTGAGCAGATGCAAACATGAGAGGATGTTGTCTGAGATAATTGGCCCTTTCCACAACTCAGATTATACCAACAGTGACACACCAGGAGATGTGAGGCGCACAAGAACTCGGCTTTAACAGAGGACTGCATCTGTTTGCACACTTCCTGCTGGAGACAAATTAGTCACAATAAAAGGGATGATATGAACAAAAATCACTTGAATTTTGGATATAATTTTTTGTTGTCTAAGTATTTAATTCCAAATTAGAAATCTCTCATCTTTTTCATATGCATGTATTCATTCGTGCAAATATAAAATGTACATAAAATGTTTGTGGTTTTTCATACATAAATGTAACCCTTTTGAGATATTTTTGGGCTTAATAGAAGAAAAGACAATGTCTGCAGGTAATTCAATGGTTTGAGGTCATTAGGGCCAACATTTTAAGAAGAGTGAAGTTCTTCTAAAAAACTGCTCCTCAAGATGATGTTGGCTGACTACTGGAGTAATGCGACACTCTCACAGTTCACCGATTTATAGTTTGACTTTGTTTGACTCAAAGCCTTTTGTCAAGAATATGTTTCTGTATTTATGTGTTCCACATATAGGGCTGCATACAAAATATTTAATTGAAAATTAATAGAACAACGTCTAATCTGTAACAACATTGTAAATGAAATACTTTTCTGAATGAGAAGGTACATGTTATTGAGAATAAAAGCAGGGATAACATGACACTTGCCTTAATCTTATTAGAAATCAAGATCAAAAATATACTCTTTTTACTTTACTCGCTAATTGATGCTTTGGCTGAGTGAGAATGGTCCTCTCTTTTTGACTTTTATGTCTGATTAAACAGATCTAAAGATGTACTTTCTGGATTATCTGAATGTTTTTTGGTTTATTTAACCCCATTTTATGGGAAACCAGTAGGTTTTACAGTGTTTTATTTTGGACGGCTGAAATAGCCCGCAGATTTTAACCCTTACTGTATCTATTGTGTTTTTCCTCTAACTGACACTATAAATAAAGGTTGAAGCTAGATTTGCTGAAGAAGCAAAAGTAAAGGGGGAGCATGAATATTTCTCTATACTACCCTTCACTGTGAGATGAAACATGGTGTTGTGGTGCCCCCAGGGGGACACTGGGACCAGCCCTGATCAACGCTCCACCTGAGCCGCTTCTGCAAACACAGCACAATCAAACTGAAGCTAAGAACCTTCAACACCGGAGCTGTAATGCTTCCACCTAGTGGACGATCGTCTGAAATGCAGTTTTATGACAATAAATGAATACACATTATTTCAAAAACATTGAATGTGTAATTCAAATTCCAACAATTAATTCTTAGTTGCGCTGTTATAAATATGGTTTTGGTTAGCACTTTGAGTTTCTTTCTGTATATTGTGCTATACAACTTTCCTTGCTTTGTCTAAAACAAAGAGTAAGCCATTCCTTCTAAATCCTCTCAAATACTGAAACAGCTTTTTGAAGATGGTATTGGCAACAAGCTCCTCTTATATCTTCAAAAACAACCCACATCCCTGGATTTGAATACTCAATTTTACCCACTGAAAAACAGAATGAGATCTTCATCACTAAAATGTTACACAGAATATTTACATGAATCACAGTTCCTCTGAAAATACTGTTATGTCGAAAGGGAAAGAGGATGTGATGTGGTCACTTTGCATGAGGATATGATGGTGATTGATCCCACCAGAGGGATTCCATCTTTACAATGTTAGCATGTCAAGTCAAAACGTAGAGTTTTAAAAGGCCATAAATAACTCTCTCCACTTCCTGTTCTTACACAAATCCTAGAATAGCAAATGTTTGTATCGAGTATAGAGGTTACTCTCGACCTGGCACAATCTGGAAATTCTTGAGTTTAAAACAGAACCATAAGCTTCAGATATTCAAATCGACTTTTTGTGTGTCATAGCTGTGAAAGACTAACAGAAAGTTGATCAATTTGAAGTGAATGAATAAATATACATCAATTGTTTATTTTCTAATTTAAAGATTGCAAAAGTATTTTACATTCTAGATGCGCCTTTCACTGAAATACAGCTTCATATCTTTTAAGGTGTAAGCTGTAAACATTAAGTAAGTAATCTTTATTCATAGCGCCTTTTACAAACCAGAGTCACAAAGCGCTTTACATTTGTCTCTCACTCCACACAGAGATGGAAGCAAGGCCAGTATAGACCATATTGTACATGTTTCTTGGGGTAAGGGAAACCGGAGCACCTGGAGGAAACTGGAGCACAAACGGGGAGAACATACAAACTCCACGAGGAGAACATACAAAGGCCCCTTTCCAACCAGGACCTAGAGAGTTATATATTTTCCCCAATTCTTCTCTGCATTATAGCTCATGCTCTTTGGGTTTTTTCCACCCCTGTCCCACTTGGCTTCTTGTGTCATGTTCCAACACAGGCTGACTATTTGCCACATGTCCTCCAGTAATTCCTCTGGCCTCATCTGTGACACTGCTGTCCTTGTTCGGCCTGTGTAGTTTGGGCAGGCTGCTGTGTTTTGGTAGTTTTGCAGTTATGTCATACTCTTTCCATATCCGGACGATGGATTACACAGTGCTCTGTGAAAAGTTCCAAGCTTGGGAAATCTTTGTATGACCCGACCAGGCTGGCTCCCCACTGCTCTGGTGGGTTCCTTGGATTAGCTATTGAGTGACCAATATTCTAACCTCTGAGGCAATAGAGCTGTATATTTTTGCAAGCTCCACTTTGTAATTTATTTTAAAATAAAATTCAGAATGGTAAATAATGATAAATATAGCCACAAGCAGCGATGGACAGTTTTCTATGCAACCATAGAAAACTGCATATTGCACCCACTGCTGGTGCTATCACGCCCTCACTCTTCTTTCTGCTCTTTGTTTGTAGACATGGTCTTCATAATATTATTTTCTTGTCTTGTTGTGGTCAAAATATGTGTCAAACTTTTTGCATTCTAATTATCTGATAATATCTTTTTTGTGCACTTGCTTGGTCGTTGTGACTTTCACATCGGCCCGGGCCCTTTTCAGTCACTGGTCCTTTATTTTCATACAGTAATAATGTTTGATTTTTGCCTAACATGCTGTATCTATGTGCACGGGACAGTGCTTGACAGCCACTGATCAAGGGCTCGTTTGTGGAAACTTTCGCTCAGGCTTCGCCCGTTTACATGTGTGTGTTCGGCTTTAGCTTAAATGGTTACGAGCAATTCACACTCGATATGTGCGTACGCACTCTGTGGCTCTCACTGCCCTTCGCCAGAAGCACAAGTCATCACCTAAAGACAAGAGTCACATGAAGTATTACAGAAAAGTTTATAAAACATTGCCATACCAGTGTTTCTATAAAGAAGACTGATACCATGCAGTACAAGACCTGGGGTTCACCAGTGCCAGCAGAGAGTTCTCAGAGTCATTGAGGCGACAAATGAGTAATGATCTTTTTACTTTTTCATTTAAAGTAAAAAGATCTCATGAGAACTGAAATCTGTTTTCCTGAGCCTGACAGAACAGCAGACACTTCTAGATCTAGGCTTTAGCCACGTCATCATAGGCATCATCTTAGGCAGCTTCTGCAGCGTGGCCTTTTCATATTTACACTACAGAGGAGCTCTGCACAGAGGTGAACACTGCTTCATGCTGAACACATTCATGTTCACGCTGCTTCATGCTGAACACATTCATGTTCACACTGCTTCATGCTGAACACATTCATGTTCACGCTGCTTCATGCTGAACACATTCATGTTCACACTGCTTCATGCTGAACACATTCATGTTCACACTGCTTCATGCTGAACACATTCATGTTCACACTGCTTCATGCTGAACACATTCATGTTCACACTGCTTCATGCTGAACACATTCATGTTCACACTGCTTCATGCTGAACACATTCATGTTCACACTGCGTCATGCTGAACACATTCATGTTCACACTGCTTCATGCTGAACACATTCATGTTCACACTGCTTCATGCTGAACACATTCATGTTCACGCTGCTTCATGCTGAACACATTCATGTTCACACTGCTTCATGCTGAAACATTCATGTTCACACTGCTTCATGCTGAACACATTCATGTTCACACTGCTTCATGCTGAACACATTCATGTTCACACTGCTTCATGCTGAACACATTCATGTTCACGCTGCTTCATGCTGAACACATTCATGTTCACACTGCTTCATGCTGAACACATTCATGTTCACACTGCTTCATGCTGAACACATTCATGTTCACACTGCGTCATGCTGAACACATTCATGTTCACACTGCTTCATGCTGAACACATTCATGTTCACACTGCGTCATGCTGAACACATTCATGTTCACACTGCTTCATGCTGAACACATTCATGTTCACACTGCTTCATGCTGAACACATTCATGTTCACACTGCGTCATGCTGAACACATTCATGTTCACACTGCTTCATGCTGAACACATTCATGTTCACACTGCTTCATGCTGAACACATTCATGTTCACACTGCTTCATGCTGAACACATTCATGTTCACACTGCGTCATGCTGAACACATTCATGTTCACACTGCTTCATGCTGAACACATTCATGTTCACACTGCTTCATGCTGAACACATTCATGTTCACACTGCTTCATGCTGAACACATTCATGTTCACACTGCTTCATGCTGAACACATGTGACATTTCCTGACCAGAATATCTGCTTGGGCATCAATCATAAGATACTTATTATCATAGCATCTATGGTCTGTCATGAAGTGACTCAAGTTTTTTGTCTTAATGCACACAGTCAAAATTTTCCCAGTCAAATAAAAATGTGGGAAACAGATGTCCTTGACTCCTTTAGTCCGAGATTTTAGCGCCACACTCTTTCTGACATTGTATATGATGTTATGTTGGCGTTTATGTCCCGAGTAAGCTTGGCAGTTGAAATCCAGCACTACTGCAATAGCCAAGTCAGCAGGCGGACATGATATGACGGCCAGAGCACCACTGACTACACATCCTGTTTACAGTGATTCAGTTGATTCCATAAGAATAAGAATCAAAGTGATAATTTTATGGAATAATTGAAAACAAAGCTGTTCTATTCGGCATTTCAAAAACTCATTCAAAAACAAAAACAAAATGAAATACTAAAACATATAACAAATTGTAGATTGTAAATAAATGGTGGGACTAAAGAATCTGGCTTTTCCTACTCAATTTTTTACCTGTAAAAAAAAAAAAGACCCAAAAAATTGGTGTATGACAAAAAAGTGGAAAAGTGAGTGTTATAAATACTTCTTTAAACCATTGTATTTACATGTTGTTTGAGGTGCCTCTCTGGGGATGTCCCACCAAGAGGAAGCCCCAGGAAGGCCTCAGGATTCCCCCAGATGAGCAGGAGGAAGAGTGGGGAGGAAGAGCCCAGAGTCTACTTTGGGCTCCTGCGGCTGCAACACAGAAAATGGATAAAGCAGAAGTAAATGGATGGATAGATTTACATGTAGTTTCCACATCAGGGTCATTTACAATTATGCTGAAAGTCAGCTTTGTTAATAATAGAAATAAAATCGTGGTACTACATGCTACTGTTCTCTCCGAGTTTTCACTCACTTAATCAAGGTCTCTTTAAGTTACTGTCACAATATAAGTATCTATCCATATTCTTCCTCTTAATCCCTTTCTGGGTGGCAGTCAGAGCTCACTGATCCTCCTGCAGGTGGTGAGTCCACAAGAGCCTTGATCTTGCAGCAGGGGCTTCAGGCAAAGTGGGGTTAGCTGTCTTGGCCAAGGACACAACGACAGCAGACAGCAGTGGGAGTCGGTGGAGAAGGTTCCGTGATGGGCTCGAACTCACGACCTTCAGGCCCACAGGCCAGTGCTCTTCCAACTGAGCCACTGTCGCCCAATATAAGTATACTATATGCAAATGACCAGAATATTTTGCTCAAAAATGTTGGGAGATTTTCTGTCTTTGTTAAGACATTGATTTAACCTATTGTTTTCTTGCATGTGGGTGGCATTTCCATAATTTGAATGGGTTTATCCAATGATCTGAATTAAGACTCACCGTATCAGAATGGGCTATTGGGAAATTCCTCCAGTGAGAGGTATAAATGTCAAGAAACTGCTCAGTTGTTCTCCTACTTGATGCAACTGGCTGATCTGCTGCAGGCTACGGCCCCGAAATGAGTCAGTTACTTTTGCTGTGTTCTGTGGTAATTTCCTCTTTTTCTCATTCATTCATGGGAAACATGCTCTGTGATTGACAGAACGTGCTCTGCTCTCTGCACTGACGATGGTGGCTTTCGTGACCTGTGTTGGTGGAGCCCCCATAGACTTACCAACAGATGCCCCATCAGGAGAGGGCGATGTGCGACCCCTGGACCTCCTGAGTGACAGTCCATTGTGGAAGGTCCTGCTGGATGCTACTCACCGAAACAGGCAAATGGTAAGCACATTTAACTGATTTACTTTTAGAGCGAGGAACAAAGAAAACCAACTCATCCCTTTTGGATCTTTCAACAGAATGGAAAAGGTGCGTTTCATAACTGTCCTGTTTGAAATGCCCCTCAATTTGCTTTAAAACATGAATATTCCTCAATTATGGATGATCTTAGTGCTTAAAACCTTTTGTGAGAATACTTGTCAATCCCCAGATATGGAAATTAACCTATCAAAAAAACTTTACATTCAACATTTAGGGGAAACCAAGCAAAGAGCGGGCCACCAGAAGTCTTGAATGACTCCTATTCCTGAGCCATATTGAGGCAGCTGCTTCGTTTGACTCAGAGATAATTGATATTTCGCTGTAGGCCACACATGAATCTCACACGAGCCCCACGACAGTTGAGAAATGCTCCTTTGATTGGACTTGTTTTGAGGTCACTGATGTCATGGTACTATCAAGCTCATTGAACAATTATTTCCCCATTGTGTGTTTAGTTTGACAGAGAATTCTCATCCATAATGGACTATCTACATTTGGACAACTTCAACATTTCCTCTTTTCCTGAGGACTGTCAGAACACATCAATAAACATGGTAGGCAAAACTATTTCTCACAGTCGATCTGACTTTATAATATTGGATAAACTTGTCCTGTGTTCAGGAAGGGTGCCTGAAGAGACTAGTGCGAGGTTTACTGGTTTTTCAAGTTCTTCTGAAACACGTGGAGAGAGAATACCCCAAAAGTGAGATCCTGCCTAAGCTCAAGTATTTCTGCAGACTCTTGACGAGTGCAGCAGGACAAAAGGTTTTTAACTTTCTAATCGCAACTATTGTACACAAACTCCTGTCATGACACATCCTTTCTACTTTCAGATGAGAAATTCAGACATAATCCAAACTCTGAGCCAAAGTGATGAGGACAGTCTGCTGAAGGAAGTGGGTCATCCAGACACTTTCTACAGAAAAATGTTTGCTCACAACATCCTCCGGAAATTGCATGAGTTTCTCAGAGAAACCAAATTCCAAATCAAAAAGAGAGAGAGGAGGCCTGGATTTACCTCTTCATGACCCTGATACAATACTCATAGAGCTATAGAACAGTCAATTTGACACCAAGAGACTACTTGAATGTTTAAATTAAACCATATTTATTTAATATTTGAATTTTATACATTAAAGCTATTTTTTATATTTTATAATAGCCACATGTTTCAACAAGTAACACAAATGAGGACATTTACTATTGTGAATGTATTATTTATAAAAAATAAACCACATACATTGAACTTTTGTGTTTAATTCACAAACATAATATAAAAGCAGAATGAAGGTCATAAAATCAATAACATGAACAATTTCACAGTTCAAATATTTCCTTTGAGCACGTGCATTTGCTTCCCCTCATATTTGAACTGCACAGGACTGAAAATCTGTGTATTTCTGGTTCATGTAATCAACTTAGAACCCTTTATTTAAATGATAATAAAGAGCAAAAGGAAGGACTTCCAAAAAAATAAACTGTCCGGATCCAGACTGATCCACTCTGTGTCTTGGTCCAGTCTGCAGGTTGTGTCGGACTTCAGACACAAGGATATGGTGCCTCTCATGGTCAGACAGCCACGATCTTTAACCCCAAAGTAAACTAGGAAATCAAAACATTCAAAGATGGTTAGACCGTTAAGAGTTATTGTAGTATCAAAAATATACTATAGTATATTGTAGTAACAAATATACTATAGTTTATTATGGTAACAAAAACTACCTCATAAACATACCATTGATACATTCCCCTGGCCTGGGATACATTCAGAGCCATGTGCCTTTGCTTGACTCTAGCCTCATTTCTACAATAACTGCATCATGGGTTTGATGGATGGATCAGGTTTAACTATTGTGTTAAAGCTGGAGTAACTTTCAAATCACTGACAGTGGAACTCTGCACTAAAACCAGTTCCGTCACTATTGTTTGGAAATGGATGTATGTTTGGCCTGTCCAGTGGGGGAGGGTCCCAGCTTGCAATACCACCCCGGGCCGATGGGGGCGGACCCAGAAGTAGAATTAGCCAATGCTAACATATAGCATTGGCAGACTTCTCAAAAACGTCTTTACAGGATGGACCAAAAGTTGGCTCTTGGCCCAAAGCTCCGTTCCACATGTGTGTCAATGCTGAGGGGGGTGGATTTTTTTGGTCCACTCTAGTTTACTTGCTGTGAATTTTTTAAGTCTCTCGTTCAAATGAATGGAGTTGCGCCGGCTGACGCATGCGCAGATGCGTTTTTTCCCAATTTTCTTGTGGGACCACTCGTGGCCATTTTGGATTGCTCCAGTAGAGCACATTTTTTGGCCCATTAGTTAGAACGGCAGAGATAGGCGTGACTCTGTCCATTAATATATACAGTCTATGGTCCTGTCACATCTTTCGATCATTCACTCAATCATTACATGCATACCTATTCTACATGTTTTTAGTGGTAGGGGAAACCGGAGCACCCAGAGTAAAGTGGAGCACGCGGAGGAAACCTACGCCGACACAGGGAGGACATGCAAACTCCACACAGAAAGGCCTGGAGGTGGATTCGAACCCAAGACCTTTTTGCTGTGAAACACGCCACTGCACCATCGAGTGCTTGGCCAGGACCTACATTGGGCGACGGAGCTAAATAAGACTCAGTATATGTCCTCAGGCCAATGGCGAACAAAATTGTGTCTTTCGGTGGCTTAAGCTAGTGCCGGGTATTAGAGCTGGCAGCACCAGCCTCAACACTCAAATGGGACAGGAGCCATCAGGCCATATCCTTCCCGCTTATCAGAAGAGATATGGCGATTCAATTAGGGGTGGGCAATATTTATTGTAGACAATAATATCGCGTTAGTGAATTTGAACAGAAGATATTCTTTTTCGCATTATTGTCTTTCTATTTTTTACTTATCTCCAATACATATTACAATCAGAGCAAGCAAGATGCCCATCAATCAAATGTGTGCCAAAAAAGTCAATCACTGCTTTATTTGTACATCTCTATTGGATTTGTTCTTCCCATGTTACTTGAATTTAATTTTTAATGTTATTATATGTTTGTGCACATTTTGCAAAGATGTGTGAAGCAATCTAAAAAATAAAAAGCTATTTTGATCTACACTGTCTCTATAGATCAATATCTATAGAAGCAAAATATTGCAGATCATTTTGTTTAAAAATGTGATTTTAAAGTTATCGTGACAATATTGTTATTGGGAGTTGGTTAAAAAAAAAAAAAAACATTTATTTTTGCCCATATCGCCCACCCTTAGATTCAATATGAACATGACCTGACAGGAAGCTCTAGACTTTTTAACTACCACCCCACTCATCAATTACAAAACCCTGATGAGGACCATTTATAAAATACAAAGAAATAATAAATGTTCTGTACATTTTTATGAGAACTTGAATCTCAGAAAATTGGACTTAAACTGTTAAATGTGTTGCTACCGTGTCTCAATGTGTTCATTTAGTGCAATTACCTCAGCACTGTAGGTTCAGGCATCCCAGGGTCCGCTCCTCTCTTAAAACCTAAAAAGCATAATTCTAAAATAAATACAGGCCAACGTTTGATCAAATATTTTCTGTAAATTTCTCAAGATTCACAAAGAGTGACAATTCATAAGATATTAAATGAAAAACAGTAAACAATGTTGGACATGCTCTGACGTTAATTATTAAGTTGACAAACAGTTGTAAAAGATTCCGAGAAGGAAGATCAACAGAAGCACAGGTCCTGGATCATTAACTCAAATTGCATGCATACTTTCGGCAGATTATTCCATACAAAGGCAAAATCCTGGAACTTTGTTTTGAAGGCAGTGCGTCACTTGCCTGATTCCACGGAAAACGTGATAACAGCTGTCAGATTTTAATTCAGTTAATCGCTAAACTATAGTGAAGTCCTTAGTGTTCTAAAACTAATGGAACGTGTTTTATGTGTTTGCTAGCACTTAGAGGCTTCGCCAGTGACATAATCCAAACCAACCGGTTAAAACAAATTTATTTATTAAACACAAATATTTGATGGCAAAATCCGGGCTAGCAGGTTAGCTAGGTTAGCTCATAGACAAGAAGGCAAGTAGCAGTACACGCATATAACGTAAATATCGTGAATACAAACCCAAGTAGAGGACAGTTGGGATAAAGCCCCAGCGGATAGCGAACTGTCCGCATTGGAACAGCTGCTGCAGCCGCTGTTTGGTCTCTTTGCTCAGTTTAGCCATGTGTAGTTTGTGTTGTGGTCTACTGAGAGCCAAGGACAGAGAGGAGGACGTGACGTCAGAGTGACGCATGTAGCCAATGGCGCCATCTACCGGTGACATCTCATACGAAACGAAACACATCTGGGTAGTTGCTTCATGAACTACCTCATGAAATATATACTCTAAAAGGACATCATACAAATATAAATATCCAAAATACAAATAAATGAAACGTAAATATGATGTAACTATGGTTTTTATACTTTTATAATTTATATTTTATAATTTAGTTTGGATTCTATCATATTCTATTTTTTCAAATTAATTTACTGTATCTCAAGTATTTGGCATACACTTATGATTGGACCATAATATGGATGTAAAATACATTTTACAACCATATTTTTCGAGTTTGCCGGGAACTCATGGTCTGTATATTCCCAAACATTGATTATACATGGGCTTTTTGGAATCGTATTTAGTTCTATTTCATCCCTTCAGACCGCCAGAGGGCGGTGCATAGCACTGAATGTTCCCTTCGCGCATGCGCAGTTCGAGTAATAATACCAAATGAGTCACACCTGTGACCCCCTGGGTGACACACCGGAGGTAATAAAGTCCAGCGTCATCCAGCACTCTGTTCCTTTTTTCTTCTCGCGTGCGGTTCGAATCGTTGTTGCTTGAACTTCGTCAACGTCTGTCGCTGAGAGCCCTCTTCATCGGAGCTGCGGTTCGCCCTCCGTGGGGCGCGACGGTGACGTTGTCCTTCGGGTATTTATCGGTGTTTTCTGTACTATATGCGTGTGTATTGGTTGGTGTGAAGGCTGCTGTGGCGCCCGCTCCTCCGTCAGTACTTTCTTTTGGTACGTGCATTTCGTGGTGTGAGGGCTGCGGTTCGTTGGCCTGCTCCTCCGCCTGTGCATGTTTGAGTTAGCTTTGCTAACTGTGTATTGAGTGGTGTGAGGCTGCGGTTCGTTAGCCCGCTCCTCCATCGGTTCTTATTTGGGTTAGCCTTTTGCTACCTGTGTGGTGTGAGGCTGCGGTTCCGCTCCTCCATCCGTTCTTAGTTGGGTTAGTTTTTGCTACCCGTGTCCTCTGTGGTGTGAAGGCTGCTGTTCGCGCGCCCGCTCCTCCATCAGTTCTTCTTTGGGTTAGTTTTTATTACCGGTGTCCTCTGTGGTGTGAGGCTGCGGTTCCGCTCCTCCATCCGTTCTTAGTTGGGTTAGTTTTTGCTACCCGTGTCCTCTGTGGTGTGAAGGCTGCTGTTCGCGCGCCCGCTCCTCCTCAGTTCTTCTTTGGGTTAGTTTTTATTACCGGTGTCCTCTGTGGTGTGAAGGCTGCGGTTCGTTGTCCCGCTCCTCCATCAGTTCTTGTTTGGGTTAGCATTTGCTGCCTGTGTTTATTCTGTGGCCGGTGTATTGTGTGGTGTGAAGGCTGCTGTTGGCGCGCCCTCTCCTCCATCGCTACTTTATTTTGAGTTGGCGTTTTACTGCCGGTGTATTGTGTGGTGTGACGGCTGCTGTTCGCGCGTCCGCTCCTCCACCGTGCTATATTTGGCTTTTCTGTTGTGAAACTGCAATACGTTGATTCAGTTTTGCAGTTTGTATACCGTTGGGGATTAATTACATATTTAATTAACGACACAGTCGAAACAAGAATAATAATTTAATAATAATAATAAAAAAAAAAAATAATAATAATAAAAAAAATAATAATAATAATAATAATAAAAGAAATACAACCTTGTTGTTATGGACGGGTCACATGCGTGTGTGGGCTGCGGGTCAGCACTCGATGTTGATGACGGCCATGACCTGTGTCCGGCGTGCCTCGGCCCCACTCACTTGAGGGAGGCAGTGTCCGATAACCCGTGCATGAACTGCAGCTGCTTGCCCTGGGCTGTTAGGGTGGCGAGGCTGGTTCAGCTGCCTTCGTCTGGCGACGGTGGTAGTTTGCCAGTGGGACCTGCTGTGGCTCCGCCCCCTCGGCGTTCTAAGCGCCGTGCTGAGGCCTGTGCTTCAGGGGAGCGGTCTGATGGCCATGGTCCTTCCAAGCAGGCCAAGCCGGATGCTGTCCTGGTGTCGAGGGTGGAGCAGTTATCTGCAGAGTTGGAGGCGATGAAATCTGCATTCCAGGCACGTTGTGCTGCTGATGCAGTCTCTGGGGCTGGTTCTTGCTCCATGCCATCCCTCCATCCGGAGGAGGATGTGCTTTCTCTGGCGGCATCTGCTTCGTGCTTCCGGGACGAGGATGACGCGCGGTCCCTTTCGGGGGACGATGCTTATTCTTCCGCACATAGTGTGTCCAGCCGGTCTGGTGACGGCTCAATGCAGGAGGTTCTTCGCAGGGCCTTATCCCGTCTGCAGGTGGAACTTCCCCAGTCGGGACAGGCTGACCCTGGCAGTGTTTTTTTCAGGCGTGGTGGTTCGTCTCCTGCTTTTGTTGTGCCCCCGTCCGCGGAGTATCTGAAGGAGCTACACGCGTGCTGGAGGGACCCCAGCCGTCTCTCTAAGCTTTCGGCTGAGGGTCGGGCTTTGGCCGCGATGCACGATGCCTCTTCGGCTGGCCTGGATTGCATGCCGGCTGTAGAGCCGGCGGTTGCCTCCCTCATTGTTTCCCCGGAGGAGTCCTTGCGGGAGAATGTGAGGTGCCCTCGGAGCCAGTGTCGTGCGACGGATCACTTGCTAACAAAGGCCTACAATTCTGGTGCTCGAGCTGGCCGTATTGGTAACTCCTTAGGGCATCTGCTGCTTGCCCTGTCTGCCTCCCTCCAAGAGGGTAGTGCTGTGGGCACTGATGTTACTGCGTTTAGCGACGCAGCTCTGCACGCTTTTGCCTTGATGACCAGGGAACTCGGACGGGTCATGTCGGTCCTTGTACAGGCTCGTCGGCAGGTATGGCTGGCTCAGTCTCCCCTGACTGAGGCCTGTCGTAGGACCCTCCGTGACGTGCCTGTCGAGCCGGGTCAGATGTTTGGGACGGCGGCCCAGGAAGCATTGGACCGGACTGTCCATGCTGGTCAGACTAGACAGCAACTTTCTAGCCTTAGCAGGGTGGTGCGCCCTCCCCGGCAGTTTTTGCGCCCGATGGTGGCCCCCGGTGTTCGGCAGCCTCCTCGGGATTGGACTGGTACTCAGCGTTTTCCCCAGGTCAGGCCTGCCGGGAATTTTCGTGCCCCACCCGTACATAGGCGCCCGACCCGCCAGCCAAGTGGCGCCGCGGCTGGTCCTGGGCGGGGTCCCCCCAGAGCCCCTAGGGGGCGGGGGGCACGGAATTGACGCCTCAGGGCCGAGCGTCGGACATTTTTCCCATCAGCAGCTCGAGTGTTGGGCTGCTCGAGCTCGGGATCCGTGGGTGGTTGCCACATTGACCCACGGATACCGTCTGCAATTCCGACGCCGGCCGCACTTGTCGGGCCGGGTCAAGGTTACTTTGTTCTCGGACCCGGCAAAAGCCTTTATCTTGGATCAGGAGCTCTCCGCCCTCCTGACCAAGGGTGCCATCGAGGCGGTAGATCCGCTGCTGCAACCCAGGGGTTATTACTCCCGTTATTTTCTCGTGCCCAAGAAGACGGGGGGTTTTCGACCAATTCTGGATCTGAGGGGCTTGAATCATTTCCTGAAGGTCATTCCATTTCGCATGCTGACGACTGCGGAAGTCCTTCAGACTGTTGGGGCCGGGGAATGGTTCACGTCCGTAGATTTGAGGGACGCGTATTTTCACGTGCCCATTGCGCAGCCCCACCGGCGGTTCCTCCGGTTCGCCTATCGGGGCGTTCACTGGCAGTTCAGGGTTCTTCCCTTTGGCCTCTCTCTCTCTCCGAGGGTTTTCACCCGATGCGTGAAGGCGGCTCTTGCTCCGCTACAGGCCAGTGGCATGAAGGTGTTGCCTTATCTGGACGATTGGTTGATCTGCGCCCCGTCCAGGGCACGGTCCTTGGAAGATACGGAGCGCCTTCTGACTCATGTCGCCCGCTTGGGGTTCAGGGTCAATTTCGAAAAGAGCAGCCTGGTACCTTCGCAGGCCGCTGTTTTTCTTGGCCTGAGTCTGAACACGGTGACTATGACGGCGCGTCCGTCGGGGCGCCGCCTGGTCGACATCCACGGTGTGGTGTCCCGTTTCGGTCTTGGCACTCTGCACAGTTGCGTCAGCTTTCTACAGCTGGTGGGGAAGCTGGCCTCGATCTCTCGTGTGGTTCCTCTCGGGCTGCTTTCGCTTCGCCCGTTGCAGAGGTGGCTGAACGGGTTTCGTTTGGATGCCGTTCGTCACCGCCACAGACTGTTACAGGTGACGTGGGCATGTTTTCGTGCTTTGGCTCCATGGAGGGACCGCGGTCTCCTGTCACGTGGGGTCCCCTTGGGGGTGGTAGTGTGCCGCAGGGAAGTGGTCACCACCGACGCCAGCCGTACGGGATGGGGTGCTGTGTGGCAGCGCAGGTTGGCCCGAGGGGTTTGGTCTCGGGCGGAGCGCTCAGACCACATAAATGTACTGGAGCTTCGGGCCGTCCACCTTGCTCTCCAGGAGTTTTTGCCTCACCTGCTGGGGAAACATGTCCTCATTCGTTCGGACAACACCTCGGTCGTGTATCACATCAACCATCAAGGGGGTGTCCGATCGGCTCGGCTCCTCGAGGTGTCTCAGGCTCTGCTGGTTTGGGCTGCGCCTCGCCTGGCTACACTGCGTGCAGCGTATCTGCCAGGGGACTGCAATCGCGTGGCGGACTCCCTGTCTCGCGGGAGGCCTGCCCCGGGGGAATGGTGTCTCCACCCCGGTGTGGTCCAGAGGGTGTGGGGCCTCTTTGGTCGGGCACAGGTGGACCTGTTCGCTTCGGTGGCCTCCACTCATTGCCCTCAGTTTTTTTCCCTGGACGGGGCTCCGGGCTCTCTCGGCCAGGATGCCCTGGCGCACAGTTGGCCTCAGGCCCTCCTGTACGCCTTCCCCCCTTTTCCTCTGATCTGGCCAAACCTCCAGAGGGTCCTTCGGGCGGGGCACAGTTTATTACTGGTGGCTCCGTTTTGGCCTGCACGGCCCTGGTTTCCATTGCTACTCAGACTTTGTTGGGCTCCCCCCTGGCCTCTCCCTCCCAGGCGGGATCTGCTCTCACAGCTGGACGGTCAGGTGTGGCATCCCTGTCCTCACCGCCTCAAGTTGTGGGTATGGCCGTTGGCTGGCCCGAGCTGCGGGCACTCGATGTCACTGGCCCTGTCAGGCGTACACTCCTGAATGCCAGGGCGGCCTCTACTCGGCGGCTGTATGAGAACAGGTGGAAGTTGTTCTCCCGCTGGTGTTCTTCCCGCGGTCGGGATCCCGTGTCGTGCCCGGTGGCGGTTGTCCTGGAATTCCTTCAGTCTCTCCTGGATGAAGGTCGGGCCCCATCTACTCTGAAGGTATATGTTGCTGCTATTTCATGTTATCATGGCCTGGTTGATAACTGTACTGTGGGGGGCCATAACCTGGTGTCTCTCTTTTTACGCGGAGCTCGTAAGCTGCACCCTCGCGTGCCCGCGCGGTCTCCGGTTTGGGACCTGGCCTTGGTGTTGGAGTCTCTCTGCCGCCCTCCGTATGAGCCATTGGCCCGAACGGACCTCAAGTGGCTCTCCTATAAGACTGCTTTCCTGTTGGCTGTGGTCTCTGCAAAAAGGGTCGGTGAGTTGCATGCACTTTCTGTCAGTCCCTCATGCCTACACTGGGATCCTGAGAGGGCTGGCGTGGTCTTGTGGCCTAATCCCACTTTCCTCCCTAAGGTGCTTTCCCGTGACTATTGTAACCGGCCTTTGAGGTTGGCGCGGTTTGTGTCCCCCCTGGATGGGGGTGAGGACAGACTGCACCTGCTGTGTCCTGTGAGGGCATTGGAGGCCTACGTTGCTGCGACGGCAGGTGTGAGGCGCTCAGACCAGCTCTTTGTTGCTTATGGTGGTGCTAGACTGGGAAGTCCGCTTTCGAAGCAACGCCTTTCCCACTGGGTGGTTGACGTTATCAGTCAGGCGTATATTTCGGCCGGCCGCGACCCGCCAGCCACGGTGAGGGCCCATTCTACCAGGGGTGTCTCTACCTCCTGGGCCGCTATGCGCGGGGTGCCGTTGGGAACTATTTGTGCTGCTGCGTCTTGGGCTACACCAAGCACGTTCACCAGATTCTATAACAGATTCTATAACATCAATGTGGCCACTCCGGCTCCTCTTGGCGTGGTCCTTCAGGAATCCTCTGGCTCTCCTGAGGTGTGTGGTCAAGTTCCTTCGTGACATAGCTGGTATAAGGTCATTCAGTGCTATGCACCGCCCTCTGGCGGTCTGAAGGGATGAAATAGAACGAGGGTTACGTATGTAACCACGGTTCTATGAATCCCGGATGACCGCCAGAGGCGCTCTGTCACTCAGGGTCCTTGCATCCGCGAGAAGATTCTGCAGGAACAGAGTGCTGGATGACGCTGGACTTTATTACCTCCGGTGTGTCACCCAGGGGGTCACAGGTGTGACTCATTTGGTATTATTACTCGAACTGCGCATGCGCGAAGGGAACATTCAGTGCTATGCACCGCCCTCTGGCGGTCATCCGGGATTCATAGAACCGTGGTTACATACGTAACCCTCGTTTTACAGGGATAGTGTACAATGCAGAATAATATGCCACACAGTGCGTGGATATGGTCTGAGCAGCGATGCCAGACCTGGCACACAGGTTAGCATAGCATAGATACACCAGTAAAAAGAACATAAAACGACATATTTAGAATATAGAATCACTTTTATTTCAAGACGACGCACCAATGTGTTGCCAGACAAAGAAAGGCCAGAATACAACATTTAGTACAACATAAAGGGTTGATGTACAAGAGCCTAAATGCACATTCTGTAAACCTGAATACAGAAACACAATGATTGACACGCAACATTAATGTGCATTTGACATCAACACATCTTGAAAAATGTTAACTCTGCACCAATGTCTTGATTTCACAACATCAAATGCACATAGTGGGTCCACTTTGCATTAAGGATAAAACCAATTAACATCAACTAATGAAGATAGAGGGAACAACAAGGAGACAAACAGAACTGAACACCAAGTACAGTATTACAACATCTGGAGATGCAGATGGTTCAGATAATAAACTTTTCTGTCTTGCTCATCTTCTTTCTCTTGCCGGTTTGGAGTTCACAAAAGCTTAAACAAATTCCCATGAACTAGGTACCAATGAGTTTTTTGTCCATCTTTAAAATGGCAAAAACTCAAGGAAAAACAGATAAAAATAAGACAAAGATATGAAGGACACAATAAGTAATTTTAAAGAAACTTCTACATCAGCAACAACCCTCTCATTCATGATAAAATACCACAGCGGAAACATTTTAGCTCTGTCAAGTGCACATTTTAACACTTTAAAAAATCACTCTATATCCATTTGGAATTTAAAAAGAATGGAAAAGTGCTAAGATCAACATGAACAAATATTGCTTTATTTAGACTGAGATTGTAAACATGAAACATTATGTCAGGTCTGTAGATTCGTTAGTGATAATTATTCTTTGTATATTTAGCAGTAAAGCACAGCAGTAGTTGACAAAGAACACATTCCCAAAAAAAGGAAACCACCAAAAGGAGACTTGTATTGCTTTAGGTTATTTCTTTAAAAACCGTAGAAACACTAGTGGGATGATACTTTTACAGTATCAATCAGCAGCCTCAATTTATAAAAAGAGATAAAGAAACGTACAGTACATAACCATACACACATACACATGCTCTCACACTCATTTGTGCCCACTGACAACAGACAGTGGTATACGCAAAAGCCATGCAGAGCAAATGACTTCAAAAACATTGTCAAATACAGTTCGGAGTAGTAAGGGCACCAATTAGCTGCAGTTGAGAAGAGTTTTTTTGTGGCACAATTGTACTGCAATACATCCTACCGACACTCTGATCAGCCTCGAAGGATAAATAAATGAGATGTTAGAATATATGTCAAATTGCAGGGTTGCTAGAAGACAGACGCTTAAAATGGAGTGATAATGTAGCAAACATATTTACATGGTTGCTGCATTTGACATGGCTTGGAGTTCCAGATCACAGGTGCAGGGTCACACTATGAGGCATGTGGTGGGTTAGTAAAAAGCCCCAATGGTTTTTAAAGATCAGAGCCGAGATGAACACTAATGCTGGGAGAACGCTGTGTATGGTTTGGCCCGGGACTCAAGTACCCCAGGCCTTCCTCCTGCAGGCTGCATGAGTAGCGGCCTGCTTCAGAGGTTGTGTGGTTGCAGTTAGGAGGAGCATTGCCACCGGCTCCCTGCTCGAACGAACGGGAGAAAACGGCACTGGCAGTACGGGTGAGATTGGTGAGCGCTCCTCCTTTTGGGACAGACTGGCTGGAGGTGAGGGTCAGCCGCTTCAGCTCCACAGACTCGCTGTTCACCCGGTTTACAGCTTGGGTTGAAGTCTCTTTCTCCTTGTCTTTACTGATGCGACCACCAATCCTGCATTTCTTCATTGCTTTTGCTCCAAGATTCAAAGTGGTCACACTGTTGCTAATAGTGATCATAGGTGGAGTAATTTCAGGACCCACTCCTCCTGGCCACACCCCTTCATCCAATTCTGAAATATCCATCAGCTCGTCCGGGGAACCCAAATCCACTGCGTCTGAAAATGAAAACAAAAGTTATCACTGCATCAATAAATCTCCTCTGTCCAATAGCCCAACTTTTAGCATTTTTTTCATTTCTGATGGGCTGAAGGACAGAAGAGCAAACTTTACCATGCTCCATCTTCCAGCAGGTGGCAACATCTTATTGTGAAATTGACATATATTTTTTAATTTTTAACAAGCAAAGAATCAATTTTATGGGCAGAGATAACCCTTGCTGAGAGACAGCGGTATTGGTAAAGAATACAATCATTTCAAAAACAGAAAAAAGGTAGCAAAAGCCTAGGAAAGACCACAAGGGATAGTTAAGTATCGGAAGAACATTTCACTTCTACCATATGCAGAATATCAAAGCACAAATATGACCTTATTCTACTTTAAAACTACAACCTAGGCTATGTGGTGCCTTGTTTTGGTATATCTGTAAACTGGCACCTTGCTCACATCCCTGAACAAAGTTTGGATGAGATGCAAAGACTTTAACACAAAACCAGGGAAAATTGGGCAAACGGACGTAGACAGGTCCAAGTTATGTCCATTGCAAGACATACCAGACCCTCTACAGCCCTCACAATATCTATCAGAAGGAAGTCATGTGTGTCCAGGCGCAACCCATGTGTCAAGGCATTTGAAAAACATTACACTTCGGGATTTAGGGCAAATTAATAAAATTGATGACATCATTAAAGCAACACTAAGCCACTTTGTACACTCACATAGAAACAAAAAGTCTGGGAATATGGGCTCATAGCATAGTGTAATCATTTATATTATATATTTTTATTGTTCATTAGAGTGGGGTAAAAAGTTTACAGTGTTGCTTATTGTCAACTGTGTTGTTAAGATATTCAGTTTTTGAACAGTTCGTTATCTCAAAAGGAGTTTTGTACAAAAGAAGAAAAATGGAAAATTATACAGGTGAAAGAATTATTGTGAGCAAAACAGAAGGTGGAGCCCAGCCAAAAAGGTAAAGTGGGAAATGATAATCATGCAGGTTGTCAGACCACGCCCCACACATGGTTACCTAGGTTACCCCAAGACTGTTGCAGACCCTTAGTGTTGGCTCCTCCCTGCGGAGGCTCCAGAGCCCTCATTCTCCACCATTCGCCTCACAGACTTCTGCCTCCTGACTTCCTGATTGCGCATGGCAATGACCTCATGACCGCGGGGGTCCACGCTGACCTCAGAGGTGCCACACAGCGTGTCGGTGTCAGGGCGGTGCCGCAGGGACTCTCCGTTGGGCATGCGTTCGCAGTTCACGCTTGTCACATTGATCTCTGGGATGATCACGGCCCCGACCGAAGCCTCACTGTCTACACTCATTTCCTGGGACTCTGGTTGATGAGCATGGGGTTTATGAAATAGACATTTCACACTGGTCAACACAACAGTCATGCATACATCCAAATTTAGACTGCAAAACAGATGTAAAACAAGAACAACACATCAAGAAAAATACATCTGTGGGTCAAAATAATGTTTAACGTGCAATGGGAGGGGGTTGATGGATACAGGAGAGTACTTTTTCATGCAACACCTCTCAACAGTTCTTTCACTGTAGGAACTTCACGTTAGAAAGGACAAGGGGCAGAATGGAGACGAATAAGCAAAAAGGTTTCAAGCCAACCTGATCTTTGCATTCAGCTTTTCTTTCTCTCCCATTAAAATTCTTCAACATTTTATTGATTTCTACTCTCATTTAAGTCCCACGTTGCACATATTAAGATAAAAAAAAGAAAAACCCATCTCAACTTAAAAGCAATTAATTTAACACAATGCCTCGACTGCAGCGTTATGTACACTTTATACATTTTTTTTTCACATTCAAAAAGAGCCTTTATGTTGGTTTGGAAAATTGTAAGTAAGTAAATATACCTTGCCTTGGAAAAGTATTAATACGGATTGAACTTTTCAACATGTCACGACCACAAACTGAAACCCTGAAATATCTCAAACAAACTAACAACTGAGAAGTGGAAGCAAAATGAAATCCAGAAAAAAACAAATATGTAATCTCTAGGTTTGTGGTTGTAACATGACAAAATGTGCATGGGTTCAAAAAGATTCAAGCTTTATTTATACTTTTGCTGCCGTTTATTCAAGGCATTGCAGTGTTCTATTCAACATGTAGACAGTCATGTGCTGTATTTTGATCAGAGTGTCTCACCGTGTCGTTTCCACCTGTGGCCCCTGATGGAGAGCGACGTGACAGCATTTCTGGAGATCCTGGAGGAGGTAGGTGTGATCTCTACCTGGATACTCCTGCCACCATCTTTTGCATTATTTTTCAAAGCTGCTCCATGTAGAGACGATTTGATGGCGTTCCCCACCTGGTAGAAGCAAAATCTTGAATTAGTGATTGTTTTCACCATTATGCAATATGTTTTTGTTTACTATTAGAGAAAATATACCCCAGCAACAGAATGTAAAATGCCATGAAATAGAAAACAAAACATGAACTCGCCTGGTACACAAACAATGTCTGTCCTCAAAACAGATACAGGCCACGGCAATATCTGGACAAAGTGGTCTTGGTAATATGTGCATTAACACTGAGAGATGAATGGTGATACTTTTAAACAACAAGGTAAATGATAATATAGCACAAACAGAAATTACACGGTTTATTCAGGCTGAATATACTGGGCTCACTAGGCGACTTAATTAGGACAATTTAGCCTTGTTCAAGTGGCAGTCCGCAACTTCCAGAACAAATGAGTCAGGGTTGTGGAGATGTAAGTCTGCGCACAGTTACACTTAAAACACAATTTCACACTTTCACAGAACTGAAATGTAATCATCAAAAAAATCAGACATTAATATGCAAGTGGTGCCATTAAACCTATGCATTCTTTTCAACATGAAAATAACTTTAAGTTACAGATATCACCATACATTTTTATTATTGACCAATAAAGATAATAATATATGCCTTTGATGGCATCCAATGCATTTTGTTAATTTCCATATTCAAAATTATTGATTCAGTCAAGGCAGTTTTTTAGGGACAATGATGTATCAGGTTGCGTATTGTACCTAGGTCAGATGACTTGTATCCTGTGAGTCCTCATTAATATGAAAGCAAAAAAGAGGGCAGGGTCAGGATTCTTAAGACACCTGAAAGTGATATATTTATCTGATTTTTTTAAATGAGATTAAATGGTTATGCCTCTGTTCAGCCAATTCTTCCAGAAATTATTAAAATGAAAAGTAATTAAGTTAATGAATAGTATATTCATATTTTCATTGTCCATGCACCTTGACTTGTGGGGTAATGCCGTTCGCTAAGGTCCAATCCCCTACTCCAGAGGCCTTAAGGATTAGGGTTTAGCAGAGCGGAAGGCATGTAAATAATCTAGTGGGATTACATTCTGGTGACCACGACACAAACAGACCAACAATACGGCACAGTGTTCTGAGCAAGATTTAAAAACATAAGCCAACATGTGCATAAAAATCACATGCATCCCTCCGTGCTCTGGATCTAAAAGAATACTAGGTAGGAAAGATGAGAAGGAAGCAGAAATCCTTTTTGCACCCACCAAAAGCGCTTCAGGGAACAACTCTAGCTGGGCTCGGTACAAAACATCATCCAGGGCTTTGGATCCGAGCTCCACTTCACCGTTACACCTACACACATAAGCAGGAGTCTTATATTTTTACATCGAAGTGAACAAATAGGATCAAATTAAAATAGAATAGTGTGAAACAGTGAAGTGCTTCTGGGCACTTACAAAGCAAAGTGGATCCCAGTGATGAGCTGGACCAGAAACTCTGACGTAACAGTCATGCGGGTGCTAATTCCTTTATATCGCCGAATCTGTTGTCGTGGGTAACCACATATACATACTCTACGGAAATGAGGCAGGGAGCACAGAAGATTAGTTTCAATCAGGAAGAACAATAGCTCAACATCGTGTGCATTAGCGAATTAAGATGCTTCCTGTTGTGAAGCATCAGGCAGATAAGTGAACTGCAAACAATTTTATCCATGCACAAAAACATCGTCATTAGGTCCATGGAGTGTTTTCTAGAACGTCAACAAAAGACCAATTATAAACGGACGTCAGTATTTTGAAATCATAAACAAGGATACAATTCACTAGAATATCATAAGTCTTTGTGCCTGGTGGGATAGCTGCAGCTATGGGGTGTAGATGTAGCTGTAGATGTGTTTTTTTAAAATCAGGATAAATATGTTTGCTTTACTCCTTATTAAGATAAGATAAGATGTGCTTTATTTAGCTCACATTAGGAGAAATTTACATATTTACATTATTGCTAAAAGAATCAAAAATGCCACCTGGATTTTGTACAGAATTCCAAAATGTACATCAAATTCTAAGCAAGAACTTTTGGATTGTGCTTCAAGCACTTGGTGCTGGTTAGGTTGAGTCTGATGATCTACATCAGCGATGAATCATATACACCCGTAATCTTGCAACCCCCAAAGAGGACTGCACGATATATGAAAAAAATATTGTCATTACGATAATGGCAAATGCAATATCCATATGACAATGGTGTGCGATAACTTTGAGTTATTAATATGTAAAAAATACATTACAATACAATTTATTCTTATATAGCCCTAAAACAGTAGTCATAGCTCTACCCATCAAGGCATTGTGGATAAAGTGCAAGAAGCAAATAGCCATGCTCATATTTGTTTAAAGAGTATATTGGCTTAATGTGGCTGTTAAGACTAATGAGGATCAGATAAGCTTCTTCTTGTAAGACACTGAGCGTATGAGAGTTTGTATGCATGAGCCCACAAGTCTACAAAGCTCAGTTCCGTGGAAAGTGATTTCTGTCATGTGTGGCGTGTTGTAAGTTTTACCTGGAGCTGAGCTGACACAAAGACTGCAGTGAAGTTATACCCAAGTAGCTCAGTGCTGCATTGTAGCACAGCAGCAAGAACGTCAGGACCTCAAATCTGAAATCAACAGTCTGATCATCACAACACATACAACTGCACGTACAACTAAAAAGGTACGATAAGACGGATGCACCACAAGTTAGGCATGATGCCATTCTATATACTTTAATCCTCCTGCTATTCTGACAGTTGGTATCCAAATGCACCAAGTGAATACAGGCACTCAAAGGAAAGCCCATACAAGGAAACTCTTGCATGTTGACCGGCCAAAGCAGTGAACACGAGGACTCCAGCCAAGCCTCTTACTTGTTCTGTGCAGTGAAGGTTTCTCTTTGTAAGTGTGGCCCACTGTATACTACCCTGGTCAGCCCATGATTGGCTAAAGCACCTTCAGTAAGAGCCATGGAGCCAATTGTTGAAGGCTTAAAAAAGAATCACAGAGTAATGTTTAATAACAATAAACAATACAATACATATTCAATAAAATGTGCTTCTACCTCATGATATAGTGATGGTTTGGAGAGAGACGGCACAGTAAACGATAACAATTTGCTCTGTCCATCTTTATCCACAATTTCCTGTGGAAGAGGGAAAACATGTTACATAAAGAGCCATATTATGTCTTAGTGCAGATATATTGTAAAAACCGCCGTTTATTGCATTCATCAAATACTAACGTATTATGCGATCATTCACTAACTCGTACCGCAATTTGTCCTCTGCATTTGACCCATAGCTTAATGCCACTAGGGCCTCCGTCAGGACTAGTTGTCGTCATAGTGGGGGTATCCATCTCCAGATGCAAATGCTCTGCTTGGAGAGTAAATGCTCTACTGGAACTGGAGGATTTTACTTATGGTACATGTTTTTAGAAGTAGGAGAATCCAGTGCCACTCGATGGAAAAATATGCAGAAACAGGGAGAACATGCAAACTTCACTCCGAAAGATCCTGTTCCAACCGGGATTCGAACCCAGGATATTCTTGGTGAGAAGTAGGAGTGCTAACCACTGTGCCACTGTGCTCCCCGTATCAGCAAAATCACTTTAAATCTGGCCATTACTCTATAAAATACTTCACAACGTGATCAAGTTATTAATGATAACGTTTCCAAAGTCTCAAGTTAATTTCTAGATGAGTTTAAAAGCTTTCTAAAGCTTTAATGAAACAATGTGTTGTATTGATATTGGCACCACCTTCGGATCCCAAAAAAAAACCAACCCTAGTTATAAACATACTCCGTCACACTTTTTAAAATAACACTTTACACAACTTATAGGGTCAGGGCTCACAAACTACAATGTTCAAAAATGTGAATTCCGCGGGCCATTTCACTTCCCTCTTTTGATTTTATGTCAGCACAAATTCAGCACAAAAGGGGCCAGAGTCTTAGGGTTCATGAACTCTCAGTATTGCAGCACTGTATTCTTACTTACAGTCTAAATAATTGCTTTGAGAATACCTCAATGCTAATCCACAGATGTTTTAAGTTTTGTTTAGTAATCTTCAAATCAATGATTGCACCCCTGTAGTAAAAGAGCATCCCCCTCATTAGCCGTTCCCCTACCAGGTTGTAAATGCCCAACAGCAGGGCCTCTATGCAGCCGGAGGTGTGGGGGTCCCTGGCAGCGCTGACGGACAGGAGACTCCACAGGAGCTCAGGCAGGAACTGCAGGGTGAAGCGCTGCAGCTGTGGCTCACCACTTCGGTAAAACTCAAACAACTGATGACACACTGGCTCCAGCAACTGCAATGCATATACAGCGTAATCTCATGTTACACATTTTAACAACACACACTACACTAACGGGATCAATATTCTAAGCAGAAAATGGTTGTTTTGATCACCGTTTGATTCTTGTCTAAAATGTAGAATGTGTTCAATGCAATACAAAATGATAACAATAATAAATCTTTAGACTGAATGATTTAAACACACCATTGATATTAAACTTAGTACAAGACAGGAATGAGACTTTATATTAAAAATGATGCGTTCCCTCATACATCACTATAGTTTTCTCGAATAACTTTGTAAAGTGCAGGAATCAGAGAGACTTTGTCCTTTAGAGCGGCAGCGTAGGAGGACACAGCACTGTCAGGGAGTGTCTGCAAACACAAAACAAAAAAAATGCATCTATTTATTTAAGTTCTGTTTGTAGAACACATATTGCGCATATACAGCTTTTCTCCTTGTACCTGCTGGCCATTTCCTTCACATTGTAAATCAAAACTAATTTCTTAGCCTTTCTTACATTTCATTTCACTTCATAAGCAAGCAGCTCTGCTCCAGTACGGGTTCGGTTGAGGGGAGAGCGGAGGAAGCGGGCCACAGAAAAGCGGGCAGAATCAAACGTTTGGTGAAATTGATACATTTCAAAAACAGCATCAGTGTATATTTTGCTGTAGTGTGCTTTCATAAAGGTGATCCTCTACCCACACCTGGGGCTGGCACAGAGTAGGAAGGCGTTACAGATTCAGAGTCGATTTTGGATCAGTGTTTATCAGTGTGCCACGGCAAGTTAGTGGGCATTGAGATATTATTCGGTGTGCCTCGGGAAATTATCTTAACACCTACTTGGTGAAATAAAAAATAATTAGAATATTAAAAATCTTTATCTTTGCACTTATTTTATTTTCTATATAACACACTTTGATGAGAATTACTTCATTTTGTTAATAAAGACTGCAGAGTTACATATTTCTATCAGTTTCTGCTGGTGGTGTCTCATGTGATTGTTTTAAATGAAAAAGGTGTGCCACGACTCAAAAAGGATTGGGGAACACAGAGTTAGTGGGAGACACAGTTGTAATATAAGGGAAAGAATGGAGAATATGCTCAGACAAAGCTCTTCTTATGCACGGCTCTTGAGCACATTCAGCGCCTGCAGGTGCACTCCACGCAGACAGCAAACTACAGGAGATCATGGACTTTTGCAAAACATTACAAAATCCTATTGTGAATCATTGTGGCGGTTTATATGTGTGCTGCAAAAGATTGATTTCAATGCACTTTCCTATGATGGACCATAGACCATACAAGAAGCCACTTAGAAGTCGTTTTCCCATTTTCTTTCTCCATTTCTAAACAAAAATTGAATGGCCGAAATATAAAGAGCAAGTTTAAATCACAAAATGAATCTGAATTATGAAAGATACTGCTCATTAACTAGCTTTGTTAGTCCTCTCCTCTTCAATGTTCTTTTGGATTTTATTGTCTGTTTGTAAATGTTTGCTTGCTGCAAAACCAATTTCTCCAAATTAAACAGAACTTTAAAATGTTGAATTAGAATGGAAAAATGATCGGTACCTTATATTCTGACAACCATTCCTCCACCACTCCTTGATCCATTGCCAACATGTTCCCTCATCTGCAGTGGAAGCACTTCTACCTGCAAGATTAGAAAAACATTTTAGACATGTTCTGTATGAAGGATGAAGTACAGCTGTGTAGAGAGAAAACTCAGTTCCATCCAACATTAAATTGTGGACTGGGGGGTGGGAGCACTCTACGAAGTATGTTGCCTACAACATCATTATAACTAATCCAAAATTCTGAGATAAATGGCATATCAATGGAGATGGAGGAGATTAAGACTTCAAAGACCACCAAACCAAAAAACCTCTGAGAATTTGAATTATGTATGATCTTTTGTTATTCTTGATTTTAAAATAGAGCCAACATGATTGATTATGTAAAACGACAGTCCTTGTTTGGTGCTTTTGGTCACGGAGAGTAGAGAGAGGACAAGTCCTTCTATGCACTAATTACCACAGGCTCTGCAACACATTGTCAAGGAGGTTTTTGGCCCCCTTTGTAAAAGATAACTCACTGAATAAAACCAGCAGAACTACAGGTTTAAATGCAAATAATAAAATTGAAATAATTTCTACAATTAGAAATATTTCAGAATGATCCATTTGAATGTTATGCCAACCTTTCTTGCTGTACTTCTACAGCCTTTAGAATGTTTCATCACATATTTCCCTGGTGACCATTTATGGACAGCAATAACAGGAAATATACATGAGGGGGACATTAAAGAACCAATTAACCTAATAAGACAAATTAGTCTTTAGTAAAGCAGCCCATTCTGTTCCCCAGTGCAGGCAGGAACAGTAAGGAAGGCAGTTATCTATATCCAGCATGTCCTGTTTTAACAGTAGAATAAAGACTGATTAGAGTGGGTGAGTCAGTGCACTAACAGACAGGGCTCTCCTCCTCCTACACGGCTTGGCTTTGTTTTTGAAGAGTCCAAAAAACTGTTGGTTTCTTGTGTAGTCTGGACTGTCTGCATTCACTGCCTCCTAAAAGTGCATTATTTTGTGCTATGCCTCCTCCGGCTTCTTCAGCCACCCACCTGGGGGTTATTTTTGATGGTTGACGTCAAAAGGTATTTATTGCAGCTGTTATACCCCATAGGTGTTCTGGATGGATTCAGGAAAATAACATGCTGATGATCAAATCCAAGCGTAGAGCTGCAAAAATAATTGAAGCTGAATCCAGATGTAAGTGTTTGCAATTAGCAAATTGGAAAGGCTGCAATTAATCAAGTTCTGCATAACATGCATGAAGAGGCTTTGGAGCACAAACGTTTTGAGACCGCAGGAGAATCCACATCACCCATATGAAAACGGCAGCCAGACAAAACTGCTTGTATTTTATAAATTATGAAATGGAATAATATTATGGCGACAAGGCAAGTAAAATTAAATCATGATGATATAGAAATTGCAATCATGATAATAATATATAAAATGTACAGTATTGCTGATTGCTGTGTGTATCTTGGTCTATGTGTTTAGTTCCACTGTACACCGCAGCATTTCAGTTTATTCATTTTAAAAAGACTGCAAATCAAATTGTAAACACTGCAACAATTTGTAATTACCCATCAGTTGACTTCAATCACATAACGTGTACATTTACAAGTCACATGCCTTCTAAGTAAATGAAATCATTAAATTCAAAAGGTCTCCTGTCAACCCGAGTGAAATTCTAAGAGAAAATGTCCATGGAAACAAACAGGTAGAAAACCCATTTGAAAAGTTGTGTAATGCACCTTTCATGAGAATTAAAGGACAAAAGCTTTGGATTACGCACAGAGTACACCAAACGTATAGAGAAAAAGTTGCCAAGCAGGTTCAATGGGCTACTTTACCAAAGGACAAGCTTTAACCAAGAGAGCGCAGAGAATTGGAATGTACATAATACACAGAGATTGGAGGATAACTGCTCAGGGGACAAATTAATGGAACACACTGGGTCGATAAAACACCTTCTTTCATTCTCCAAATGTGCTTTAGCCGACAGCCTTGCTCAACATCAGATAGGTGAAACCCACACTGCTGTTGTGCTTAACCGACATTTAGCAATACAGCAGGCGCGCACTAACTAAAAGGAAGGCGAACAGGAGACTTGCAGTACGGGTCTGGGAATGTGTCAAAATCTATTTTCCTTTTTTGTTTCCTTTATCAAAATGGCTTTGTGTGAGAACTTGACAGATCCCTTTCCACCATTACATTAGTCTTCTTGACAGCTGCTTAGGGTCTAAATATGAGTAAGTATTGATTTAAGTTATAATACCAATCGAGGTATAAAACAAAGGTTAGACAATGGGGTTATGATGACTAAAATGATGGCAGTTTTCTGTATTACCGCTGTATTTTTCATTGCCCTTATTGATTTCATTAACGTATTGTAAATTGGCATGTTTTTTATTAGGGAAATAATAGGTACAGTGTTTGATAAGGGGCTTCATAGATTCCGACCTGTATAACTGGCCACAGAGCTGTCATGATTAACCTGAGCAGAGCAAGTCCATGGACGTCATGGACCCTGCGCACCGAATTGGTGACTCCAACGCTTGTGTTTGATGTATAAAAAGTGAAAAATTCTAGAACAATTGAAAATAATTTTAGAGGCAAAACATTGTTTTACAAGCTAGATTTTGCCTTTCAAGCTGCAGTTTGACTCTTCTAAAATTACCCTTGTAATGAGCTTTGTATGGGACCTAGTTTCAAGGTTAGGCCCAACATATCGTTTTGTGTTTACATTCTTAACCCTTGTAGCAACTGTCCAGGCAAGTCCTGACACAGTGGCCTTGTCACACCCAGGCTCTCAGCAAATCTAAGTAATAATACAATAGCATACAGGTCACAAACAACATCAGACCTTTTAATCACCAATAAACGCAAACAAAAGAAAGCATTTCACACTAAAATTCTGTTGTTCAATACAATATTTGAACTATGTATATTTTATTATATTTTTGTTTTCTCTCATAAAATAGCACCAAAAATCTATTGTTCATATATCGATACCAGAAGTTTAAACACGGTTTTATTAAGTAGCATCTGATAATCTCAAATTATTGTGTAACTTATCCAGTTTCTAAAAGAAAAAGGCCAATAAGCAAATGTCAGAGCTGCTGCTCACACACACACACACACACACACACACGGCTTGTCATCATCTCTGTTCTCTCAACACTTCCAGCTCAAAGTGTCTGTAGGCAACGGGAGACACGCTGTTGTATTGACTGCTACAAAAGGCCTTAACTAATCTATTAGGGTTTTTTTGCTTTAAAACAGGAAGAGTGGGCCAACAGGAAAGCTCTTAAAGCAGGCTGTCCACACTGACTGTTCCCACAAGATATTTATATTTCAATACAGTGAAATGAGGCCGTGTTAGGACTTAGTAGATCATTAACAGTGATAGACAAGTACAGCTGCATATCATAGGCATAGTTATGGCAATGTTGTATTTCTTTATGATTATGTGGACTTCTTCATGGGAAAAAGTGATACAGACGAACAACTCTGGACCACTTCTCCCCTCGTGAAGAAGTCCACATAATAACCATCCAAAAATGTCCACATAATTTCCTTTGTGGGTCATTAAAGTTGGTCAAAGTCTATTGCTAACACAGTTCCAGAACTGTACCCTTGACCCACCTAGTGTTGCAGTCTAAAACTATCAAAATATGACATATTGTATTTAAGTCATTTTTCACCACTCCCAATGCCAACAAATTCTGATAATCAAATAGAAGAAATAGAATAGCAATAATCATTAAGATTTTAAGGAGAGTTGAAAAACCACTGGCTGGATGACACTGATAGAGAATGACAGCTGAAACCATGCTATGGTGCTACTCCAAGCCCACTGGCTTTTCTGTCAGAAAGGATTAATAAAATGGAAGGTCTCAGCTGGCATATAGAACACACATTAAAGGGTTTGCTGTTGTGTGCATGTACATTCACACGGATATATAATGGCAACACTTTTGAACCATGATTCACCAAAACAAACTGAAGCGGGCAAGAGTGAATAACAAACGTGCCAAGTTCTTGTGAAGGACTGACCAGCAGAGTAAGCTCCAAGTCTCATTCAAATACGAATACTGCCTTGCTTAATCATTTCATTTTATTTTTTCTCCCAACACAGCTGAATAAAGAGCAAAGACCTGAAACTAAGGAAACATCTCATAGACACAGAAACGCTATGACTAATAATTCCAAGTCTTTTAAGCCTTTACGCCCAAGTAGCTACATCAGTTCCTGAATCAAGCTGGCTTCCCAAAAACGTTTCCCGACATACGAACGTATCTTTCTTTTCTTTTTATTCTGTTCTCGTATAAAGTTTCAGGGCTCCACTTTTTATCTGTTTCACATCAAATATAAGAAAAAACCTCTGGTTAACCAAACAGCACTATATTTAATTCTCCATCTGTGCCAGTGGGCAGGCTAAATCTGACTTGTATCTGAAAGACGCAGAGGTTATAAAGAGAAGGCAAAAGGTCTGCTACGCGCTCTAATTCAAGAAAATACACAATATTTACCGGCCAATATGATTTAAGCCAATGCAATCTAACAAACAATCACAAGCCTTTTGTGATGACATGAGTCTCTTTAAGGTTTACAGATGAATGCCGCAGTTTCACAACCTTTTCTCCGTAAAGATCGTGAATTAGTCAAGACTTTAACTCACTCTGAACTGTCACTGTGGTCGCCTACAGATTAGCTCGTTAGCTAGCTAGCTTAAGAGGGCGCGACAACAAGGAAACTATGAAATTCAATGTACTTACTGGCATGCTATCTGTCTTTTCACTGGTAATATCCTTCAATAATGTGTGCTGTGCGCGTCTATCACACCACTACTCCAGAGATCTGCTGAATTATTCACCAGCGCCTTCCATCTTCATTACTTTCTCCACTCAAACTACTGAGGCTCAAATGTAAATGATGGGCACTCTCTCAAGCCAATCAAAAGCTGATAAACCAAAGAAACGACCGCGCCCCCAGACACGATAACCAATCACAGCTCAGCACTGCTGTGCATATTAATAGTTTCCACGAACACGTTTGAATGTCGCTGTCCCTTCTCTTTGAGTTTGACAGCCGCTAAATTATCTCACAAAGAAGTCGCCAAATATAAATTAACCTATTTATTATTCTTTATGGAACATTTTCACTGATAGTTTGCAGTGTATAATGGAATACGTGCGTAGTAATTCAATTACAATCCACGAATATAAAATAATAAAACATACCAAATAAATATAATAAAAATATGATATAAATATGATATAAATATATCATGCTACAACATATTGTTATTCATATGTGTATATCGCCATAGTGTTTCATTGCAATCTTAATGCCAGGACATAGTACCGCTACAAAATATGTAATATGTAAATATGTATTAAATGCACAGCGCATACATATTAAAATCGGTTCGTGTATGAATGTTTCATAACATGAACGTGGGACGTTAGCGAAATTCTAAATCAAACTTCTATAGTTTTTATTATTATTATTATTATTATTATTACTATCAATCTTAATAACAGACTCAAATTCATATTTATATTTAGGATGTGAAGCCTGCATGTGTGGAGACCATTGAGACCATGGGACCTAGTTAGCCAATCACAGTGTCCCCTCACGTGGGGCGGGCTTTATAAACTAATGGATTGACAGGCCGCATTTTTCCCATCGATGCAGTAGTAGCACAGGTTGGCGGAAAAGTATTATGAACATAGTGCAAAATGGCTTCTGCGAGTTGCAAAAAAACACTTTCTAAATGTGATCAGTCTATCAAGGTGCAGAAAGAACATGCCACTATGGATAACTTGAATAACATGAGAAAACAGGTAATTAGGCTGATCTGCCAAACCGTGGCTTTGTGAGGATAGTCTTGATTAATTTTTGACAGGGCACTCTCTGTGATGTGACTCTGGTGGTCCAAGGGAAGTTCTTCGCTGCCCACAGAGCTGTTCTTGCAGCTGGGAGCCATTTCTTCACCCTGATGTTCACTAGTAAGTGCCAAATGTGTGACCCACTGCCTGGGTTTTCACAACATCAACACACAAAAAGTGTCATTCAAAAATAAGGTTAATTTAATTGTTAATGAAGAGTTGCCATATTTTCTTTATTTTTTTACTTATTTATTATCAATTGATTATACTCCTGTTGAGTTGGAACTCTTTGACTTTTAACTCTTTGCAGCCAAAATGCTGGAGAACACATCCGAAGAGGTGGTGTTGTATGATGTTGAAGCCACTGCCTTGGAGCAACTGATTGATTTCTTTTATACAGCCAAGTAAATCCGCAAAATAACCTGAAAATCCTACTTTGAGCATCCTTGCATGTATGTTGAAGCACATTATCTCTGGTGATAGGATCTCTGTGAACAGCAGTAATGTGGAGTCATTGCTGAAAGCTGCTAACCAATATCTCGTTGAGCCAGTGAAGAGAATGTGTGTAGTGTTTCTGAAAGAAGAATTATGCGCTGAAAATTGCCTTGGTAAGGACATAATAGTTTGAGCATAGACTGTAAATGTTGAGTTTGAGGAGTAGTTCTGTGGTGAATCGTTTGTGTTGCAGGAATCCATGCTTTGTCCGAGTGTACAACTTGTGAAGATCTCGACACTGCAGCAGAGACGTTTGCGCTATTGCATTTTACAGACGTTTTTAAAGTGGATGAGTTTTTGAAAATTGATGTGGGGCGTCTTACTCATTTACTCACTCAGGACAAGCTTACAGTTGACTCTGAAGAACAGGTAGTGAACAGAGGCTCACACAAAATACTGAGAATTTACCCCAAAGTATTTGTTTTCGGTGAAGGTTTATGAAGCAGCAGTGCGGTGGCTCAAGTATGACATATGTAAAAGAAGGCAGTATGTTGTCACGGTACTGGGATGCGTTCGATTCCCTTTCATCTCAAAGAGTTTCCTGTCAAGTACTGTACAGGCTGAACCTCTCATCCAGGACAACCTACAGTGTATGAAAATGGCCATGGGTGAGCATGAAATTAATATTCATGTTGTTGGTTGATTACTAATGTATTGATTGGCACAAGGTGGAATGGGATATCACCTGACTGGCGACAAGCAAAAGATTCAACCTCGACGCCAGAAAAGTAACCACTTCATTGCAGCGTTTGGCGGTCTCCATTCGCATATCACAAACATCTACTACTTTAACCACAAGGTAATGTCAACCACAGAAGACTTTTGTGTGTGCTTGATGACTCCAAAAGGGCCATTTCTTTCAGGAATGTACCTGGACGGATGTTGGGAGCACACATGTTGGGAGTAAAGAAGGCACATCAGTTTATTGTAGAGATATGATCTACATCATGGGTGGACTGAAAGACCATATAGCTGTGTACAATGTCTTGGAGCGAAGATTTTTCGAATTGTTGTGCACTCCACTCATGAACAGAAAGCATTTAGCTGCCTGTGCCTTTGAGAACAAAATATACACATCAGGAGGGGCTGTTGGTCAGTCTGGCATCTGTATTATTTGTCTGTATATTAATCTTAGCCTCTTGGAACTGTGTTTGTCTTATTTATTTCCAGGCACGTCGTGTGTATTGTCAAGTTTTGAATGTTTTGATACCAAAACCGGGTCATGGCAGGAAAAACCAAACATGTTAAGTCCACGACATGGCCATGGCTCTGTGGAAGTAAATGGCCTCATTTATGTCTGTGGAGGAAGTCGATATGCCACATCATACGTCCTTTACAACTGTGAAGTCTTCAATCCAAATACTGACAAGTAACTCATTTGACTGTATATTTCCGAAGATCAAAATGCAGTGATGTAATGGTGCTCTCCCAGGATGAGGCTGAATACAGTAGTGTGGATGCAGTACTGTATAGTTACACAATCTGAGCAGGTAGTAGTGGTCAAAGTGGCCATCTAACTGTTCCTCTTAAATCAAAGTTTATATTTGGCACCTAAAATCACTAGCTTTCCCCCAGGACATCACATAATTGTTGATTTGCTAATGGAAGATTAGAAAATCAAACTATAACATGGTTATTGGCCCATAAAGACAAATTTCACAGGTTTTTGAGAAAATTGATAAATGTCATCCTTGCAGCCGATCTACCTGCTCAGTGTCCATTGACTCTGCATAAACTTTTACCCCAGCAGTGACAAAAGTACTAGTCTATGGTACTAAAGGAATAGATGGTAAAAATGCACTCTAAAGATATTAGTTATTCCTTTTCTATACTGTATACGCCTGTGCTTCTGGGAGTTCCATTCTCACAATGTAGCACATGAGCTTTCTGTGAGATTGTGAATAGACTAAACTAAACTAAAAACTTGAGTATAAAAGGCAATTGATGGCGTGTACTAAGTAAAAGGCACTGACGATAAAACATGTAGAACTGGTCATCTGAATTTGGGAGCGTAGCTAAAGACAACCAATTAGTTCACTGGAATTGTACTACCATCAAACCTTTTATGGTGTATTGCCATCTGCAATGCACATTTTAAATTGTAAATGGATATTTTGGTTTGAAAAGAAGGAAAGTATTGATGCCAAGGAGAAATGTGAAAAAAGCAAAAATACTTTTCTACACAGATGGACCAGGATATGTAGAATGAATGAAGCTAGAAAGAACCATGGGTTGGTTGTGGTCAACAATAAGATCTATGCTGTTGGAGGCCAAGGGACAGCAGGTAACAAGCCTGACCAGATCGTGGTCCCGTTTTAAATGACCCTTTGTCTGGAATGAGTTGTGTACATACTTTCTAGGTGGTCTGGACTCTCTGGAGTACTATGACACGGACTTGAACAAATGGTACAGAGCATCTCCAATCCCCTGGCGAGGGGTCAGTCCCAAATGTGCAGCTGTGGGGGAAAAGATCTACGTGCTCTCAGGCAAAGGTGTAGAATGGAAGTCACAACTGAAGCATGTGCTGGAGTACAACACTCGCACTGACCGGTTAGTGACCTACTCACACTGGCATCTTCAAACTGCTCATATACTCATCAGTTTCTTTGAATAGCTGGATAATCCGAAACAAGACTAAAGCCCTTTCTCTTTCCACCTGTCTTGTTTGTGAGATCAAAAAAAGTGAAAATGAGACACAATAACAAATATACATTCTGAAATAACTGTTCTATGAAACAAATGTCATTATTACAATGTGTATTTTCAATAAAACATTTTAATGGAGTTGGGACTGTTGGTCTTTTGAGAATTCCTGTCCAAATTCTGATCCAAGACAAAGGCAGACTGTTATATTTATCCAACCCTTGAAATAAAACTAGTGAAATAATCTTTTGTAAATTTTATTTACAAAGTTTATAATCAGGACACTTCCCTTTCCCACCCAAAAACAAAAGGGACTGAAAGTTAAATGTATAAAATGCAAAGTTTACTTGATCTCAGAAAAAAAGTAAAAAACCTGAAGAGACCAGGGCACCGGAGATGAAACGAGAGACCACTGTGCCCTCTTAAGATTCAAAGTAAATAACAAATCTGGGAAATAATGTGCAGTTGCCTGTAAACTACATAATCACAAAGCAATGAGTGATCTTTTCAGATGCATAGCACTGCTGTACTTTGCTTTAGATATTAGAAAACATTTGTATTTTTACTACAGGTGTGGCCCTGCAATATCTGCAGCTTCAATGAAAAGCTCTCCAGCCTTCTGTCTATACTCCATGGAGAGCTCTTTGGCCCTCTCCACTTCGTTCATGTTCTCCTTCAGGTTCTCCGATAGTCTTCCTTGTTCCTGAAAGGTATCTGCAGCGACTTTTACTTGCTCGTCCATGTGATCCTTGCTCCGGAGGAGCCAGCCTATCAGCTCCTGGAGGGTTGTGCCCTTTGCTATGATGGCTTTTGCAGACTCTGAAATGTCCTTGAATTCATCTATAGCCCTCTTCAGATGATAAGGCAGTGGTTCGGCATCTTTAGTTCCTTCTGAACTTGTTTGAATCACACACAGAGAGAAATCATAACCTTTGAGCCTCATAGAAATCCTATAGTCAGCATCTGCTGAAAAAAGATACAGAATTTTAGATAAATATCTTGCTGCCCTATTTCACTTTGGTGTGAAACTTGCCATGCTCATCTCTAATCTTCTTCAAAATGTTTGTTAAAGCCAGTGTTCCTCCATGTGCACAGGCATATCTCTTTTGCAAGTTGAGCAGGAGGTGCACAGTTGTCTCAAACCGGTGTTGCTGCTCATTAAAAGTCTCAGCAACGTCCAAAAACCTTTGGTCCAGGTCAGGGACCCCCACACGCCTCATCATTAGTTTGCCTCTCCTTTTGCATCCGTCTACCAAACATAAATATGAAAGTGACACTAAAACATGCAAATGCTGTAAATGAACTGCTGTAGAAGCATATTTTCACCATTTTGTGCTACAGACAGAGTCTGTCTGGCTGATGCTGGTCCATTCTGTTCAGTTTGTCTGGACCCTAGAAGCGGTTCTCTCTTTGGGACACAATGACAAACAAAACATTAAATCTGGGGTGCCGGACATTCAAACCACAAAAAATGATCTAACTAGCTCCTCGCTCTCAAATCTGTTTGATTCTCCTTGATAGAATGTGACAAGATTTGACAAGATTTCACTTTTATGCCTGCTGAAGCATTAGCTGTTTCATAAAGTTTGGCAAACATATGATTTAGTCCAGAGCTGTGTGATGCCATACATTTGCACTTTTAGTTGATAAATAAAAACAGCTTATTCTAAACGATACGAGGCTCAAAAAAAAGATACGATTTACACGCATATGTTGGCCTCTGTCACGCCTTTTAGATCAGCTTTTACAGACAGAAAAGTGAAAAATATCAGCTCTCAAACTCAGTGGTCTGAAACGTTTACTTTATGACGTATTGAAGTAAAATGTATTCTTTATGACGAAAAATGTTTGCTGCCCCAGCTTCTAACCCACATAACAATGTACAGTCCACCTCGGATACTACCATCCCTTTATTTATCTACGTCTAGATAGATAGTATATTCGTCATTAATAAAGTATAAAGTGACACACTCCTACCTCGGTTTCATGGTCATCAGGTTTTTTGCAAGAAAAGCAACAACAGAAAGGAATAAAAAAGCTCATCTCTGAGCTCGGACACTTGCTTGTTCTGAAAATAATTTCTGACAGTCGGGTATTGTTTAGGTGCATTCCTCCACGTCGGTCACGCGGTTAAAATTCTTCCTGGTTTGTTCTCACCATGTGCAAGTGTGGGACAGGTGCACTACAGGTACACATCTAAGTCAAAAGACCAATAGAAGTGAAACAAGTGTAGAACAGCACAGAGCACAACGACAGTCTCAAGCAGCCAACTACACTTTGATAAACGCAGAGGGTCGATCATGCGTGGGACATTTGCAAACATTAGTATTAGTTTGAATTGTGATGCTGTACCCGGGTTTGGTCACCAGAGGGAGCTGTGGTCAGACTTTGCTGCACTACTAGAAGAAGAGCCGAGCTTTGCCTCTTTGTTTTGCTTCAGATTTTGATATTACAGTTTATAAACCAATTCTCCGAGACCATGACCGGGATGGCCTCTCCGGAGAAGGCAAATAGCTCAAAGAAGAAAAGTGAGAGGAAAGGTATATTAAAGGAGGAGTACAGACAGCTATCCGGAATCATGGCTGTAATGAATAATCTGAGGAAGCAAGTATGTGCTGAGAAAGCTTGCAATAGTCTGTACTTTTGCAGTAATGTACTTTAACATTAACGTTTTTCTGCAGGGGACCCTCTGTGATGTTACTCTGCTGGTGCAGGGGAAACACTTTCCTGCTCACAGAGTGGTGCTGGCTGCTGCTAGTCACTTCTTCAGTCTTATGTTTACCAGTGAGTTTTCATTGGTCTATAATAAATCTGTTCAGAATTATGGCTTCACATAGGGTCTAACGTCACCTGTCTGCAGCTAGAATGATGGAGTCCATGTCTCATGAAGTGGAACTGAGGAGTGCAGAGCCAGAAATCATTGATCTACTGCTGGAGTTCATCTACACTGCCAGGTAATGCTCTGTCAGACTGTATGAAGACCACATTCTCACTGTTTGTGGAAAGTAAATCCATGTGTCCGTGTGTGGGGATAGGATCTCAGTGAACAGCACTAACGTCCAGTCGTTGTTGGATGCAGCCAACCAATATCAGATTGAGCCAGTGAAGAAAATGTGTGTAGAGTTTCTTAAAGGACAGATAGATGCTACAAATTGCCTCGGTAAGCTGCTGTGTTTTTCAGATAAAACAATTGATTAAAGTGAGGCCTATAGATTTGTCTTAATTGTTGGCTCATTGAACCTTGGCTTGTTTTCTCAGGTATTTCAGCATTAGCTGACTGTATGGACTGCCCAGAGTTACAGTTAGCTGCTGAGGATTTCTTTCAGCTCCATTTCACAGAAGTTTATAAACTTGATGAGTTTCTGCAACTCGATGTAAAACGACTCACTTACCTACTCCACCAGGACAAGCTCACGGTCCGATCAGAGGCCCAGGTAAATGTCCAGTGTGTGCAACATCCTACTGCTAATGAAATAACATTGTGTTTTCTGCAGATTTATGATGCTGCAGTGCGCTGGCTCAAGTATGACGTGTGTAACAGAGAGCAGTATATGGTGGAGGTGCTGGGATGTGTTCGATTTCCTTTGGTCTCTAAAACCTTCCTGTCAAAGACTGTACAGGCTGAACCACTTATTCAGGACAACCCTCAGTGTCTAAAGATGATTATCAGTGAGTAAACGCAAAGATGAATCATTTTGACTTCTTTTTTGGTGTTGTAAGCCAATATTGCTCTTTTTTCCAACAGGTGGAATGTGCTATCACCTCCTGTCTCTTGAAGATCGTGAGGATTTGGGAGAAAGTAGTCGTCCTCGGCGCAAGAAACATGATTACCGCATTGCTTTGTTTGGTGGATCCCAGCCCCAGTCCTGTCGCTACTTCAACCCAAAGGTATACACATTTACATATATGTTGAGAAGAATGTATCTAAACAAGTTTTGGGTAAGATTATAATGCCACCCTCCATCCTCTAAAGGAGTCAGCCTGGACAGATATACGCTGTCCCTTCGAGAAGCGCAGAGATGCAACAGCTGTATTTTGGGACAATGTTGTATATATTTTGGGTGGCTCACAACTCTTTCCAATAAAACGAATGGACTGTTACAATGTATTGAAAGACAGCTGGTACTCAAAACTTGGACCACCCACACCTCGTGACAGCCTTGCTGCTTGTGCTGCCCAAGGAAAGATCTATACTTCTGGTGGTTCAGAAGTTGGTAAGAAATAAGACCTTGTAAAAATGTATTGTTGAGTAAAATATATTCATGTCTAAATTATGTGGTTAGGGAGTTCTGCTCTAGATCTTTTTGAGTGCTACGACACAAGGACTGAATCATGGCAGGTAAAGCCCAGTATGCTGATGGCACGGTGTGGCCATGGCTCAGTGGAAGCAAACGGACACATTTACGTCTGTGGTGGAACTTTGGGCAACAATGTGTCTGGCAGAGTCCTCAATAATTGTGAAGTCTTTGACCCAAGCACACAGCAGTGAGTTCAATTTAAATAGTTTTATTTCACGTAGTTTACTTAATTTCATATATCACTTACTTTAATCTTTTAGAAATTAGATTATTTACATTGTAATCCCATGTTACTTATTTTGTGTCGTTAGATGGAGAGAACTGTGTGGCATGAGAGAGGCCAGGAAAAACCATGGGTTGGTTGTAGTTAATAACCGGATCTATGCTGTTGGAGGGCAAGGAGCAATAGGTAATAATATATTTATTTGGTTTGGGTGATCGGAATTGTGCTTATTAAAAAAAAAATCTGTAAAATACAGAGGAGTGATTTTATGCAATATAAATCAACTAAAGTTATAACGCTGTAACTTTGTCTGTTTTCACTGCAGGTGGACTAGACTCTGTAGAATACTATGACATCACAAGTAATGAATGGCGCCCAGCCACATCTATGCCGTGGAGAGGCATCACTGTTAAGTGCGCTGCTGTGGGCGAGGTTATCTACGTGCTGGCAGGATTCCAGGGAGTTGGGCGTCTTGGACATGTGCTTGAGTACCACACAGATACGGACAGGTTTGTGACTTAAACAGCCTTTTCCTCTTTTTCTGAGAACAAACAAAAATACCTTCTTTGCAATTTTATCAGGTGGGTAACGTGCAGCAAGGTGCGTGCATTTCCTGTGACGAGCTGTTTGATCTGTGTGGTGGACACGTGTGGCGTGAATGAAGACGAGGACATGGACATCATTGACCCACAAACACACACGTCTGCAGCAGCCGCTTCAATACCATCAACATCCTCATGAAAAACACTGCATCAGTTTTGATTTTAGCACATTTTAGTTTTTTTAAGTGTGTGTATATATTCTAAATTGTTTCTAAATTTTTTATGCACAAAATGGGGTAAAATTATTATATCAAGTACAAATGCATATGATTAGTAAAGTTGTAAAAAGACAAATCTGTAAAACTTTTAAAATACTCATGAAAGCATGTTTTCATATAAAATCATTCTCAAGCAGATGGCTCACCAGGCGTTAAGTGTGAATCTTTGGCCCTGTGCAATAAAACAGTCATTACATTTATGTATCCTCCTCGTCTTTCAGCAGCGCAAAACGATTATTTATCTCTTTAGTGGCGGTGTTTCCACGTGCGCTGCCACCTTTCCTCCTGCGTCCACTTCTCTTGCTGCTTGCTGATTTTGGAGTTGTTTTTCTTATGACACACTTGTTCACAGTGTCCAGCAGAGAAGAGAAGAGTTGCTCCGATAAGATAGATTTGTGCAACATAGATTCAGGAGTCCGGCCTTCTTTTAAATATTTTGCAAGACCATGTACCAAAGTACCGCTGAACACCCTAAAAGAGGATTGTATTTGTGTGAATGAACTACTACAATGTATATTATTTTAAAACTATGTACATCACAATGGTGTAAATAGGAGGATTTTTCTACTTCCGGGTGGATCATCAAGACTATCATTCTGGTGACACATGCTCGTCAAATAAGACCAGAGAGTTTTGTTCAAAAAGTGGAAAGTGAAAAGTTGGGAAAATCCTCCGATATATCATAGAATTAAAATAACCAAGTGAAAAGTTATCTTATCAATTGACTTTGACGCACCATGATAAGCAGGGCTCAGGTAGGGCTTGCAGCAGTAACTGGTTGAGGCACAGGGCAGCCCAAAGGCAGGCCTGCCATTGACTGTAAGCATGAGCATCACTGAGATCCAAGCCTCTTCTCTCTCCTGCTCTGATGCGCTGTCGAGTCAGAGCTGCATTCAAACCACGATCCTGACTCAAATTCTGTTGTGGACCTTTAAAAGCAAGACAAGAGCTGAGATACAATTTGGGTTCTAGATGAAATGAACAGTAAAATCCTATAACAAACCAGAATCATGTTGCAGGTTTAACTCTCCATATACAAACCCCATCAGCAGAGCATGGAGTTGAAGCGGTGTGGGTGTAGGATTAGCTTCTCGTTGCCAAAAAACAGTTACCGCTATAGCCATCTTCAAATGTAGGGGAACAACACACAGAGCTGACTCGGGTACTCCTAAGATCTCCAAAAGAATGGCTTGCCGTGCTGTGGGAGAAGCCTGGGAAATGCAAACATGTTGTTCAAGGACGTTATATGAAATCTTCCACATGTCGTACTGTTTACCTGGCAGACAGTATCGAGGGAGTGCGGCTTTGTGACCTGAGATGCCTCCACTTGCCTTTTTCTCAAGTTCAGGTCCACGCGGTCATATTCCTCCACTAATACGACTGACGCCTGCGCTTGGACCTCAGCTGCTTTCTGCTCCACAGGAATCATTTGTTGCCCCCTGCCTCTTCCTGCACCTCGGCCCTTACCTCTTATATTGGAATTGAATTCATTTCCCATCCTCATTCCACTTGAACATTGTCTGCCTACACTTTTTTCTTGCGTCAAACTTGCTTGTAACCTATGTAATAAAATCCCATACATCGCCTGGCGTATTGATATTGCAGTACTGTGACTACTAGCCAATTTAGCATTTTCCACTTGGGGCATGAGCAGAACCCTTTGCATCACCAGTGCATCTACAACAGAAGCAGCCAATTGTCCCTGTGCAGCGTTTTTAGCAAGGCACCCTGGAAAGCCAATACATTCCCAGCCACCAGGTAGATCCTTTCTTTCTGAAAACCAGAGAGCTAGAGAACTTTGACAGGTGATGTCATATTCTTGCATCAATGCCCATAGTTTTGAGCACACAGCTCCCTTTTCCCCACCTTGGGCACTCGATTTGGAATCTTCTTTAATGAGCTGACTGATTTCTGCCAGTGCTTCAGCTCGGCCTGGGAAAGAAGAAAGCCAGCCCAGTATCCCTGCTATACGAGATACTGGTGATTTACCTTTTCCTTTAACACCTCGAGCAGCAATGTTTGCATCTATTAGTGAAAGAATGAGGTCAACTTCTTTTGGAGTGCTATAATCATTACCCAGCAGGACTGCACACAACGGAAGCAGATCCTTGTTCAGGCCTCCAAACCAGCGGCACAGGACACTAGCGGTATATAGTTGAGCTGAAATGTACCGTTGATTTGTTTTTCCACTAATATTGGTCCAGTTAAAATAATTAAATGGAAGGTAACCACCTAAAAGGATACAATATAATATAAACAAACTTCAGTCAGGTTAAACATTAGATTGTGTAAAGTCATACCTGGGAGGTCAAATACATAAAAGTCACTGTCTTTGCTGAGAATAGGACAGTTCCACTGCCGGGCCAAACATGCAATTTCCCAATCAGCTTCAGCAGGGCACTGGACCAGGGGTACTCCAATTTGAATGAGAACTTGAATAAAGACTTCTTTGGTGAGGAGAGGAAGGACTGAGCCACGGCGACTGTGAGAGATGTTGTCAGCATCCTTTATTTTGGTCTGCAGGCGCTGGCGAAGAGTATCAAGCTTCTTGTCGCTGGGGTCAATCCCTACACCAGAAAAATGGCTATAGTATTATAAATGTTAACACAGAGAAAGTTCCAGAGCCTACCTCCATCCAGAACAACAAATGCCTGTATATTGCAAGCTGCCAATGCAGCAAAGAATTGTTTCAGTAGGCAGGAAAAGGCATCGTAGTCCCCACCGTGCAGTTGGTCCAAACCATGATGAAAGTAGATTTGGAAATACAAACTAGAGCCATCTATCAGGAGCCAACTGTCCCTGAACTTCACACCCTGAAGGAAATGCGTGTTCCCCTCCACGAAGGAGGTTAAGCCCCGGACACCCATCGAAACAAAACCTAAATGAAATATTAAACAGACAGATATTAAAGATCATTTTAATGCATCATTATAAGACCAGCAATAGGAGTTATTTAGAAGGAACTCATTTACACAAATACATAGAGCTATAAGAAATGCCAAATTCATCTTAAATAAGCATAACTATGCTGTAGATTTTAAGTAAAAACCTTACTGTTCGCACTAGCTTGGTTCAAGTTCCATGATGTTACCACCGCTGTTGGTTTTGTTTTTTTCCTGAAAGCTGATTTATCTAATTTCAAAACAAAATTATTATATATTTAACATGTCATATTTTCCATCTAAAGAATATTAAATCTGGATAAGAAGGATATAATATTACATTTATAAAGTGTCTGTACTATACCTGCGTATGACAGAAGTGTTGATCTTGCACAGAAACCACATGTGTTTATCCAAAGTGTTTTAGACTGAAACATTTCCTGACAACGTCAGAACTCTCGCGATTCAAATCGGGAACACAACAGCTAGCCGTGGGCTAGCCTGTTCTGTTGTGCTTATTGATGATCATTATTGATCATAATGTCCGGAGGGGCGAACCCCACATTTTCTGGGGTTAATCCGTCCTGCACCGTGATGTCCTCACATAAGACTAAAGACAGCAGTCCGTCCACATGGTTCTGGGACAGTCCAGAGACTGTCGCGCAGCTGGACCTGGTGCGTCAATGGATCGGGAAGCATTACAAAAAGGTAGCGGTCTGGCTAATGAGCTAACCAACAACACCAGAGCCCTGACTGTCTGCATTCAAATAGATCTTTCTGTGTATTCCGCCACATTGTCCAGGCATTGTTCTGTATTTGGAGTGCTTTCACACTGAGTTACATATCATGTAATAACATACTTGTTATGCATTTGGTATTGTCAATTACAAAGCATAATCTTAAATGTCTGCCATGTGTTATTATTTTGAGTATAATTGCGTTATAAAACATGTCTGTAAGATGAAATTTGTATTATCTTGACCAGTCAAAAACTGTATAGAACATGTATTTGAATTTCGTCCCTATATTTGACAACACTGTAATAATGCAACTATTACTGATCAGTGTTGCTACTACCTCCACTGTTTGAAGTGTATTGTCTGATTCTTTTCAGTATGTGCTGGTGGACGCTCCTTCCTGCCAGACCCTGTCTATGGTAACTGTCAATCTTCTGCAGTTTCAAGAGGATGTTTTTGGCAAACAAGCTGACAGTCCAGCACTCACCAAAATCCCAGTAAGTATTTTGATTTAATATTGGAATGAAAAAATAAAAGTTAATTAATTCCAATCTGTCTCATATCAATTTGTTTCTACACATTTAGTTGGTGTTACAAATTGGCCAAACTAGCCAAAAGATGTAAAAAATTCTTTTAACTCTTCAAGATGTTAAGCCTTTGAAAATGTAACAAAGTAAACACAAGCTCCATATAATGATAGTTACAAATCACAAGAATCCCAAGATCATGTCAGGACCCATTTCTATTGAGAGAAACAAACACCGACTGAAATGAATCAAATCAAAGAGGAAATTATCTTAACTGGAGAATAAATCATGTACAATCTAATGCTAATTTTCTCATGTTTCATCTTTTTTGTCAAGTTGCACTGTTTTAAGACTGTATGAAATTACTGACTACTGTCATTCTTAATGTAGGCTCAATGCTTTATGGACTTGCATCAAGGGGGAGGACTTTGCCACATTCTTGGAATAGCCTATAAATTTAAGGCGGAGCAAGGATGGTATGTGTATCTGCTTTTTTCATATATGTAGTTTTCTTACATATAATGTGTCTTGCATTACTTTTATAGGCGGAGGTTTGACTTACAAAATCCATCAAGAACTGAAAGAAATGTTGAGATGTTTCACAGTATAGAGAGGGCCTTGGTGCAGGTAAAACTTCACGTGCATGGTTCAGGACTCACAAGTGGAAATGTAGCTAAAAGTCTTGCGTTTTGTGTCCTCAGAACAACCTCCTATCATTTCCTGTTGTATACCTGGACCCCACGATAGATCAGGAGCTGGCGGAAAGATTGAGTGGTATTATCACAAAACATCAGGTATATAAACAGACGACCGAGCAGATGAATGTTTCTTAAATTCTTTATTATTCACTTGTAATTAATACAAATTCTCAGGGTTCCCTCACAGAGGACAGAACACTTGCTAGCCATCACGTATGTCCCCTACTTCCAATTCCAGAAGGAGGTTAGTTTGATATCACTTTTTACATTTTGATTGAATTACAGTATATGTACATACAATTTAAAAACAAAATGTAATTGATTAAAAGAACTTAAAATTGTTTTCATAGATGAATGGATGCGTCCTGTGATGCAGAAGGATAAACACGTTTTAGTACATTGGGGCAGGCACCCTGACAGGTGATGCATGTGAACCACATGTTGATACATTTCAGAAAGATTCTTTTTTTCATGTCTGACAAATATACTGATTTAAACAATGTTTCTTCGTTGGCATTAATAGTTATGATAGTTGGTTGTCATCTGTCGAAGTTGAAGGAGCAATTGAAGAACCACCTCCTCTAGAACGACCCTGGAGGGTAAACACACTCTACTGAAACGGAGCTGCATTAAAAATGTCAAATAAAGAAGCATTTTATTTCCTGTTACACACAGATTCATGCAGCATGGGTTCTAGACACAGACAGTTTCAATGAATGGATGAACGAAGAAGATTATTGTGTTGATGAAAGAAGCGTCCCAGTGATCAAGCGGCATCGGATTCCGCTGCGAGAGGTGGTTATTTTTACCTATAGAAAGTTCATCCATCCATTCTGTTACTTGTAGACACCCATAATGCATATTGATTCCTTGCAGGATTCTCAATCTACCCCTTCCAAAAAACGAAGACGGTCAACTTCTCCATCCTCAGAAGTTCGGAAGAAAGGAAAGAAGGGGTGAGGTTTTTGTATTACCTTTAAATTAAACTAGATTGCAATGTTTTTGCACCTAATGTTAATTTTCTATTGTCATAATCCACAGACGGAAGCGAGGACAACATGAGGAAGAGGCAGACGAGGATTTGACAAAAGACCTGGAGGATCCTACCCCTGTCCCAAACATGGAAGAGGTCATTTTACCTAAAATAGGTGAGACACATCTTAAACTGTGCATGTAACGAGTCCTGCCACAATCATTACACTATTGTCGAATCGCTCACTAAAGATGGATGAAACAATATATTTTGGGCCTCTATTGATCTATGTATTTACATTTTTTTTTAAACTACCTTATGGGCTGTGGGTGTTTATTTAATGGCCAAATGCTACTTAAATTGGAGTACCTAACTTTGTAAATAAATAAATATGTAATAAATAGTCACTAGAACCAAACCGTTTAGAGAGGAGGAACAATCATGCAGTTGTGGTTTCTGTTACATCTTTAGATCAGCTTTCAGTGAAACCAGCCAAACATTTAGTATGTAAATGATATGTTTTCAATCAGATGAAGATGGCATGTTGTGGTCTGATTTGTTCACAAAATGTTACTTTAAACAGACTCTCTCTGTTGAAACCTCAATCATTTAACTCATTGTGTCCCATTGACGCACAAATACGTCAAAGCAAATAGTAACGTCGTGTGCCATTGACGCATTAATCCGTCAATTGCCTTTTTTGCTATTTTCACGTTCCCAGATGTCTATTGTATCTAATATGTATGGGGATGACTTGAGACCATATTTTATCGAGCCAGCAGGTGGCAGCATTGCTCTCTGAATGGTTTGAAAACATGTAGGTGCACATGTTGTGCCTCTTTTTTCTCAACTTTCTGGTGATTTCTGGTGATTTCAGTAAAACTTCCCTCTACTCGACGGAGGATTACAGGGGAACGAAAAAAGCTATAAACAAAATTCTTTTTGCTGAGGAAAGTAGACAGTCCATTCTTTTAGAATCTGGTGTCGGATTTCAGATAGTCATAGTACACAATATTCTGTGGGTCTTGAAAAATCAGTAAAAATCATCAGAAATGGCTGGCACTGTGGGAGTACCTGTTCTGAAATAGGCTGGCATTCAATGAGTTTAATTAGGTAACATTCTGCTGATTGAAACATGTTTTACTGGGATTATACTGCTTTACTGAACTGCCATTAACTTGCTTCAAAATTGTTTTTTGCTACAATATTTTACAGAAGCAATTTACCATCTGTCAAAATTGGTTTGTTTGTTTTAAATAGTGAACCTAAAGAAGGACAGTGAAAACACTCCTGTTAAAGGAGGCGTCATGGCTGATCTTGGTATTTAAACTTTGTATTATTCATTTTTTACTTGGTAGATTTCTGTTGTCTTATAAAAGTATATATTTTTGCAGATGATCAAGATGAAGACTATGCAGGAAGGGTAAGTTAAATTGTCATACGGCAATATACATGTAGACTTGCTTTAACACATTTTTGTTCACAGGAGGAGGAGGAAGGCCGAGTAGACATGTGCCGCTTTCTAGAGGGAGATGAAAACATCATTGAACAAACTCATCACGTTATTATACCCAGCTACACGTCTTGGTTTAATAACAACAGGTAATGAAAGCTATCATACGTGTCATATACACATTCAGATCAAAAGGAGCGCTCTGTAAAATGAACAGTTGCCAATTTCTCCTGTATTTCAATGGGGCACTGGTCACTGATAATGTCGACAGGTGTTTTCACATCTTTATCATTCTTTCAGCCTTCAGGAATAATAAGAATAGTTTAACATTTTGAATGAAAACAATTAAGTATTGAATAAATGTTGTCTTGTATTTTCAGCATACATTCTATTGAGAAACGTTCACTACCAGAATTCTTCAATGGAAAAAACAAATCAAAATCACCGGAAATGTGAGTGACAATGACGCTGAATGGAGGTGAATGATTTTCTCTTTACTTATGGGTGATTGCTTTCCTTTACAGTTTCTTAGCATATCGCAACTTTATGATTGACACATATCGATTAAACCCTCAAGAATATCTAAGTTCCACGTCCTGTAGACGAAACCTCACAGGAGACGTGTGCGCTGTCATGAGGTACTGATATTTATTATTTTATATAAATGTTGTTATACATTTTTAAACTTATTTTCAAAAACAAAACACACACATTTGTGATGTATGTTTCTGCTTCAAAAATACGTTCTTTTGTAGTAGAAAACATTGTAAAACAAAATGTTTTCCAGAGTCCATGCATTTTTGGAGCAGTGGGGTTTGATAAACTACCAGGTGGATGCAGAAAGCAGACCCCTCCCCATGGGACCTCCTCCTACTCCACATTTTAATGTACTAGCTGACACTCCTGCTGGGCTGGCCCCACTACAACACAAACCATTGCAGGTAACTCTCACACAACATACATCGGTACAATGTTCTGTTTTAACTTTGGATTATGTGACGAATGACAAACATACTTGTTTTCTTTTTAGGTTTCCGCATCGCAACACATGTTGTATTTCCCAGATAGAGGGAGAGAGAAGCCCTCAGATTGCCAAAACTTTGGTTTACGACCAGATGTTTATGCCAGGAAACATCCTAAGGTTTGGCTTAACAGCCGTTTAAATATTATAAACAAAATATTCATTCAAGACACGTTATTACTAATATTAATATTATATTTATTCACATTTTCAGACTAAAGGAGCAAGTGCAGGAAGGGAATGGACTGAGCAAGAAACACTTTTATTACTGGAAGTACGAGAAGAGATCCAAACCATTTTGTTTTTTTTGTTTTTAAATCACTAAAGGTCATGGCTAAAATCCAAACCATCTCTACTTTTCAGGCTCTAGAGGTGTACAATGATGACTGGAATAAAGTTTCTGAGCACGTTGGATCCAGAACACAGGACGATTGCATTCTACACTTCCTCCGTTTGCCAATAGAAGATCCTTACCTTGAAGACTCCTCCGCCTCTCTGGGTCCCCTGGCGTACCAGCCGGTCCCTTTCAGCCAATCGGAGAACCCGGTCATGAGCACTGTGGCCTTCCTGGCTTCAGTGGTGGACCCTCGAGTGGCATCTGCAGCTGCCAAAGCAGCACTTGGTCAGTAATGTCCTCACTGTGTGTAACATTTTTACACTGCAATGTAATCCCTCGTTCTATTGTTGACATTGTTTTTTTATTGTTATTCGCTGATGTTTTGTCATCAGAGGAGTTCTCCAGAGCACATGAGGATTCAATGGACAAAATATCTGAAATGGCCATCCATTCTGACAGAAAAGGTCAGACAAAAAGTACTTTCTAAACAATATGAATGTTTTTAAACATAGATTTTGTTTCGGTTATATTTTCAGAACCCATTGATGCAGAAAAAATGGAGGCAGATTCTACAAATCAGGTGATGAAACGCTCAGAGAAAGTGTATTCTTGAATAAGTATGTTTTTCTTTTGTCTTGATTGTTAATAGTGGTTTATTTGTTAGATTTCTTTACGGGGGGATGAGGCCAACATGGAAGCTAGCACTGCCCAAACAGTGGAAGATGGAGTGAAAAGTGAAAATGCGGAGAACGTGGTGACAGAGGACAGAGATGGTACTTTGTTTTTACTTGCTGCTTTTACTACTCCATAAAGTTCCTTCAGCATCTATGTTTCACTAACAGGACGAATAGACGATGACGACAGTTTTGAACAGCGAGAGGGTGAGGGCGAGTTGAGTCGAGCCGTGATGGAGCACGATCTGGTGGAGGTGGCTGTTCCTTCTGCAGCAGCTGCAGCTCTGTCCTCCGCTGCCACTAAAGCCAAGGTGAAGATGAGCCCACATTTACACAGCACACTGCTCACCTCAGAAGGTCATCACATCACATTGTGTTTGCCTTTCGTTTGGTTACTGCTCATTCACTTCAATAGGGTTCAAGTCAAAAGTTATTTTTCCAGTTACAGGGTTTGTTGTTACAATGCCATTAAAATGACTGAATGTTATATGCAGTGAATAACTGAACAAATACAATTTTACTTAAAACTAACAACATATGATCATTAGAATTTTACTTTTTAATGTAGTTTTTGGGCTGAAAATGACCAAGCGGTGGATATTGACTTGCTGGTTAGTCTTCCAAACTCTGAATATACCTGAAGGGTCGTCATGGTGGATTCGAAGGGAGCAGTGTGTGTCTACAATGTAAATGACTAAATATGCATGTATTCTTTATTTAATTGTGTCTTGCATTTGTAGCACTTAGCAGCTGTAGAAGAACGAAAAATAAAATCTCTGGTGGCTTTGCTGGTGGAGACCCAGATGAAAAAATTGGAAATCAAATTGAGACATTTTGAGGAGTTGGAGACCATCATGGACAGAGAGAAAGAGGCGGTGAGTGTTCCAGGGCTGGGACAATACAGAATGCAAAATAAAATAAAATAAAAAATATATTTCGTGATAACAAACATTCAATTGTGATGAATAAAAACAGTGGATGTTAACAGAAAGAGGGCTCCTAAGGACTAAATGTTTTCACACTCTTGTTTGCAGTTGGAACAGCAGCGGCAGCAGCTTCTGTCTGAGAGGCAGACGTTTCATTCTGAACAACTGAAGCAGGCAGAGATCAAAGTCCGGCAGCAGAGGGAGCAGCAGGGGCAGCCTGGCCTCAACATGCAGCTTTCAGGTCTCATATTATTATGATAAACAACATTTATATTCTTTTGTATTGGCTAGTTATAATAGTTAGTATTTTTAGTTGTATCTCATAGTTAGAAAACTGTTTCTTAAAAATAAGCTACTATTTCAATTGTTCTTTTGGCAGTATGTGATGACAAATAATTCTCTAGATCTTTTCAAAGCACAACACTGAAGAAATGGAACTGATACATAAAGATTTTTGTAAATGTTTTCTCAAATAACTATTAAAGTGATAGTCTGTAACTCTAAATTATTTTACAAATTTTAGGAAATGTGTTAAATTGACCTCCTGGCCTTAAATGTTGATATAAAATAAGTAATTTTATTAATTCTAATATTACTGGCAAGTCCCGCCTTCCCTTCTCTTAGGTATAGTCCAGAATCCACGACGCCGTCCACGTTAACCAATCGAGTCATGCCAAGGGCTGTCAATCATCGGCGCTGATGCTCGCAGCTGCACGCATGCGCAGTTGTTTGTTTATGCGGAACCTCCGAATCAAGCCTCTATTAGGCTCTGGAACTACATGAAAACTGAACAAAGAATTCTGAACATCCGCGCTGAGTTACTCATTTATAAACTGAACCTACATCCATAATCAGAGCCTCTGCAGATGTGTCCTATAATCTGCAATTCATGATAATAGCTTCTTCCGGGTTTGCTGCGATCGCTTTTTTTGTACATTATTTTTTTACTGAAAACGTTAACAAATAATTCTAAAAACCTCCGTGCATGTGTATTAATAATGTATATGTATGTGTTCTCTGATTAACATTTAAAAGCGTTACGGAAACGTAGGCGTAGCCCAATCAGAAAGGAAGGGGGAGGGAGCTTGCGTCTTTTTTTTTTTTCAAATCAAGCACCTCTCTGTCTCTCTTTCTGACAAACTCCAGACAATCACTTTGATGCCCATTAATGTATGTGTATACAACTCCAGGCCTACAAAGGTTACAGGTGGCGTCAGTAAGATCACATTAATTTAAGTTTCAAGAAGAATGCATAGATTTGTCCACATTGCAGTGTGCACTGCTCTAAACTAAGCATGTTTAGCATTTATAGTCCTTCTTCCTGTCAGAACCACCACCAGAAGTATTTGCTGCAGGAGAAAAGTGTTCTCCAGCGTTTTACATATTTTAAAAAGTAACTGTCATTTGCTTTCAAAATAAACATCCTGCATTACTTTTGGTCCTTAACACAATAATGAGACTATTGATTTTGGCATGTCATGTTTTAGAACGTTATTTCTACTAAAGACATTCTGTTTGCATGTAATACCTGCTTCTGCCACCAGAGACAGGTCTTGAATTTCATTTGAAAATTAAATTAAAGCAGGTGCAGTTACATAGGTATAGATCCATCCGCACAAATACCTGGAAATTCTGGGGCAAATGTCTATAATTTACGAGGAAAGGGTATGGAAAATGAGAGTGCACATACAAAATATTGAGACTTTGGACAGATTTTGGACTATTGTCCTGCGGGCACTCCTGCAGTTCATACATTGATGGTGGCGTATTAAAATTGTTCTTAAAGTGTAGTTTCTTTGATGTTGTCCATTGAAAAGATACTGTATAGTGGAATATTATCAGATATGTGTGTGTGATCACTTCTGAGAAATGCTAATTAAGTCCTCTTACCTAGAATAGGACATAACTCATGAAACATTCTTACAACATGAGTCGAATGCCTTACATAAGATTATTATTATTAAATGTGTTTAGGCATCTAATAGGCAATATTTTTTAAATGATTTTTGAAAAAATATTATTGTATAAGCTGATCAGTTGTGTCTTGTGACTAGGAGAGGGAGTGCAGGACAATAGCAAAACTATTGGCCCAAAAAAAAAGCTTTTTAAAAAAGAAAAGAAAAATTAAAGCGATAAGAGAACTGCAGGATTATATTTTGTGATATATCGCTGAATTGATATTTTCCCGCAGTTTGAATCTCTTCATATCAGACATATAAAATGTATATTGACATTAGCTCACAACTGTATTTGACCTTTTGCAGGTCAGTCTGTGTCAAACCGGACATTACCAGGAGCAGGAACTGCCCCAGTGATGGCCCCTCGACACACCGGTGCTCCGAACGGCTTGTGTGAGTGTTTGAAACACAAAAGACAAAAAGATAAAAAGATAACATCTTTTGTTCTAAATATGGCGTATTGTCTTTCAGATCCATCTGCACAGACAGATGGAGTAGCGCCCCCAGTATCAACCCACAACTAAAGTTCATCACTTAGGGAACAACCTAAAATGCCTGTAATTACAAAAAAATATGTAAGTTACAAGTTTTACTTTGAAGCTGAACTATCCCAAACTGTAAAAATGGTAAAACTGACTTTGGATATGATTTAGCAGGCTCATGTTAACTTTAAACAAGTCTAGTGTGTTTTCATCAGTCATTGTTTTAAAGTTGTGTAACCATTGTGCTCAGTTGAGAAAAGTAACAAATGTGGACTCAAATGGATAAACTGTGTTTTTTATATTAACTATTGTTCTGTTTTTATTATTGTAGATGAGTCTTTGCCAACTTTTTTTTTTCTGCATCTGTCTCTCAAATTTAAAATGCAAGGAAAATATCGTCCTCAGACCCTTCCAGGTTATTCTCTAACATAGACATGTGTATCATTTGGTAAATCAAACCAATTTGCATCAATACTGTAGAGGGCAATATTCTTCTTTTTTCCTTTCACTTAAGGAGAACCGAAACTGCTTCAAGTTGCATCATATAATTGAGGAACTTCACATTAGATTTTAGAATTAGGTTGAAATATACTGACGACACAAACACTGCTCTTCATGGCATGTTTATTACATTAATGAGCTCATTTTTTTAATTCCATGCTGATATAAAGCCATCTTGGGAGCTTCTCTTCACTTCTTGTTTGATTGTTGCTGCTGTCCCCCAAAGAATGCTGATGCCTATAGAAATACAAACAAACTATAACCAGCAATCAATATTTTTTGCAAGATATCAAAACAAATATGACTTACAGCATAGGCCACCGCTGCTGTTGCTGCACATCCCATAGCAAAATCAGTGACAACCACATCTTTTACTTCTGCCCGAATTGTCCTCTTCTCTGGGTTCACCTCCAGTGAAGCCGAGCCACTACAAATGCAAACACATTTTGTAGACATTGGTTGTAAAGGTAAAAAAAACAAACACAAGATACATACAGGTGGGACATCTTTGAGTCAGTGTTCAAGCTGAAGAAGTGAAGCAAGTTGATTTCCTAACGTGTTGGTTGAAGAACTGTCCCTGAGTGCATAACTCCTTAAATATCCTACAAGCTTAAAAGAAATAATAAGAAGAATGTTGCCCTGTAAGTTTGGAAATGAGAACAGTCGATTACAATGGCTCACGTGTTTACATGAGATTATATTCACTTTCATCTTGACACACCTGTTTTGTTATTGAGAGGTTAAACAACCGCACATGCCAGCATTGCGTTTACAATAATTTCTGGCCTCTTCTTTTAAACAGAATAGCATTGAATGTTCTTAAGGTACAGGCCATAACCCCCTATACAATTAAATGAATAAAAAGTAAAGTAAGAAACCCGTCAAGTATAGAAAAGATGTTTTAAATGTTCTTACTTCCTTCTAAAGACTCTGACAGGATTACAGAGATGGACATGTCTAAATGGACCAGGTTTACTCTCACAACACCAGATAACAATCCAGGATGAGGATAAAATGCCTGCACTGTCTCACAGGTGGGATGCACCTAGGGGACCTGGGCATCCTGACCGCCTCCTGCTGTTCTGCATGGGAACAGGATATGAAAAAAGACAAATATGGCTGAAAACAACATAGCATTTGGCATTGACTTCAACAGACTTTCTTCCATTCTCAGTGTGATCCATCTGTTCGTCCCTCTTCAGCCAGTCCCCTTGTTCTTTACTGGGTGTAACTCAATCACCAATAAGTGCAGAGACGCACAGACCAATATAATCCTTTGAATCTAAACAATGGACAGTATACAGGGGTATATTATTCTGCTCTGTGCTAAACCATTCAATATATATATTATGTATGTGTAATAATGTTTATATATATATATATATATATATATATATATATATATATATATACATTATATATCCCATACAGACCAAAAGTTTGGACACACTTTGTCATTCAATGAGTGTCCTTTCTTTTCATGACTATTGACTGTAGATTCACACCCAGGCTGTGTAGGGCTATTTGACCAATAAGGAGAGTGGTGGGTGCTGGACCCAATCCAGATGGTTTTGGGGTGAGCTGGACCACAGAGTGAAGGCAAAAGGGCAAACAAGTGCTAAGCATCTCTGGGAACTTCTTCAAGACTGTGAGACCATTTCAGGTCACTACCTCTTGAAGCTCATCAAGAGAATGCCAGGAGTGCGTGAAGCAGTAATCAGAGCAAAAGGTAGAACTTTGGAGAACCGAGAATATAAGACATATTTTCAGTAATTTCATACTTTTTTTTAATACGTACATAGTTTCACATGAGTTAATTCATAGTTCTGATGCCTTTAGTGTGAATACAATTGTCACAATCATAAAAATAAAAAACTCTTTGAATGAGAAGCTGTGTCCAAACTTTTGGTCTGTATTGTGCTGTACTGTACTGTGTATGTATATATACGGTATATATATATATATTAAATATAATTTGTTACACCGGTGAAGTGTACATATACATATTGTGTCCCTCCTATATCAGGGCATATGGCCCCTAATGTGTTACAAATGACTTGATACTAGAGAAATAATGAGGATAAACAAATTAATAACTTCTGACTTGCACTTATTTTTATATATATCATTTTATTTTATGCATGTAGGTCTTGTTGGGAGCCTATTGTCTTGGATTGCAGACCCCTGAAGCTCCAGGGCACATTGGCAGTGACACACGCTTCCTAAATCCTCAGTGCATGGCACAGCGTGGGGACTGACCCTGTGTGCAGCACCACGCCTGGCCAAAGCTCACATAGGACTGCATACAACCGGCAGTGACAAACCGGCTCATTATCGCGTCCGCAGACCCTCCATCGGTGACGCGCATCACTAGGACCACTGCCACTGCTGCTGGAGCCTCCGTGCGCACGGACTGATACACGCGCGCGCCAAATCCACGGGAGGACAATGACACACAAGCAGAGCCACTGACGGAGCTCCTGGACAGGACATGGAGAGACGCATCGACATCTGAACTTTGCAGCGGATCTGCGAGAGGGATTGTCAGAGATTGCCGCTGTCTGAGCGCACAATATTTGGCTCCAGTCTGTCAAAAGGAAACGCCTGCAGGAGGTAGAATGGCGCGCGTTCACGGCCAAATGGGAACCTGGCAGGTGCTGCTAACCATCTCCTTCTTTTTCCTCCCTTTGGCCGCCCACGGTAAGGCTTTAATTATGATTTAAGTGCCGAGTGTCACACCCTGACCTGTACACGCACGGACGTGTGCGTTCACACCGGAGTAACTGCACCTGCAGCTCTGCGTTTGAAGATCAGTGCAAATTACTTGGAGAATAAAGTTATTAGTGAAATTGTATGTTTAAAATTGGCATAAAGCTTTCGTTTGGTCTTTCAGTGCACGAGGAATTCAATGTAAATTCCACTGATGTTAACACAGAAATACTGAGTGACTAATAAGTCAGGACTTGCTACTATTAACATGGGTGACCAATAAATCCAGGCCAAGGTCCAGTCAATCTCAGTCATCCACAGGGGGGAGGGGGTCACCCCACATTCTAGCCATTAGGGCAGCTGTATCAATAAAATACATAGGTTTGCATTTGGCCAGAGGCGGCCATTTGACATTTCTCTACAATGCATATGGTTCCTATAGTAGACTGCAGCGTGCATGCCCCAGACAAAAGCTGATGGATCGTGGCTCGGCTGCAGGAGGTCCATCACCGAATACGGGGTTATTAAAGGGACGCTTCCTTGGTCGTATCTCGGCCATTATAATCCCATTACGGGAAGACGTTTATTTAAGCCGTCATGTCTGAGCGTTTTTGATGCAGTGAAAACATACAAATGGAAATAGTATAGCGCTGCTGCCCAGCAACAGGGTGGCGCGTGCACGTTAGGGTCGCGGAGGTTCACGTGGACCCGCGCCACATCTCGCCCTCAATATCTGCCCAGCCGTGAACGTCATGTGATGACTGCGAGTATGAAGCCGGCGTCCTGTCTGCTTCCACGTGGCTGCTGCTGAAGAGATGCACCAAGGGACATTTTTGTGCGATAAATCTGAGCTTGTTTCCATTGCCTGCATCAATGAACCTCACAGGAAAATATAGGTACTCCACTGAATCAGGGTTGGGTTTGAGGTCACAGCAGACACCACATTTCGTACGGATATGTACATGCACCTATCCTCATGGGAGACGCCTATTCAGGGTGCACTGCAGCATGTCCACTGTGTGCACGGTGGCTACACTATGTCATAACCAATCAGCACTTTGCTCTCCCTAGACTGTTCTCTGTGAAGCTGAAAACCAATGTTTCTCTGTCACTGATGACAATCTCCCCATCTCACCCCTGCATGCCACCAGAGGGAACAGCAGAAACAGCTGCTGGGGAATATGACTTGAGCCAAACACAATGACCTGCAGTAAAATGTGTTCCCATGGCAACCTCTTCAGCAGGATACCTGGGGTGATGCGATGGGGCTTTTGGCACAACCGCTGTGTTCACAAATAAAAAAAAAAATTAACGGACCTCTGGTATCTCAGGTGCAATCTCCATACCTTCCTATTGCTGCAGAAATACAGCTGGAGGAAATACTATAAGCGCATGGACATATGGCAATATTTGTCCTCAGGCAAACCGTGGAGCCACAAAATCCTCCAGCTGCAAAATAAAGAAAATCCATAAGGTGACATCATATTGACCAACCCAAAAAACCCATTATATTCTGTTCACATCTCAAAGTAGCAGTTACATTTTAGCAATGCAAATATATTAGTTTCATGAATTACATTCCCAGTAGAATCCACTCATAGACATGGTGTGTAAGAGTGAGTGAGTGACTGATTGAAAACCAAGAGACGAGTGGGAAGGAACACTACTGTCTCTGTTCGCCTCCACTGCTCCTTTCAACATGGCCGCTCCCTACATCTCACCATGGCAACTGCAAGAGGTAGCATCCCGGCTCCTGAGCCAATACTTAAGTCTTTGTGACTCGAGGCACGTTCAGATGTCTTGTGTTAAACTCTGAATCAGGAGCCAGACATCGAAGGCTTGCGTTCTTACTGGACACAGTGACGAAGGAAGAGATGAGAAGCTGTTCATGTCAAGTAATTAGGAAAGTTTGGTCACAATGACATCCAGCAAAGGACGGTCCAAAGTCTGGATGTGAGAAATATTTTCATGTTTGTTCATTCCATCTGTTTTTCCCCCAATTTTTTCTGCAAATATACCGAGTGCCATATCCAATCATTATACAACTTTATTAAACGTTGCGTATACTTTTGTGAAAATTAATGCCAAACCAAGAAAAAACTAGGACTGAACCATCAATCAGGTATGAAGCAGGACATAGCCAGACTTAGACTGTTTTATTATCGTTGAGACTTGTATAGTACACGTAACAAGAGGTAGAATATAATTATAGTGGACATCAATAAACAAGTGTAGGAAAGCCAGGGTGCTGTATAGAAAGCGTCCCAGCTCATGCCGGCTGAAGGCTTGGATTAAAGATTTTTTGTTTTGGGTCAAATTTGGACAAGCAAATTATAACTTTAAATGAGAAAAAATACTACTGTGTTCGAAAAAAGAATATGGCAAAGGCTGGAATCAACATTTGTATCTAAATACTTGATTCAAGCCTGTATTACCTTTTATTTGATATGTTCACAGGACCTTCCCTTCTGTTATTTGTAAGTGATGTTGGACTAAATCTTTGACAGAATGGATGTAATGATGCTGATTGGATATGAAATCTAAAAAGAAACATATGATAGAGGATTATGGACTATTATTTTTAATTTAGAGGCACAAAAAATCCCTTATTTTGAAGCTGGATTTGCAAATATATGGACAATTTGTGCGCCCAAAGCTTCGGCTAAACAATGACAGATTTTTACTTTATTTTACAATGTTCATTATCATTTATTGTTTTAATTGCATGACACAACTCAAAAACGGATGACCATGCAAGCCCCCCGTCTCCTTTTACTCTAAATACTGATAATCCTCAGCATGTTGTAGTCACCAGAGCAGTCAGCCAGTGCCTAATCCTGCATCTGATTATACCATAGTCCCCAGATCTTCATCTGATTTATTTTCATTCAATTAAACTTAATTCCTTAATAATACACTGAGATATGGGAGGTGTCCAGACACACTTAAGCATTATTAAAAAGTACAAGAACACACATCTCAATTGTTTGCCCTATGCCATACAGTTAATGGCCATTCTACCAAATACTAACACAATGGCTTTAAACGTCTGAAGTGATTCTGAAATAATTCCCTTCAATAATTATTCTGGAATATAGAAGTAATATTGGACAGTGAGTAAAAAAACACAACCATAGACTGTCAACTCTTCATAAATATCATCATTCCACTTGCAAATGTAGCAATCAGCTGCTGTCACGATGTTTGCTTGTGTAAGTGCTAATTGTCAATAAAAATGATCAAATATTCATTGTGTCCATCTACAGGGAGGCATGCACTGGGCAGGCACCATCGTCACCATAACCAATCATCAGTCCACAAAGTGGCCTTGACCCCCAAGATGGCGCTGAGTGACGACTCTGCAGAGAGGGACCACCTGATCGGCCTCGGGGCTTCACTTCCACTCAGTACCAAACGGCACCATTCTCACAAACACAAATATCTGGACTTCATTGAAGAAGAACCCCCCATGGGAGAGGAGCTCACTGCTGGGGGGGCCGGCCCAGACCAGGCTGGGAACCCCATGGTTGATGATGTAATTGTAGCTTTTCACAGCCCAGCACCTGACACAGTGCCAACTGACCAAGATGTGGCTTGGGCTAAAGTTCCACAAGCTCAAAAGCAAAAAACAGACAGCAAACAACCATCATGGTCTATCAATGACTTCTACGAATACACAGACACTGACCTCTCTGCAGTAGATCCCACTCCTGAACCAGAACCCACGCCGTCTCTTCCTGCAACTATGGAAGATGAAAATCCAATGCTGCCTGAAGTGACAAAGAAAGTGTGGCCTGACAGTGTGGCCTCTTTACCGGCTCCAACACAGCTCATTCCAGGCAAAGCGGAGGATGTCAAGGGGGCAGACGGCTGCAACCTGGGCTTTGTCCGCTCAGGCACCGGGGCGTGCGTGTCCCAGTGTGAACTAGAACCCAATTTCTGTTTGAATGACGGAGTCTGCACTGTGGTGCCGGAAATGGGCGCCTTCTGCAGGTGAGACTACGTTCCAGTAATGATAATTATTTAGCCAAGTTTTAGATTACTGTTTGACTTGTTACTAATATTGCATTATTTTGTCAATTGGTCTCACTTTGGGTTTTACTCCGGGTCTCCGGGCACTGCACTGCGGTGACCACTGCTCCTGGTTGCCCTAGTGACTGAGTAGGATGGGTCAGATGCAGATGATACATTTCCCTACGGGATAATCAAGTCTGAAGTACACCTTCATTCACTACAACAGCATATAAACAGCAGGGGGTGCTTTATTATCACTGAGTTTATGATTCAACACAAAAACAAAGATTGAGGACACTACACGTACCCACACACACAGAAATGGGCACACACACATAGACACACACCCACCTACGCAGACACACCCAAACACATATGGACACACACACACAGACACTCAGACACACACACAGACGCACACATGCAGGTCAAGACAGACGGCTGGCTTAATGTGTCATGAAGGCTTGTCAAGATCACAGCAGGGTTGCAAAAGGATTAGCAACATTTTGAAGTCAGTGATAATGAGAGTTACAATTGTGAAAAGCTTTACTTGAATGTAAATAATGATATTAAAGGGTAAGAATGATGACATATATACACATATGGTCAACTTTGATAGTGCCATCTGTCCAGTCCGTTGGCTTGGAGTCTGCTGTTCCTGCTGAGTAATAGCTCATGCAACACACAGTTTCACGCACAGAGAACATGTTCTGATCCTTTGATCTCATTAAGAGCTGGGCTGCAGCCGGAATCCAGACCTGAGCATCTACCATGAGTTTGAACCTGCTTTTATTAGTACAAGTAAATATAGGTAAAACATTACATAATATTATTATCCTGTTTTGTATATGTCAATGTTATTTCTCGCCGCTTGAAAAAACTTGCAAAAATACTAAAATGTTTCCATTGTTTCTATTTTAGGTTATGGCTTATTTTATATTATTATTATTGTTTTCTTACTCCAGGTGCAATATGCAAAACTACATCTGGAACAAAGGCACACGTTGCGACCAAACCGTGACTGAGTTTCAAGTGCTGTGTGTGGTTGTGAGTGTGTCCTCCTGCGTGCTCCTCCTGCTCTTCATGATCATCGTTTGCTTTGGTAAAAGACTTCACCGCCTCAAGAGCGAGAACCGGCGCCTTCGCAAACGCAGGTGCAAACACACACTGCTGTCTCTGTCTGAATGATTTCTTCTTCTTCTGAAGGTTATATTAATTAAAGTGCATTAGACGAGTATTCACATTTCTTTCAAAACGTGTCTGGATTTGGTTTGATACTCTCTTGTTGCCAATATGTATCATTAAATCAGTCCACAAGCAGTGTATTTTTTTCTTAATTTATCTGTCCTTAATGCTGGGTTACCCAACTTAATTTCTTTTAACAATAATACATTGTGTTTGTCTCAACAGAAATACTCTGTTTCTATCTATCTAGCCATCTATATATCTGTCAATCTATCTATCTGTCTATCTATCTATCTGTCTATCTATCAAAATCAAAAGTGTCCAAGTTAAAAGTTATGAGACAGAAGTATGGTATATTATAGACTTTATGCAGCTAAAACCTGGAATATTCCTAAAAATGTATGACATGCTTCTACTCAGCATTGTTCAAATCCAGGTAAAAGAGTTCTGTTTAGCTGCAACAAGTGAAGGATCGTATATTCACTCTGTTTTATTTATTTACTGTGATTATTTATTTTAACACCTCATATAATTCTATTGTTTCCTTTTCTTGTTTTTTTTTCAAGCACTTTGAGTTGCCTTGTGTATGAACTGTACTATACTAATGAACTTTTTGTTGCCCAGAGCTTAATCAGATCTCCCTTTTCCCTTTCGCAGTAAATTCCGTCCCCAGAGCACCGAGCCACAGACGGACGGCCTTTCTCTTTCCACCACCGCAGACGGCTCTCAGCCCAATGTAAGGAAACTGTGCGAGACCCCGCCGCCCGCCCCCCACGCTCACACCCACAACCTTGCTTACTATGACAACATTATCTGTCAGGTATGCCCCGCCTCTCCTCCTGTTCTCACCTGTCCGCTCACTTATTGATGTCAATGCTTTGTCAGTTTTTCCTTCAATACCCAATTGTTTTTTTAAATTTTCCTTTATGTCCTTCCGTGATGTCTAAGTTAGATTGCTGATCGAGTGCATGGCTGTCAATAATGTGTCAAGAGCTGCTTTAAAAAAAAAAAAAAAAACAGCAATATCATTCTAAAGTCACCAAACTCAGCATAGAACGTGCAGCTTGTCTTTGTTTAATGCTTTTCGCAATCCTTTAGAGGCCAGCTACTACAAGCTATACATGGGAATATAAACCCAGAAATCCTTATAACCACTTCCAGGTAAGCACACTGGGAATGTGATCTTTGCCTGCAGCTTCTTCCCATCGTTTCTTTACACTTGTAGATATTGAGTCTTCATGTGTATTCCTTGCCGCTGCACAGCTATATCTAAAGTGATTAATCATCCCTGCAAGGAGTCCTAACTGTTGTCCTCTCACTACTGTGGTGATAGTAGCAACATCACACATACCTGCACTCTCTCAGACGCTGATAAATGAAGCCTCCATTTTGTTTCTGCTTTGTGCCTTGCCCCAACAGAAGCCATTTTAAGTCCATTTCAAATACAGTATGTTTTGGAGTTTGTGCATGAATTGCTGTGGTAAGGAAGCAGCAGTAGCATGTCTGCAAGAGTGTGGCTGTGAATATAAATGTGTGTCCTGCAAAGCTTTGTGTAATTGTGTCATTTATCTGTGTGTGTCAAACTGGTTATGATAATTAAGGAGGCTTCTGCTTCTTGATCTGGCTTTGCACAAGAATAGAAATTGGAGATAGGCTTATATGCTCCATTGGCCACTGCAATGTTACAATGTTGAGCTTTACACATCTGCTGTTAAGTTGCAATGTCAGTGTTTCAGTATTTCAGCTCAACATTTTCAGAACAAATCATTATCATCAATGTACATGACGCCAACTGAGATTATGAAGCTTTGTTATTTTTCAAATAATTTAATATTGCCATATTTGCCAATTTTGTATAAAAAAAAACTATGATTAACAACTTATTAATTCAGATTTATTTAAAATTATACAGTTTTATGTGGTTCTACTTCAGCTGATCATGGCCTTTATTGGGTCTAATAGTGTCCTGCAGTTGTTATTCTCAAGAATCAATATCGGCCTACATACTGCCTGCTAATCCTTTGACCCTAATTTGTTTCCGACTAATCAATCAATCAAGCATTTTTTAAAGCGAATAAAGTTACTTTGAAATAGGTCATGATCTATTTTTGGCAGAGTTTATTTATGTGAAAACGTTTGGAGGTAGATTTGTAGAATAGTGCAGCCGGATGTTTCCGTAAATGTCATGTCTGGTAAATATTCTTCAGTGCAGTGGCCTAAATGTCACGGGTCTAAGCTGGTCGCTTTGTAGACCAAGTCATGATGAAAGGTCTAACAGACATGGTTTCAAATAAACAGAAAAATCTGATAGACTGTATACATCCTTTTGTGGGGCATTTCCTTTATGAAGCTATAATGAATGATGTGCAGTAACCTTCTTTGACAGGAGGATCCCCAGAAGCACAATGACCTGAAGTCCCCACAGTCCAAGGAGGACAGCTCCATGAACATCCTCAACTCTCACTCTCCCAAACATGAGAACAACCGGCCCACATCCATGGGCCATGAGCAAGGCCGCACCCCCCATGCTGCAGAGGAGAACACAGAGGTAAACATGCTCCAGAACAACCTGGTATAATGCCAAGAGCTGGAGATTTACTGAGGATCCAACATTCAGATGCACAGTACAGGTCTATTCAAGGTTATGATTGTTTACACCTTTAAGTGCAAATGTACATATTTTACATTCAGCCAACTTTTTAAAAGATATGTAAGCACATTAAATGATGCACCATAGGAAGCACAACAATCCTGTTTACAAGGCTGCCTAGGCAACATGTTTTGCTCAAATGCATCCTGTGTCCTCTTCGACTTGGACCAATAAATGACAAAATGTCTTCTGTACTAATGTGTCATGGTCTTTGACCAGTGAGCTCTTGCTCCCTCCTGTTCTACCTGTTCCCTGCTCTTCTTCCTCTGCTTGCCCCACCTTATTGTCTATTTCTGCCCGCATGCATTGATGTTATCAACAAAAAAAAGTGTCTGAAAACCTGATAATTGCAAAAGAAATAAAGTGGTGAGTCTGTATTTGGAAACATGTTTGACATTGCTAATGTGAATATATCTATAGTTCATGAGGTGAAAGTATTGCTTGGAATTAATATATGAATCTATCAACATACTACATGCTGTGTCTTGGTTTTCAATGTGATTTATAATACTTTCATGTACTTGAGGTTCTTTTGTACTTTTGGGTATACATGAAGACTTATAGTTAATAGTTGTTGGAATAAATCTTTTTCATTTTACCCAGCTTGATCCTGCGTCTTGCTATACTATACTGTTCTTTCCGTTCTGCGGCATCTGCTCGCTTTCTGCATGTTTGCTCACAAAGCTAACTAACGCCAAACTATTCCTGTGCTAATAATAACTGACTGCATGGCTAAACCTCTACAACCAACTGCTGCCCTCATGACACATGGTACACACATTACTACACATCTCAGTGAAGCCCAGGTCAGCACCATGGACAGCTCTGACGGTGTGGTTCTAGAAAGAAGGCAACACATGAATACGTTGAGAGCATAAATTTGTCTAAATTATTATCAAAGACAGATGCAAGATAGTCCTTGGTTTTATTATTAATACATGCATACATAAATGCACGCATAGATGCTCACGCAGACGCACCAGTGTGACTACAGTTTGTTTCTAACTCCACCTAGTGGTAGACAACGATACAGTTTATAATTTGTATGCAGGAACGTCTGTAGGTCCGATATTTTATTATCATATGTTCATTTTTCTACACTGATGCCTACTCCTACCTCCCCTTTCACATCAGGATGGAGTGACTATTGGTCTGGAGGTTCTCCTCCCCAAAGAAGCCAAGCGGCATTCGGAAAGTAACCCACTTCAATATGATGTCTTCCTCTACAAAGTTGCCAACAATGGAGACTATGCCCAATCTGAAGCCACACAACACACTTCAAAGTCCCCCAAAACTCCAAGGTCTTCCAAGTCGCACAAGCACAAATCTCCTAAGTCCCCTAAACGCTCCAGAGACAAGTCTCCACATTCCAGAGACAAGTCTCCACATTCCAGAGACAAATCTCCACATTCCAGAGATTCTCTCCCTGAGAGGCACTCCTCTTCTGGTCACCAACACTCCCCTCATCAGCCATCGCCCAGTGTCCGTCACTCTGCTCCTGGGTGCTATAGCCATCAATCCCATCACACACCCACACAATACAAAATTGTGACCAGCTCCTCGACCACCACACCTCCTCAACTACGTGTACCAAGAGGACGGTCGCAGGCGCCCGGATCTCTGCACTCAGCCCAGGATGCTCAGTACCAGGGAAGACACATTCATCCATCTCCATCCTCTCCACACCTCACCCAACCTCCTTCGTCACCAACGCGGCTCAAGTACAGCCCAGTCAGCACCAGGTCCCTGCCTCCACTCTCTTGATCTTGGTCTTCTTTCTGAAGTATCATGCATACACACAAACATATAAACATTGTTAAACTCATATAAACATGATCCATAATCATCACCACGCACCACTTCCCTTTCACATTTTTAACAATATTACATTAGTCAAGTGTCACTCTACATTTACGCTTACTTTCAACCTCCAGATATTTGTACCCAGAAGACTGCATGGCACCTGGTCCACCAAGGAACCACAGAAATGGATCTGGGACAGCCCAAACAGAACATTTGCTCACAAGAGGATGCCCCAAATGCAGACATAAGACAAAGCAGTACAGGCATGTGGTAAATGGTGTCATGTAAATCAAGATAAAAGCACACATGGTCCCACATACTCAGAAATGTACAAGGCTGTGTGAACTATGGGCCTATATTAGACTTCAATCTAGTAATTTAAATTTAACATGGTTTCTTCTGTTTTAACTTTTGTTTTATGTATTTTTGATATTTAGCTTATAATCCTCAATAAATATATAATCCAACATAATAACTAAATGTGTGGTTAATAGGTTATTAACAACTTTCAGCAATATTTGAAGTTCTAAGACTTTTAAATGGCAGTTTCAGAAGGCACACATAGAACGGGACACTTTTATTTTATTTTAAATGACTGTATGTAATAGACACAATTATAATAAACCACTTAGGTATACCAACTGAGCTACTGTCATTGGCAGAGCACTGGTCTTTGGACCGAATGGTCGTGGGTTCGAATCCACCACGACCCATGTCATCTGCTCCCACTGATGTCTGCTGTCGTTGTGTCCCTGGGCAAGACACTTAACCCCACATTGCCTGAAGCCCCCGCTGAAAGACCAAGGCCATGTCTTCGATCATGGAGAAGCCATCATCCTGTGGACCCACCACCTGCAGGGTCCCCCCCCCCAAATGACATGACACTTAGGTATATAAAAAAACGTACGTGGTTTTTCTATATACCTAAACTAAATGAAACAAACATTAATTTAATTGGTAGAAGCCTCATTATGTATACCCCAATCGGTACATAAATAAAATAAATTCTAAAATCATGCTTAATAACAATGTTATTAATTTGCCCATTATGTACATTAGGTATAATTTAAATTCCTGGGTTGTCTCCTCCACACAGAGTCTTTGTCAGTTGTTTTAAAGTGGAGCATACACTCCAACGACAGTGAGAGCAGCTGGAGAGCTCTTGTCGGTGACCCTGCCCCCTCTTTCACTGCTATGAGGAGGTGACACTTGTTTTAATCTCTGTTATGAAGCGTCACTCGCAGAACAGACTGTCGGAATGATGTGCTTTTATTAATAGTGTAAAGATTGTTTCCTGTATAAAAACAAGCACATGTGGAGAGACAAACCTACTCTTAGCATGTGCAGTATCGCAGATCATAACAACACAGGAGATGTTTTGTATCCTCTAAAGAAAATAAATAAGTGGACCCTTCTCCAGACAAGTCTTATATCACCTTTAGCTTTTCTGTGTGGAGTTTGCATGTTCTCCCTGTGTCTGTGTAGGTTTCCTCCAGGTTCTCCGGTTTTCCCCATACCACTGAAAGCACGTCCAGTAATCCCCTGGAGCACACATGCATTACCCTCTTTGTATTTTGACTATTTAAAAATGTCATACAACTCTCAACAATTCTTCCATTTAATCTCTTTGACTAAACACATTCAAATTCTACAATAACACAATACATAATGCTATACACTGTACAAGCTCTAATGTGGAATGAATTCATAGCTGTACAACATAAACAGAAGTGAAACTACTGCAGAATGGGGGTGAGTGAGTTTAATTTCAAAGGGAGTTCAAAGAAAGGTTTCACTGTCACCAAACGGGTCTGATAAAACACAGCAATACTACAGTGAGGCAGAGTTTTAGATTTAGTCACGACTTCAGTGCTGTTACTAAGGATTCATGAAGGCCATTGCATTATTGAAGAACTAATGCTTGATGCAGGGAAACATTTTAATATATTTCTACTCCAACAAAGAACATACCATGCCTATATACTGGGTAAGATCTCAGTAAGAAAATACATGTCATATTTACAGATCAATAGGTCGCTATGGGCAACACAAAAGCGATTCCCAGTCAGACTATTGTTGCTACAAGTGTTTTATTTGTGAGATTGTAATTTCACAGTCGGTTCACCCTTTAATCCTTTGAGACATTACCTTATTCAACCCTCCATCAGACAAGAACTAATGAGCCACCACAGTGTGTCAGTGTTGCTCCACAATCCGGCAGGCAGAGGCAGTAGTCCTGCTGAATACATGCATTTTGAAGCTAATGGCAAAATGTTGAGTCCAGTGCATTCACTTAAGCTGATGTACTACGATTCTGTGATAATTAGTGAAAAACTGCTGTATACATTTCTGCATGCCTCGCTCAAGTTGTCTAATATTCATTCCCAAAGGCGAGATGTAGGGACATAAAGTTGAAAATGATACAGAAAATCCCTTCTCATTTTATGCTCATGGTCATACATAGGGAATTGTGTGTGTCTCTAGGGGGGGGAACTGCATTTCTGTGAATCACGTTAAAGAGTATTTATGCTGCTTTTTGCGTATTTGTGAGGATTTTTGCTGACCCCCCAAACAGATGTAATTCATTGCTTGTTTCCTGCACACTCTCCCTCCTTCTGTGTCTAATATGCCCACACATCACCCCCTCCCCAACCCCTCTAACACCTCCTCTCCTGAGATGCCTTCTTCGCTTATGAAGGTTTTTATAATTAGTGCCATACCCACACAGTGCAAGTCGCTTTTCACACAGAACTCAATCTAAGCTCCAGTCTTTTGTGACACCTGTAATTCAGGACTGTTTACTGCCATGCACAAAAAATGACAACTGATAAAAAAAAAAAATCGATTTAATCATGTTGTGTTTGGGTCCATATTACATCCATTGACAACTGAAGAGAAACTGGCTTTTTGAAGAAAAGTTTTAAATTTTTTTTCTTCTTCACAATGTTACACACTCGTTATGTGTTTGTGTTTGCCTCTCACTGTGACAGCCTTCAATTCAGAAAGAACTGTCAATACTTATTGTACTTTTGCAGAACAGGGCATGATGTTCAAAACCGACAAAGCCCCATTTTTCCAATCCACAAAGGTATAAAATGTAAACAGAACAATTATGTAAAATGTATTGACATGTATCGGCTTTTTACATCGTTATCTTCTTGTTAGGGTCAAATGTCAAAACAAAGACCTTTAATCACTGTCATGCCCCCAGCTGTCTGTTATTCTTTGTTGTCCAATTTAGTTTTTCACCTCTCGTAGCATCTCAGTTTGGTTCCCCGCTCTCACTTACCCACCACCCACCTCTCATCCTCCCTCTGCTTCCATATTGATTTACTTGATATCCTGCAGTCACATTCTCGTGGTGAAGATTTCCGGCTTTAAAAACCACTGACATTTACCTCCAGGTTTACACTACACGCTTCATTTAAACCGAAAAAAAAAACACTGGGTATTTGCTGTTGAGGTTGTTGAACTACATCAGAGGCGTGTTCTATTACAGTCAACCACAGCCTCTGCATGTCATATGTGCCATGATGAGATTGGCCATGATGAGAGTGGCCATGATACCACCCCTTTCTGACCAAGGTCTACTTTTACTAAATTATAATAGCTGAGGTAATTGTCAAAATAAGCCTTTTTAACAGCTCTGATGGAGTTAAATGATCTATGTATAATATTCACATTTACAGTCTATGATAGAAACACATCATTGTTGGGCAAGTTCACAGTGACAATGTCATGTTTTCATTATTCCTGAAGCTTGGGGAGCTCCTAAAAGTATAACAACATGTGTCCTAACTTTGGCTTCACAAACTGGACACCTACTTTTTACTGCATATGTAAAAAGTTGTAATTATTTAGTTATCCTACATTAAGTTAAAGGGTAATTCTTTTTAATAATAATTTGTAGTACTTTCTACATAATCAGAAATGTAATTTCAGACAGTGAGAACCAAAACATTGTATTTTTATAGTGTATGTAAACTTGTAGTAACACAACAGGGACTGCTCCAAATGATTTCACTTTTTATTCTTTAGAAAATTATTGTTCAAATCACACCAACCTCACCGTCAAACCTGGTGGTGGCAGAATTAAGCTGTGGCGCTGCATTTCTTCAGCAGTGACAGGAAAGGGTGTCAGAGTGTCACACTTCCCCAAAACAAAATGCCTTTTCATACAATCAAGTATTATTGATGATGCGTTAGAATGGCTCAAAGTCAGAACTATGCAATCCAATAACTGTGGCAAGACAAGAAACTGCTGTGAACAAAACCTCTCTGACTGAGCCAAGCCTCTCCAGACCTCAACATCCTTGAAGCTGTAATTGAAGCAAAAGGTGGTTCCACTGTGTATTAAACACCAGGGCTGGATATTTTTTCAAAACACTATATACCACTTTCTGTCCCCCCTCTGCAGTTATGAAGAAATGTGATCCATTCAAGAAAGGTAAAAGGATGTGGTAAAAGAGTCTTTGTCACTTAAGCAGAATGTCATGGACAAGAGGGCCACATGTGGAGAGGGAGGCCCTGCCCCCACTCCGGGCTGCTGAAAGGAATAAGACAAAATTTACCAAAGTGGGTGGGGGGCATCACATGTAAAAATAGGCACTAGGCGCAGGTGCTCATGACCGGGGGCTCACCGCGGCAGGACCACCGGCAGCACAGCTTGGAGATTCAACATTACCGCACTATTGAAAGATCACTCTTCATTGACTGAAGGTTTAAGCCCATGGCTCCCACTGTGCTGCAGCAGTAACTTGGGGATCGCAGACTTCTTTTGCCATTCAAGATCAGATTTGATATATTCTGAGTTTATGTGTGTTTTTTAGAAATTCTGCTTTTACTTTGTTGTAACAACGGTTAGGGTTAGCAATTGTTTAGGACCATGGCAATGCAGAGATCCACATCCAAAAACCTATTTGCAGATTCTAGATTTCCATCTGACTTCGAACACTGTCTCC